CAACAATAATAATTCCCAAGAGCCATTATTCCGTCAACAGCAATTCGTCAAGAACACGTTACTTCCGGCCTACAACCTTGGAAGGTTGCATGGTTATCCCGGGTTCAGCGCTCGGTGGCTGGGATGTTCGAGTGGGGACGGGGGGGGCAACAACGATAACTAATTATTAACAAATACAACAACAGTACTCCGTATACGGACTAGTATAGCCAGAGATAGGCTATAATAGCCCCTATCGACCTCCCTGAAGCAGCGCGGGTAAGCCTTAAAAGTTAACTAACTACAAATGCTCCGTTGGGGGCAATGGGGGCCCACCTAGCGCCGCCTCCACCAACACTTGTGGTTAAATCCCGGCGGTGATCCGGGCAATGACATCGTTAAAAGCCACTATTAAGTGTTTAACCGCAACCTCCCCCCGCCTATTTCTGCGGCGCCACCAACACCACCACCAACAAGTAAAATAGTTAACTATACTTGCTCTGTTACACATATATCTCTTCTATCTCTATCTCATATGGTTCTCACACCAAATAACAGAGCAACTCTCCACTACTACTTTGTCATGAATCACCATGGACGGAGAAAACAGACAAAAAGAAAAAAAAAAGAAAAGAAATTTCTGCAGGTTAAGTGTTGACTAGTCCCCGCTTCTCACCACCAAAACCAACTTAGCCGCTCCTCACCGCATCAAAAGCCGCACCGTTCGTCTCACGAGTCACAGGCTGGGAATTTTTTTTATTTTTTTTTCTCGCCTTCACCATTCTTATCCTCTTGGTCGGCACGCCCCAGGCAGATCCTGCCGCGCCGCGACTTGCATGTCAAACTGAAACTTGCTGCTGCAAGTCAGCCTGCTCGACGCGTCTCGAGTTAGTAGAGGACGCCAAAAAAAAAAAAAAAAGAAAAGAAAAGAAAAGAAAAGAAAGAAAAAGCACAACGCGAAAGGAGAGAAAAAAGCAAAGGAAGCGTTTCTATAATAATAACTGATGGAGCTCTTCGGAACCCACTCCAGTTTGCTCGAGAGCTTGCTTCCTGGACCCTTATTTCAAGGTTTACCACCTCAGCGCGTCTACGGAGTACTTAAAGCCCTAGGTACGCCATTGATGGCCCTCTTGCTAACCAGACACTCAGGGCAGAAGGATGATGATATCCACCCAGTCAAAATGGCGTTCCGCTATTGTGTACAGTTACATGCAACATGCACATGTTGAGCCTCCTCCGTCTACCTAACTATATATATTGGTTTCGGATATGCCGCTTATGGAATCCTCTGTGTGGGCCGTCCTGATATGAATTCGGTACAATTCGGGCTACTGGCTGCTTTACCCTTCCGAAGGCTTTTGCTTTTCGTTAACCACGCCTCACAACTCACCTGCAGGATGGGATGCCCCCAGGTACGGAGCACTCCAAAGAAAGACCCATCTGTGCGGAAATGTGAGAGCAGTTTTAGTGTCTGAAACTTCTCAGGGACAGCTGCGGCAGTAGTTTACGGAAGAGTACTCCGTACTACTGTTGCTACTGTACTGCACAAATGGCGAAAGCCCCTTGGGTGTATCGCTCTTTGGAATTGGGAATTAATCCTACTTTGAGAACTATCGAACCCATATCTCTCTCTCTCCGTTGGGGATGATAAATATTTCCTAGGCTGGCCATACCAATTCATCAAGCCATTCATTCATTCACGCTTGGTTTACAAGCAAAACTTTAACTTTCTTATTTATATTTACATTTTTATTTTTCAATGTTTTCTATTCAGTCCTGCTTACCCTTCGCAGACCGGGCCCCAGGCGCCCCCTTGGCCTAAAAGTACATGTATGTATGTACATGTACATGTACATGGACTAGACATACAGCGTACTTCAGCACATCATCTCTATGAATGTGTAGTTACTCTGTACTCCGTATTTTAGAGGGAGTGATAAAGTTGAACATGTGTTCAGAAAAGTGGGTCGAAAGTTGACACACACCAACATTCAACTGTAACCCGCCTTGGCCTAGAAACGCGGCATACGGATGGGGGGGTCCCTTGTTGTATATTAATTGTATGTATGTACACATCACCACCGCTACCACCAGAAAAAAACCACCAAGCCCCAGTGTCTGGAAATTGATAAATAGACCACTCACCCACTTCACTGGCTGCATCCACATAATGATTTAGTCAGGCAGCAAGGCATATATATAATAACAGCTCAGTGGATTCCCCACTCATAGAGCATCGAGGAACTTGCGGTCAAGCCCAGGGAGGAGAACAGAAAAAAAAAAAAAGAAGAAAAGAAAAGAAAAGAAAAGAAAAGAGGCCAAATGCAAAAACTGATTTTGAAGACAGGGTAGTTATCGTTTCTGCCCGCACGTACGGAGTACTTATTATTATTATTATCAGAGACATGCACATGCATCAAGACAGCAGCTGTTTTACTAACCTTTATTCCTAAGTTGAAGAATTGCGTGTCACGATTATCCTCGCTCGAACTCGAGTTAAGCGCAAACACCACACAACACACACACTCAGTCAGGATACGAAACGCAGGAGCGGAAGTCTTCTAGCCAGCCCCAGCCAGCGTAGCAAGCTCTTCCCGTCGGTTCGAAGAGCGGCGATCGCTCTGCAGTTTGACCATGACGCTGCTTGTTACACGCGTCGGCAAAGAAGAGGAAGAAGAAGAAGAAGAAGGAGGAGGAGGGAAATATAGCTCCTGTCTGTCAAGGGAACCTGAACAAACGGCCTCACGGACAGCGCCTACCTATCCGGCTACGGGCTCGTGAGCCTTCACCTCCATCTCGCTCTTCCTCCTCCTCCTCCTCCTCCTCCTCGATGAATCAAGTCTACTTATAAGTACTACATCGATTTGACTCGCCCGGACTGGCGCTACAACCTTGAAGCACATTAGGTCCCCCTCCCCCCTTTCCCCTTTCCCCTTTCCCGCCTCCCCTCCTTTATATATCGTTGACCCTAGAAACTTCGAGCAAAAAGTTACTAAACCCCTTACATAAAATAAAACTGGAGCGTTGACATCTCTGTTTCCCATAAAAATAAAAGTCTTTACTACAGCGTTTCTCCGAATATTTCACCAATATGTATATATGTATATATATAATTGAAGGGGGATATATTGCATATTATTACCTGGTAAGAGAAAGAAAATAGAAAGAAACCAAGTACATAGACATATACACCTTATCTCTCTCCATTTGGTCCCTTTAGTACACTACAATACAGTCGATCATGAATAACACAAAATGCCAGCACGCGCGGTAAACAGCAATTAAAACAGCTACAACGCGCCGTAGAATAAAATAAAAACGTAAAGGAAAATAAAAATAAAAATAAAAAAAGATGGGCCCATAAAAGGGACACTCCCGCTAACCACCGAACTGATCTCACATGGATATCCAGTTAGGCAAAAAAAGGAAGCGAATCGGCAAAGACAAGAATTCAGAATCAAGGGGAAGACCGTAGGCAACAACCGAGACAGTAAAATATCTTTGTCAATACGATATTGGTAACCTAAAATTACAGGACTCTGTCTAGGAGGAAAGCGTCGTTTACGCCGGGCTTGCCGATCTAGATGCACTTGGATGTTCCACACCATATAGGGCCTTATACTGATGCATGTATTGATCCTTTTCTTCAAGTGCCATTCGTTGGTATTTCTGTGGAATCTTACTGTCAGCTTCACGTACAAATTCTGGAGATTTGCTAGAATGTAGGGACGGCGTGGACGCCAGGTGGCCAAAAAGGGAAATAGGAACGCCACAAAATTGAAGAAAGATTGCATACCTCCTTCTCACTCTCTGACAAGGCTCGCCATAACTCTGCAGATTTCTTCATCCGGTCAGTGGTGGACACATCTCCACTTGCAGATACTTCCTTCACGAAATGCATGTATGCATTGGCAGGTCGTTTTGGCTGTCTCTCATCCGCAATCTCCATGAAACCTCTCTTCTTATTCAACAATCGGCGAAGCTTCCGGCGGGCAGCGTTGGCCTCCTTGATCTGAAGCGGGGTGTGCCTATTCACCCAGTCGCGGAACCCGGCTTTGTTTGCAGCCCGGTTCGATTCCGCGATTTCATCAAGGCGCTAATGGATCCATTAGCACTCATCGAGCCTTGGGCAAGGGACTTCAATAGTAAGTAAGACGGGGATTTCATCGTACCTGGCGCTCCGCTGGGTCCAGATTCCTGTAGGCTTCAGAAATGCCTGCAAACTGCTTGTGCTGTTGTTGCAGGAGGATGTACGCTGTCTCTGGTAGACCCTTCGGGGGATCAAGTGCTGTGGCCTTCAGATTTGCAATCTCCTCTCTAGCCTTCTTCTTCTCCAAAGCTTCCTTTTGCTTTTCGGTCAGTTGCTTTCGCTTCGGGGCTGCTTTGACCTTGGCCTTGGTGGACTTTTTAGCAGCGCTCGTAGCCGTCTTTTTCGTGGTCGTAGACTTTTTTCTTGTTCCAGTGGCAGTTGATTTTTTCGAAGTTGCAGCATCACCGGATTTGGCTCCCCGGGCAGCTGTCGCAAATGTTTGCTTCGAGAGTATTGGGAGAGTGCGACGGAAGAGGCGGGCGTTCGATGAAGCTGAGAGATTTAGAGCAAAAACGATAGTGGAGGAGTACGTCGGGGCATTGTTAACAGCCACACGAGCCTTAGTGGCAATGGCTTCAACTAAGTTCACGCATCTCAGGAGCACACGACCACGACGGGCGAGGACGAAAGCCATTGTCGAGATGAGTATATTAGAAGGTGCAGCTAGAAATCAGGTGGGCATTGACAAACGAAACAAGTCAATGGGATGGGCTAAGTCGCGCAATGCCGTCTGTCAAGTTATTGTATTCGAACTCTCTCCTTTATCAACGTGATAATACTAAGGGTGTGATGAAATGTTGTCGCTTGGGATTCATCAAGGGAGGTTGGTTTGTTTGGGGTCAGCCGAAAACAGGAAAGCGCCGGTACTCCTCGTCTAGCCTCTTTAGGAATAGGGTTGCCAAGATATTAAAATGCGGCTCTTGATCCGACTCAACCCTCCAAGGCTGATGGCAACAAAACTTCTTCTTCCACGTACAAACCAGTCAGTCGTGTTGCCTCAAGTAGCTGTTGAAAAAGCGCATATTGACAGCAAATACCGGCAGTATCATTATCGAATACTTTCCTTTGCTCACTGCGAGGATTATGGGGGCCATCTAAGCGTCCTTTCTCTTTGCGCAAAGCTAACCGCAGTCGTGCACTCTCCACATTGCTTTGGAGTTATCCAGCAGTAATATCTCACTCACAAATTTGGCCTACGAGATGGCTCGGGACACTCGCTCACCATCGCCTGTAGGCAGCACCCACTCGTTAAAACGGAGTCGCAGGGATGAGGACCGGAATGAGAGAAGCCGGCGAGATGATGTGAAGGGACATCGCAGGTCCCGAAGTCCCGACGTAAGTTTCATTGCTATCCAATTGCCATGTCCAGGAAGTTAACAGCTAACATGTTCTTCTTTGAAGAGGCGATATCGCGACCGCGACCGAAATTCCTACCGCAGGCGAGATCGCTCGCGCGATGATTATCGAGACGACCGACGGGATGAAGACACATATCGCCCCAGTAAGAGAGACCGCTCCAGAACCAGATATCTCTCGCGGGACCTTGATGACGATAGGGACTACCGTCGGAGAAGCCGCGACAGGGACCATCGAAGCAGGCGAGATGAATCACGTGATAGGGGACGGAGACGACGGGGTGACTCTACTGACTCCAAGCGCGATTATAGACGGGACGATAGCAGAGAACGAGCTGCTACCAAGGGTTCTGGCGTGAGACCTCAAGAGGTGAGTGCCAGCAAGGCATCCTTTTAACGGGCATGAAATTATCCTAACATTGATGTATAGACGTCGAAGCCTTCTACGCCAACTCCTGCTCCCGCCCAAACAGATGAGGAAAAGAAGGCTGAAAGACGAGCAAAATTCCAAGCTTGGAAGGAAAAGGTCGCCGCGGAACGGGAGCGGAAAGAGAAAGAACTTGCAGCATCAGGTGGCGCACGCAGCATACTTGATGAGATTGATAAGAGAGCAGCATCGTTCCAAAAGGCGACCCCTGAAGCTCCTGTTACCCCTCCGACAACTACAACCACACCTACCCCGTATGCTGGGAAGTTCGATCCCAAGGCCATTGCAAAAAAGGCTACTGCGCCATCTCCAGAACCGTCTTTACTGGGCAAGGACATAGCCGTTCCAAGTATCGCTACGTCCTCTGCAACATCCACTTATTCGATTGCAGGGAACAAGGCTAACAAATCTTCAGTTTCTGCAAGCGCTCCTCCTGGTAGGCATCTAGTTCCCAATCCCTATTCCCTTATAGTTCCTTCACATTTCAATCCTGGCTTAACCAACTCACTAACCTCAACGCCTTCAGTATCTACTACCTTTAAAGCCCGCGGAAACATAGGTGGCTTTGGTATAGGCGTTAAAGCAACGGCAGAGTTAGATAAACCTTCGTCCAAGCGAGCTTTAGATTTTGGCGATGAAGAATCTACTCAGAGGAAGCTGGCAAAGCTTCCCGACCCTTCCTTAGAAGATACAGCTGAAGAGCATGCCAACGAGACAGTCGATGGTGCTGGCGAGGATGAAGACGACGATGTTGATATTCAAGATGACGGAACAGAGGAGGAGAATGCAGCTGCTGCAAGAGCAGCGGCAGAAAAGCGAGAAGAACGACTACAGAGCCAAGGTATTAACCGGCAAACGCAGTTCGATGTTCAACCCGAAGGTGCGGCCTCTACCACTCCAAATGGCGATGTTGCCATGACAGGTGACGCTCAAACTGCCACTCTTCCCGTCGCAATGGACGTGGAAGAGGAAGAGACTGACCCATTAGATGCATTCATGTCTGGTCTTGCCGAATCTGCCGCAGCTCAAGACGCTCGGAACGGGACGAACTTCTCAAAGTTTAAACTACCCAAACCTGAAGCAATTTTTGGAGACGAAGATGATGTAGATTTAAAAGCAATTGACCCAGAGGCCGATGATTTCCTAGCCATTACCAGCAAAGCAAGGAAGAAGAAAGATCTACCTCCCATAAACCACGAGAAAATGAACTACGAACCCTTCCGTAAAGATTTCTACACCGAACCGGTTGACCTATCAGAGCTTACGGACGAGGAAGTTGCAGCACTGAGATTAGAACTTGATGGTATAAAAGTGCGTGGCGTCGATGTCCCGAAACCTGTTCAGAAATGGTCTCAATGTGGACTTGGAGTGCAGACACTGGATGTCATTCGGAAACTTAACTATGAAAATCCGACGTCAATCCAATCGCAAGCAATTCCAGCAATCATGTCCGGAAGAGATGTGATAGGAGTAGCAAAAACTGGATCTGGCAAGACGATCGCATTTTTGCTCCCAATGTTCAGACATATCATGGATCAACGGCCCTTAGAGAACATGGAAGGACCAATAGGATTGATTATGACCCCGACCCGAGAACTGGCGACTCAAATCCATAAAGAATGCAAACCATTCCTAAAAGCCTTGAGTCTTCGAGCGGTTTGTGCATATGGGGGAGCTCCTATCAAGGACCAAATTGCCGAACTAAAACGCGGGGCAGAAATTGTTGTTTGCACGCCTGGTAGAATGATAGATCTCCTCGCCGCAAATGCTGGGCGAGTAACTAATTTACGACGAGTTACGTACGTTGTACTAGACGAGGCGGACAGAATGTTCGATATGGGCTTCGAACCCCAAGTAATGAGAATTCTAGGGAATGTTCGACCACAACGACAAACTGTTTTATTTTCGGCCACCTTCCCCCGTAACATGGAAGCCCTTGCGCGCAAAACTTTAACCAAGCCTGTGGAAATCATTGTTGGTGGAAGAAGTGTTGTTGCACCAGAAATTACACAGGTTGTGGAAGTCCGCAACGAAGATACTAAATTTGTGCGACTCCTAGCACTGCTAGGTGACCTTTATGCAGATGACAAAAACGAGGATGCGCGCGCCTTGATATTTGTCGATCGACAGGAGGCTGCCGATGGTCTTCTCCGAGACTTAATGCATAAAGGTTACCCCTGCATGTCCATTCACGGAGGTAAAGATCAAGTTGATCGAGACTCTACAATCGACGACTTCAAAGCTGGTGTATTCCCTATCCTGATTGCCACCTCCGTTGCAGCTCGCGGTCTGGATGTGAAACAGTTAAAACTTGTCGTTAACTACGATGCACCCAACCATCTTGAAGATTATGTTCACCGAGCTGGTCGTACGGGACGGGCGGGCAACACTGGAACTGCCGTGACGTTTTTAACTGAAGACCAAGAAAGATATTCAGTAGATATCTCCAAGGCATTGAAACAGAGCGGGCAACCAGTACCAGAACCCGTGCAGAAGCTGGTCAATTCGTTTATTGAAAAAGTCAAAGCAGGTAAAGAGAAGGCTAGTGGTTCCGGTTTTGGCGGGAAAGGCCTGGAGCGTCTCGACCAGGAGCGTGATGCGGCTCGCAATCGCGAGCGGAAAACGTATAAGACCGGCGAAGAGGGTGAAGAGGAAGAAAGGGACGAAAAGAAAGACAAGAAAGACGACCTGTTTGCCAAAGCAGCATCTGCTGTGCAAGCTGCATCCACGCCGGCACCGACACCAGGCGTGCCTAAAGGTATCGACCTGGATGGCAAGATTACTGTCCACAAGACCGAAAAGCCTGTTCCGACTTCGACGAATAATCCTCTCGACAGAGTTGGCTCTGCGGTGGCTGATATCCATGCCCGATTGAACAAGGCTGGCGTGATGAGGTCCGGTGTTCCTATTGACAATAAGGGACCTGATGCCGGAGCATTCCACGCTACGCTAGAAATCAACGACTTTCCCCGTAAGTTACTCTTTGAGTTTCCATTACCATTTAACTTCTTTTCATCCCATCCTTCTCCTTGTTCATATATACAGGAACTAACAAAGATCATCAACTACAGAGAAAGCCAGATGGGCCGTCACCAACCGTACCAACGTCGCCAAGATCCTCGAGGCCACGGGTACATCCATCACGACCAAGGGCAGCTTCTATCCTGCAGGCAAGGAACCACAGCCGGGCGAAAATCCGAAACTTTACATCCTTGTTGAAGGAGATACGGAATTGGTAGTTACTAATGCCATGCGGGAACTCATGCGTCTGTTGAAGGAGGGAACAATTGCTGCCGTAGACAGTGAAGCTAGAGCTCCGACGACTGGTAGATATAACGTTGTATAGAACAATTTGCTCTTTTCGCGTTTTTCGTATCGGTATTCTTATCGTTAATGTCACTTGTTACTGTGTTTGTTGTTACAATGGGCGGCATTTCTATTCTATTTGGCAACTCGTGTCTTTCTTTTTTTTTTTTTTTCTCTCTTTTCCTTTTTTCAATAAATCGACAGAGCATAAAGCATATCATCAGCTGGGAAACTTGGGTGTTGCTTTCCACCATTTTGGTGAAGCGATATTATTATTTACCCCATGTCTGATTCCAAAAAAGAATATATAACTTTTTTGCCTCCTCATTTTGATTCATCTCTTAACCCGGCGATACATACATGCCCAAAGTAGAGCAGAACTTACTACCTCCAGACATGTAACTTTCTTTGACAGCTATCATTGAATCATCACTAACACAATTCGTACATGGTGTTGAATAACAAGAGGCGGGTATACTTAGATTTCGCCCGCAAGTAGGATCCTCGTTCGGGGCGGCGGAGCGGCCCAGAGCCAGTAAAGTTCGTATGGACGTATAGTAGAGGGTAAATACCTAGGGTAGGTAAACCCGGTGAGAAGTTAAAAAGGAGAGGTATTCATTCATACCTAGGGAGTTTACAAAGAGGAGCGAAGCAAAAACAAGGAAGGTTAAATAAAATATGGAAAGCAGACGATCCCAAACCAAAAGAATAATGGAAGGAAAAGAAAAATTCAAAACGCCATGTTTATGGCCAACGCTGAGAGTATCACGTAAAAAAAAAAAAAAAAAAAAAAAAAAAAAAAAAAAAAAAAAAAAAAAGAGAGAGAGAGAGAGAGAGAGAGAGAGAGAGACGAAAATAGATGAAGACTATGTCGGGCTTGCTGGCGCCCATAGCTCTATTGCACTGATCTGGGAGACGGAAATATATAAATCCTACGGAGTATGAAGGCCGAGAGGTAGGGTAGGAAGATCACATGTGCAGTTAAAAAAAACAAAAATAAAAACAAAAATAAAAATAAAAATAAAAATAAAAATAAAAAATAGAAAATAAAAAATACAAACTCAATCCCACCTCCTCACCGCAGCGGTCGCATCCGCCTCCCTCGTCGCACGGTTATGACGACTCGCCTCATCAAGCGTCTCATTCCTCGTCTGCGCCTTCTGGGCCGCGAGCTGTGAGCTTAGCTTGCCCTTCTTTGCAGACAAGGACTGTTTTGCGGCTCGTTCCTGTAGAATACAAGGCATTAAACCAAAGTATTAGTTAAAAGGATATTCAAATTCCGAGGTATATTCGCGGATGAGATCAAAAGATGAGATCAAAAGATGAGATCGAAAGATTGTGTGAAAAGGATCCCAAAAAAAGAAAAAAAAAAAAAAAAAAGGTAGGTATAGAGAACTGACCTCTGCGGCACGGGCAGCAGCATTCCGCGGGTCTTCCGTCCTTTGACCCGGGCCTGGGCCACCTCCTGGGCCACCACCTAGAGTCCTCCCTGCGCTGGCGTTGCGCGGTAGTGAGGCGCGGGGTGCCTGGGGAGGGTTTGGATTTGTTCCTAGGACCCTACCTGGTTGCGCAAAGGGTTCTGTTGGGTTGGCGCTCTTAGAGCAGAAGCTTCCCATGACTGCTGGGGAATAGTGGACGGGAGGAGTTTCGGGCCGTGGCTGTTTTTATGTTTCCACGAATTCGGTTCCGTTCTTCTATCCTTCTTTTTTTTTTCTCGTCCGGTGGTTTAGAAGTGCTATCTAGCGCCGGGAACGGAAGAAGGTGGGGGAAGGGAGCGGGATTGTGACAGATGGGGGGGTTGTTATGGATGGGGCCGCCGTGTAACCGGTTGTTGGATAAACGTTAATCGAGGTGACAGGGAAGTACAATGTATGTATGTATGTATATGTATGTACATGTACCTAGGTACGTAGATAATTCAAACGATCGAAGCTCGTTGCCGGATTGTAGGTATCAGATGAAGCTGTGGAAATTGTGACGTTGTTAAAGGGTTAAGGCGTCTTATGCTTCTTCCCGACAAAGCAGGAATCCGGGGTGAGGATCCAGCGGGGAGTTGGAGCTAATTAGGGCTAGCTCCCGCCCAGAGGGAATTGCCTATTCGGGGTGGAAGTTAGGGCTAACCCACCGGGTGTAGCGTCACGTGGTCTATTCTCGTCAGGGGACCAAAGACGTCTCGAACTTTTCCTATTCCGGTCTGATCTGGGTTCCTATTCCTATTTCCCATTATTACTATTATTATTATTATTATTATTATTATTATTATTATTATTATTATTATTATTATTATTATTATTATTATTACATCACTACTATTATCCTATTATCAGTATATTATTATTGTATATTGCTGCTTGCATCAGAATCCGAATCCCGTAGACATGGCCTTGGTTACCCGCCTTGCTCTCGTTGGGCTATTGTTGCTGTGATGGCCAAGTCCCCCCCCCCGCCTTGTTCGTGAGTTTTTTTGTTGCTCTGTGCCCGCCAATCGTCGTTTTGCTGTTACTGTTGTTTTTCCCTCCTTACTACTTGCCTTGCTTTAACTATGGCCCCCAAGGTCCCCGTTGCGCTGCTCTGCGGCTGGTTCGACGCTAGTTTGCTCTGCGGAGGCATCGTCAACCACTTGTGGATTGCCTTTTTTTTTTTTTTTTTTTTTCCCTGTCTTCCCCGCGCATCTACTACATACCAACTGACTGTGGGATAGCTATGGGGTTTGTGCTTGCGGGATCATAATAATAAGGCTGCGTTTTGTGATACGTCGATTCTTCGTTCGTTGCCTTTCCAGTACCTTGGACCCAAGCGTCGACTTACCGGGATCCAGCCTCTGTGAGACTACCTAGGTATCTCTCACCTTTCCTTATCCCCGACTACCGGCCATCGATTGGCCACCCGTACCTATCTATGACCCGAACGCAAAAGACAGGCGGTAGGTTCTGTCTGGAATGCCACTGGGAATCGTTCAAAATGGCAGAGGAGAACCCCTCCTCTCTTGCTAATAACTGCGTTGACCCCTCGATGTGCTGGGGTGATTCGCAACCCGAGCATTGTTCTGCATACCCATCGTGTCAAAACGTTGACCAGTGCTGCGACAAGGATACCTGTTCTGTTGAGTGTTCTTCTGTTTGTGATGGCTTTGTGGCCTGTGATGCATCCACCATCTGCTCGGAAATGCTTTGCGAATCCCAAGATTGCCAGAATACCACTCCAGTCTGTTTCGACCAGAGCTGTATAGCTGACGGCACAACAACAACAACAACAACGGCAGCAACAGCAACAACAACAACAACAACTGCTACTACTATTGATGAAGGAATATGCGATATCCTTGACCAAGGCAGCTCCTTCAACTGGAATACGACCGAAAACCTCCTTCATTCGTCCAACGCAGCAACGCACTTCAATAACCCCTTCCATCCTCAGCACAACACTGCAACCGGCGGCGTTGGTCACAATATGCATTCCACCAACCATTTTACCCCATCGGAACCATCCTTGATTTCCAAAAACTACGCATTTCAATTTCACCAAGACCACCAATCTTCCTCCTTGCACCAGCCTGCTTTAGCCGGATCTTCAAATTCGTCGGGTTCAATTATCAATCAGACAATTGATCTGTGTCCAACTCTCGACAACTGCAACCATCAATCTCACTTCGGTCCCGTTTTCTCAGATTGCAATCCAGATGAATTCCTGGGTTTTATCCCAATGGAGTTCCAGTCGCAATTCCACTCGCTTTATCCGCAGTTATATCCAAGGTTTGACGGCGGTTTGACGCTGCCATGCGAAATGCAACCCGAGCATGTGCACAAGAATACGTCGCTCCCAGCACAGCATACCGATCGTCTTACGTCCTCGAGTCGGGATTCTGTACAACTGTATTCTAGCCCATCTATGACGCCACTCTCTAAAAGTAGCAATGCCACCTCGCCCCTCACGAGTCCCGACGTCGAACCCATGCCTGAGCTGCATATTTGCAGGTGTATTATAAAGAATAAGCCACAGAGTACGCTGTGTGGAGCAGCCTTTCCTGATGCTAGCAAGCTTCAGGAGCATCTAATTCAGGCCCATGTTGGGATGGTTGAGGGAAGTCAGGGACATGGCTTCTATTGTTGCTGGGAGGGTTGTCATCGCCCCGATGAACCGTTTTCACAAAAGTCAAAACTTCAAGGACACTTTCTGACACATAGTAACCGTAAGGCTTACCCTTCTTCCTTCTCTTCAATATTTTTTACAAAATCCTTTTGACCTTTTTTATCCTTACAAAACATGGGTATCGTCTAACAATTTATTTCTTTTTGAATCTAGACAAGGGTTTCCAATGCTCCACTTGTGGGAAATTCTTTGCGAGGCAAGCAACTCTGGAACGCCACGAGAGAAGCCACCGTGGAGAAAAACCATACGCTTGCAAATTGTGTCAAAAGGCGTTTACAGATAGTAGCGAGCTAAGTAAGCTTAGCCAAAATTCTTTTGCTTCCAGTTTACCTTACTTGTTCTAATCGCGGACTAGAAACGCATATGCGAATTCACACCGGCGAAAAACCATTTAAATGCAACTATCCAGGTTGCACGTTTGAGACTGGAGATGTATGTAACCTCACTTGGTAGGTTATCTTGATCGGTATGCTAACATTGGTGAAACGTAGTCATCAAATATGTCCAGCCACAAACTTAGTAAGTTTCTTCTTGCCCGATATCCATGAGCTTTGTTCATTAGAAATGTATTTTTCTGTTAAACTAACGGCGTTGTCTAGCCCATGGCGTACGCAAGCACAAGTGCAATTTCCCCGGTTGTTCAAAAAGTTTCACCCGGCCAGGTTCGTTCTAATACCCTCAATAACTACTCTATTCCAAAGCGGCTGGTGGTGGGGACGAACAAAACGGAATCTAACCAAGTTGTTGATATATAATCCAGACCAACTGAAGAGACACATAAAAACGACTCATAAACAAGACACGAACTCATCCCTCCCTCTTTCGTCGCCTATAGTTGAACAATTCCCTCTACCACAATTCAAACCTCCCTCCGCGCATCCTTCTGTCGCCATTCCTTACCAGACTGTTGCCGTTACCATGCCCTAGTAGCTGAATAGGAAACACATTCTACATCCATCCCACCACGGCCTAATTTATCGACATTTCAAAGCAACGCTATCGGTTTCCCCAGCCAAATAAATAATGGAGCGTTAGTTTTCAAGTGTCCTAGCTTTTGGGCGTACATAAAAGTTTTACGAAAGACACGGTCCCTTGTACAGTACATTTACATCGCTCTCATCCCATATTTTTTTCCCCAGATACTGGACTCGGCGTTTGGGGGGCCCATATTTGGGGGTTTTAACTCTTATTTCATTCCAGCGGAAGGTGAAGAAAAAAGGAACAGGGGAAATACGGCAATTTTACGGCAATTTTACGGCAATTGGCTATTGTTTTTTAACCTCTGAAATCTCTTTACTGTTTACTGCATATAAGTTTTGGCTTAATTATTGGTTCATTCTTCGCATTCTCGAACGAACATACAGACAAGCTTAGCCCGCCATTTCTCTTGCTTGTTTGCTTGCTCGCTTGTGCAGAGTCGAGTGGTTTGGGAAAGGCAGACTCGATGACGGGGCGGTCGGTATATTATGATCATGTATATGAATGGCACAATATAAAGAAGTGTGCAAATTTACTTTTTGTCATGCACGGATATTATATATATGCGCTCTTTTAGCTAGATATGCGCGAAGAATAAAGAATATCACATGACAAATGATATACATACGTTATGTTGAGATTTCTGGACACAAAAGTATTTGGAATTACTGGTTATCCATCCATCACCTTGTAGATATACAGTACATAGAATATCTAGAACCAAACACCCTGAAATGCATCAAGCAAGGCCCACGAAATCCTATTTCAACCTATCCGTCACCCTTATAAACCACGCCCAAATCCAGCTTTCCCTCCTACAATGTACCAATGTACATGTATGTACATATACAGCGCATGGCAACACCCACTCACTCCCTAACACTCTCCTCCAACTGCTCCACCGCATTCCTCAACTCCCGAATCCTCTGCCCAATCCGCCTTTTGATCTCCTCCCGAACTTCATCCGGAACCTCCACGGGGTTAAACCTCATACTACTACTACTACTACTACTACTACTGCCCCTCGTCTGCCCCTCTTCCCCCTCCGCTTCGCCAGCTTCATTTGCCCCTCCTGCTCCGTTTACCGCATTAGCTGAAGATGATGGCGGCGGCCGCTCGAGATGCGATGGGTGTGGTGTCGTTCCTGTGTACGCGGCGTAGGCACGGTCCAGGTCATCGAACGCTTCGCGGAGGGAGATGCGATCGGAGACGGCGTAGATGGTGGAGGCGGCGGTGGATTCAGCTGCGATTTCGAGCTAGGGATAGAGGAAGCGGGGAGGTTAAAGGATGTTAGTTTTAAAGGTGGGAAATTTGGGGTTTGGGGGTATGTATGGTTTTGATGTATTGATCTAAACGTTGGGCTTTTTTATGTTTGACATGCCTCGTCTTTTGCAATCTCGTATCTGTATTTTTGGTTTGAAGGGCGCAGGGGGGATCGTTTAGTCAGCTCATTGATTTCTCTTCCATTGTGGTAAAATAATTCTTAGCCGAAGAAGGAAGAGTCTCGGAGAGGAGGGGTGGGGGGGTTGGTGGGTGGGGGCGGGAGAATTGGGGAGATAGGGGAGGGGAAATCAGCTCACAAATCTTGGAGTTCTTGAATGTAATCATCTGCCTTTGGCCGCTGGGCTTGTGGCATGGAAGAATAACTCATCGTGTGGCGACAGGGTTGTTGAAGAGCCATTGATGCTATCGAGGCATTTTTTCGAGAAAAACATAAGATTTGTTGGGAGTTTTTGCATAAGCTGTGACGAGCTCTTGTCGAGGATATGGAGCGAGGGGTCCCTCGAAAGCAAGGCAAGGTAGTATGTCGCATCGGATGGGGGAGGAGTCTCAACGCGCCTATCCTACCGACATCCATGCCTTTTGCGATGGAAACTGTTGACAATGACATCGTGCTGTTCGATATGTTTACCCTATTGAACTCCCCATGTCAGCTCCTTCGCATATTGATTGAGTAAGGGGGATTTAAGTGTATATACATACTTCTGAAACTAGATGACACGGATTGGATGAAATTCAAATTATTAAACTGAAACATAAAATGTCAACACATCGAAATCCTCGCTGGGCATCTGGAACATTTACAGACGGTAGTGAGTGTCAACGAGAAGACGAGCGAGTTTCAAACTCAAACAATCCGTGGATGATGTTGATGTTGGTTTAATTCGGGCAGCCGGCGTTGAGGAGCGGATGACGTCATACTCCCCCTGTCGATTATCAATCCAATCAGATAAGGCCGAGCTAGCCTTGGCGTAGATTGGTGTCATGTGATATCAACATCAGCCGTTCAACTCAATTGTCAATCTGCGTAGATTGTTGAAATAGTTTCTAATTGTTGCTAATTATCCACTCTCCCAGGCATCTATCGATAATGAAATGGTAAAGAAGCAAGCCTAATCTGTATATCACACCCGATTCGGCGATTGCTGTGTTAGCGCAGCTACGGAAAACCTAGATCTCAAGACCCTGACCATCCCCTTACAACAGTACTACCCAACAACTCTCTATAGGCATAAGAAGGAACTACAAAACTGGCTGCTCCTCTCTATCACGTCATCATTATCTACAACTTAGCTCTATTACCTCGAAGCTTTGCGGCATCTCTATTTGCCCATTCTCGCATCACTTTGCGTAATATCTTCCCGCTCGGAGACTTGGGGACTTCGTCGACGAACACCACTCCGCCGGTTAGCCATTTATGTTTGGAAACACGGGGCTTAAGTCATTCTTGGATTTGGGCCGGCGTAGTCGATGAATTCGTTTGCTTTGCATTCTCCTTGGGGACGACGTATGCCCGGGGAAATTCTTCGTCGTCACTGCACGAAGTGAAATGACCCAAGTTAGCATGAAGATGCTTGTATGGATTTTATATCCAATTATTATTTATCCATGGAACCTTTTCCTTTGTCATTTTATTCTTTAGGATTGAGGGGCACTTACAGTGTCATACCAACGACAGCCGCATCAGCGATGCCATCATGCTCTAACAATGCTGCCTCTAGCTCAGCCGGCGCGACTTGCAAAGCGTTGACCTTAATAAGTTCCTGCTCGAGGCTTTTTTAGTACTTATACAGGAATATTTCACTCGGAACGGAAACGGGTGTTGATACCTTTTTGCGATCGACGATCCAGAACCAATTGCCCCCAGGTAAGGCAACGGAAACACGGGGAAATGGCTATGCCTCCTTACTCGTCTGTCATGCCCCAGGAACATGCATGGCGGCCGAAGTTACCTCGGTCATCCCCGACCCTTGTTGTACTATAACCCCGAGCTTCTCAGAGACCTCGTTCTGGAGCTTGCGTGACAACGGCGCAGCTCCGCATGTAATGAGCTTAACACTACTCGGGTAATACTTGGCCGTCTCAGGCCTTTTGCTCAGCATGACCATAATCGGTGGCGCGACATGCAACTGCGTTATCTTATGATCTTGAATAACCCGCAGGAAATCCTCATATACGAACTTCTTCATCACATATACGGGCACCTGCATCTTCGCGGCCACGATGATAGTATACATCTATCCGTACACGTGATACAGCGGTAGGAGGCCAATCCATCGCTGTGGAGGTCCCCTCTCTGCAAAGTATTTCTGCAAGACACCACGAATGGCCGTCGACTGCAGGACGTTGGCTATCACGTTTCGATGACTCACACATGCTCCCTTCGGTAATCCGGTGGTGCCTGATGAGTAGTTGATGGTCGCGATAGTTTTTGCGCCCTCGCCACCGGTTAATTCAGGCCATTGGTACGAGTGCGACTCTTGTGTAGTTGCCAGGAGACCATTATTGCAGTCTCTCACATCATTTTTGTTCGAGTTCACAGTATCCGAAAACTGGAATAAGCGGTCCGGCGAGATATCGGCCTGCTTTGCAGCAGCAAGTGCATTGTCAACCAACGATGGGTGGACCAGGATGATTTTGGCTTCCGTGTTCTTCATCTGGTATACCATTTCTATTTTTGGTCACAGGGGCCGGTTAATGCTGTACTTTTATTAAGAACCCGGCGTGAGGCATTCTTAAAAGCAGTTTATTTATCGTTCACACACCTTGCACACTATAATTCGGATTCATCCCGCTAAACACCCTTCCCGACCCAACAATCCCCAGATAAGCCACAGCGACGAATATCTGATTTGGCGAGAGCACCAATACAACCTCCCCCCTTTTCACCCTGCTGCCACCACTGGCAACTTGGAACCGCTCCAATCCCATCGCCAACCGCTTTATCCATGGCAACGCGGCACCGGTGGATAGGCTGATAGAGGGGTCTTCAGAGTTGATCCATATGGGCTTCGTGGAGGTGTGGAGAGGAGATTCTGGCGGGGAGAGGAAGGTGAGCAGATTCGAGGTGGGAATGGGGATAGGGGCGAAGGGGGAGTATCGCGGCATTGTCTTTCAGTTTGGCGGTTGTCTGGGCTGTTGTTTCCTCAGATATATACATATGGAAAATAGTCTCTTATTTCATTTTCATTTCTCGTGTCATGCAACCCAAATAGATCGTCCTGTGTCCTCCTTCCCCGCACAGAATGCGGCAAGTAAACTAGAAAAAGGTGCACAGCAATATATATATATATATGTATCTATACAATGAAAATGAAAATGAGATATACCCTCCTCCCCCTTTAAATGCGAATAGGTACATAGCAAGTGTGTACGCTGCGTATGTCCCCACTTAACCACGCTCAAAACCCCCGCACAATTTTCCGCAGCCAGATCGGCGTCCGGTCCGAGCTGCTGGAATGGCTTCTCTCGATTGCCGAATGCCGGAGGGACTTCGCTCTTCTTTTTACATATTTCACAACATTGAACTATCTATTGTTCGTAGTACATATTGTAACAATAAAAATATATATATATATATATATGCAGTTAAATTTCTCAGGGTAGCTATCGCAATTGTGGGAGGGTAAATGGATCTCAAGAGAGCGAGCAAAAACTCGGCTAGTAGCGGTGCATGTAGAAGAAGCAGGAAGGAAAATCAAGAAGTTAGGCAAAGCAAAAGCCACACGGAGAGAAGCCGTGGAAAACCGAATAACCAAGCAAAATGGGAACGGAGAAGGGCCGGGAATGAGGCAGTTCATTATTTCGTCAATTCGTCGAAGAGAGCAGAAGAGAATTAAAATCAATAACTAGGGGGCCAAAGTAAATCTGGGCAAAAGCATAGCAAATAGATTGGTTTGCTGGGCGCTGCTGGCAAGGAGCCAGCCGTCTTATGGTCATTTTGGCCTAGGTGGTAACTAAGAGCCTGGCCCGCCCTGGCAGCTCTGTAGCCATGATAGATAGACGGATTTTGGGTGGGTGGAAAAAAAAAGCAAAATATACAAAAAACCTAGTTTTAAATTCCATCGTTGTCATAAAACCATGATCATAACCCGGAAAAAACGCAAGTTTAGACATGAAATCGTCCCGTATCATTCTTAATACCGCAACAAATTTCCCCTCCCATCATGAATATACCTGGGAGCATCCTTCACACTCACCAGCGACGACGGTGAATCATAGGATCGCCCATGATCACGGTCCCGATCATGATCATCCAGACTCCAACTCCTCGACCTGAGCTTTTCGCCCATCATCGCCCTCTCCCTCTCCATCCTGCCCTCCTTACACTTGTGCTTGAACGATCTCCATTCCGCATGGTGCTGAGCCGCATCCTTCCACTCATCAACCGCGCTCTTGACCCCAATCGCCGCGACAGCCACGCTCGCCACATCCTTTAGATTATTCTTCGTGCGCTGCCTGCGCGCCTCGTCCGGGCTGATCTCACCCTCGCGGAGCAGGGCGTTGCGTTCCTCGCGCTTCTTGATGCTCTTGACGATGCTGTGGCCGGCGTGGACGGTGGCTAGCGTTGCGAGGCCCGTGGTAACGAGCTGGCGTCGGTGGAGTTTCCTATGAGTGCGTCTTTCCTCGTCGGTGCTGAGGGAGTGGGAGTCAGAATTAGTGTCATTGTCATTGTCATTGTACTTGTACTTGTGTTTGTCCATTTCATTGTTGCCGCTGGAGTTGCGGTATTTGGTGGCGTGAAGGGAGGGGGCGCCAGTGTTGCTGCCAGTGAGAGGAATCACAGCACCCCTGTCCCGTAGGGAGGAGAAGGAAGAAGAGGGGCGGAGACGACCTACATCTCTGGAGTAACTGTCGCGGGAATCACTTCGTCGACGCCGCGACTGGTATTTATCTGAGTACCCAAAGTCAGAGTCGCTGTCCTCATCGTATCGCCGTCTTTCACGATGACGCCTGCTACCATGGCCGGAAGGCTCCTTTTCGTCCCCTAGTCCGAGGGCAGCGAGGCCTTTGTTTAGGTACTCTGAAACGCTCTGGCTCCTCTTCTTGCCACCCCGACTACGACGCGATCGGTCCGGGCTACTTTCAACATCGGAGGAATATCCGGAGCGTGCATCGAGGTCTCGAGACTTTGAGCGGTAATGGTCATAAGCAGCTTTGCCGGCGGCTGCCAGAAGTCCGGCAGAAGCCAGCTCCTTTTTCCCGGGGCCTTCTGACCGGGCTCGTCCACGAGATCGAGAACGGGAGCGAGGCCCGTTTACCATACGGTTGGTAGCCAGTCCTGCTAGCGTGGACTCGATGAGATGGCGTTTGCTGTGCTTGTCTGAGTGGCCGCCAATAAGCTTGTTGGCTCCACCTGCACCAATGGCTGCAGTCAATACTCGCTTTCCCTTCTCCCCAGTCCAGCCTCCAGGTTCCTTGCGGGCGCGGTAAGCTTCTGCTGCGCCAGCGGTCAGCGCAGCTTTGAGAGTCCGGGTGAGCTCCTTTTGCTTATCGTCACGGTCGCGGCTGCGGGAACGGGAGCGGGAGCGGGAGCGGGAGTGTCGTCGGCGACGGCGGTGAGTTCGAGAGTGATCATAGTCAGAGTTATAATAATCGCGATTAGCGCCATGACGGCGGCCGTCGTCGTGACGCCTTGATGAGTGCGAATCGGTAGCTCCTCCCAGGCCAAAGGCAGCCAGAGCCTGTTCGCTTAAAGACTTGCGACGTCTGGGTCTGGGAGATGGGGTTCTAGAAGGCGAACGGGAGTATGACCGTCGGGAGTTGCGATCACGATCACGATCGCCTAATCTTCTCAATCAGCCTTCTTACACGTCACTAACAAGCAGATGTGGGTGTTACCTCCAACGGTAACATCGTAACATCGAGCATTCGGGCAAGCCAGAAGAATAAACAGTCCATTGCCGCTGTAAGACTTACGTCGATTTCCATGGCCATGGCCACGAGAACGCCGGTAGTCCTCGTTGCGACCATGATAATTCCCATGACGATCCCGACGATGCCCACCAACAGAATGAGTACGTCTCACACTGGGGTCATCTGTTCTCCGCTTAGCGTAGATTGCACCGTGACCCGATCGGGAGTAGCCATAATTCGCTGATCCCGGAGGAAACTCTCTATGAATCTCTTCGACCTGGGAGTCCTCGGTCTCGTCAGGGCGGACTACGTCGGCAGGGCCTCCCCAGCGGCTATTCGGGGGACGGGAGGTAGCGTAGGACGGCTCGTAATAGTCAGCGGTTTGAGCTCGTCTGTGCTGGGGGTTGTATGGGTGGTTTTCGTAGTAGGACGACGCCATGGCGCAAGGATATCACTATTGCACCCCGAAAGGACCCGGTGTAGGCTTTTTTTGGGAGCCTTGCTTCCGTCCCGAAGTTGGAGATTCCGAGGTCAAAGCAGGTATGACGGTGGACGAAACCACGATATACTTCAAAAAGCGGGATCTCTGCAGAGTAATAGATATTTCTCAATGAAAATAAATATAAATATAAAATAAATGAAGTGGACGGATACTGAGAATAGTAAAATAAAAATAAAAATAAAAATAAAAATAAAAATAAAAAAGCGGGACGAGGAATAGGTCGTAAGCCGATGGTGGGGGGAACCTCTGATAGATATAGCCTGGTGGCTCCTCTTGTTGGCCTGGCCAGTTAAGAGGACTGCACTGTGACGCAAAGCGCCCCGTTTTTTGCTCGTCTTTTGCTCGACTTTTGCTGGTCTTTTGCTCGGCGATAGCGGGCTGTGGCGACACAGGAGGTAAGGCTGGGGCTGGTGGGATGTTGGGTGTCTGTCTATACGCAGCGTACAGGGGCGATAAAAGTGAGCTCAATGGCAGTCGCAGAATACAAGGCAGAAAGAACTCCACGATGATCTGGGATGATATTAGATGGCCTAGAAGTGGTGATGATGACAGGGATTTTGAGGATAATGCAGCGGAGGAAAGGATCTTTTTTTTTTTGAATCGGTGCGGGACGAAACCGCAGGATGGAGGGGGAGGCGTGTGTCAGTGGTTCGGGCTACAGACAAGTAGTTAACTAGCCCAAGGTCGGATGCAGGGCGAGGCTGATTGTGACGGGGCGCAACACCTGGTTGTGTTTGATATAGACCAGAGATAGTGGGATGCAAAAAGCAGACGGTAATCGGATGGAGGAATATATAGTCTTTTTAAAGGGGAAATTCCGATAAATATACATATAAATAAATATACATATAAATATATATAACTATATAAACAATTCCCTGATCCAACCATGACGTCATGTGATGCTAGCATGCATGCCAGTCTACCTAGTCTGCCCTAACCCTAACTAATTAATCCGAGGGATATAGAAGAAAGGTGACATCTTGCTCAGGCGACGTTCATCAACTGTGATCTCTCGACGATGAGAAGCAAAGAAAAGGAATGCATGCTAATATTCAAACACATTCAAGTTAACCTCACGTTCCTTTCTCCATAAATTTAGTGCTCCCGTTCCCGATCCCGGCTTGGAGCGGACTCTAAATGGATCCGTGGTAACCAGGCTGAGTATATCGACATCTTTGGGTATAACTCTAAAGTATAATAATATAATAATATATGAAATAATCCATATACATACAAGTGCTCCAAAATGGCGTTTTACGATCAACGACCCATATACTCTTTCTTATACATTCACAGGAAACGAGGTCAAATCATCAGATCAGAACAGCAGCATCAGTACGTACTGACAAAGTCGAAGGCAAGGTAGGTGGACAGTGACAGTGGGTACAACAAAGTCCATAGACGCTCTTCATCATAGAATGCATACGAATGTCAGCTTTTCCCTCAAATATTAACTACTCCATAAAATCCGAGAAGAAAACAGTTCTAACCCCTACATACTCTCTCGTCCCTATCTACGTCTTGCAATTCCCCATCTCTGTTAGGCCTGTAGGGTTTATACGTTGTGTAATAAATAACAAGGAAAGAAGAAACCAACTGAGAGGAGATAAGAGCGATAAAAAAATAAAATAAAACATGTCCATCCATATAATGCCACCAAGCCGTGCTTCAACCTGCGAGCTAAGAGGGGGTGGGTGGTCATGGATAACATTTATATCTATGCGAAAGAATCTCAGGCATTAATAACTAGATAGGTAATTCCAAAGATTGGGGAGAAAAGAAAATCCCCCCCCCCCCCAAAAAAAAAAATAAACCGTAAGAGATAATAAAAGTACTAACTATATATAAACTCTAGATCAAAATTCCGAATTGGGAATAAAAATGAGACGCATGCAGTACAACAACAACAACGCAAACGTGTCTCCAGGGCGCTGGCTCTTGGGAAAATCTGAAGCAACTATGATGCGCGCAAGAGGATGCATGTTAATGTAATGTACATGTATATGTATGTGTACATGTACGTAGTTGAATCTAGACCATAGTTTAAACTGAGTTGCAGAGTTCCAAGCATGACATTGAATTGGTTGAATTGCTCTCTATATTATTGTATCGGCGAAGCCTTGGCCCCCGCCGAGAATCTTTCGCAGTTCGTGTTTCGAGTGTAAGTCTCATTATGTAAGTTTTTACTTTTCGTCTTCTCGTCTTCGTCTTCGTCTTTGACTTCGTTTCAAACCATGGATTTGATTCCGAGGAAGGATTAAGGCGCGGATAATCTACAAATCGACAAGGGGAGAATGTGTGTGTGTGGGTGGGTAACTAACTAGTGGAGAGGAGAGAAAAAAAAAAAAAAAAATTGATGATGAATTAGATGGTTTACAACGACGAGAACGCAAAAAAGAAAAAAAAAAAAAAATGAAAAGGAATGGAGATTCAAAGCAGAAAAGCACGCCAGCTAAGCCCAATTCGCCCCTCGCCCTTCGCCCTTCGCCCTTCGCCATCACCACACCAGCGGTGCTTTCCTATGCGGAGTATTTTGCTTCTATAGATGAGGATATCAAAAAAGGAATCAAGACATGCATGTCATCCATATCATTTATTTAAAGAAACAAATCAAACTCAAACTCAAAATCAAATCAACAAAAGGGGAATTCGCTATAATGAACATCAAGCGCCTTTCGTCCGTCTCCTTCATACATACATACATACATCATCGCGGGTAACGGTCCAGCTTCGATTTCGTAGCAGCAACCGCAAGCGCATCTAACCCCCGGGTAATGCCGTCAGAACGCGACGCCCTCCGCATAGGTTCCCCCTGGCGCATGGACGACGTCACCGCCTCATTTAGCGAAGTATATGACCGTCCCCCATAGCTGCGACTCGTCGATCGACTCGAGGTTTCGTCCGACCTGTCATCTGCGGTTGGGGAAATGGGCGACGCAAGACTGAGATACTCGTCCCGGTCGTAATGGCGGCTCCTGCTGCTATTCCAGTCCGCTGGAGGAGTAGCAGTTGCGTCCTCGTCACCCCGATTCAGCGATACTTCGCTCGATATCGAGAGGCGGTGGGTGCGTCGATGTTGTTTCATGTTGTCTTTGCGAGTAAATGCCTTATTGCAAATTGGGCAGTGGACGCCCTTCTCGCCCGTGTGCTTCTTGCCGTGTCGTGCGGCGTGTCCGGAGGTAGTGAAGGTTGCGGTACAGGAATGGGAGGTGGCGTAGGGACAGGGGTACTTATTTTTCTTGTTGTTGACTTTCGCTGCTCGCAAGTCTCCTGATCCATTCATCGAGGTTTGGGGCGAGGGTGGGTCTCCATGGGGGATTTCGCTGTGTGTGATCCTCTCGATGGACAGTTTTTCAATAGGATGGGAGTATTGCGAGCCACGGCGGCTGGCGGGGCCATACGGACTAGCAACATGACTTGGGGGAGCCTGGTGGCTGTAATATATGGAATGCTCTGGATTTTGACTAAACCCGTTGCTATGTTGATGGTGATGATGCGAGCTTGAATCTAGACGATAGATACCAGGAGATCCAGGGGGTAGAATGGACTCGTCTGGCCGGACATTGTGATGATATCCACCTTGCGAAGGCCATTGGCGAACTTGCTGGTGAGTATATGAGGCCGTTTGTGGGCAGTATTTTGAGGCTTTTGAGGGTCGAACCGCAAAAGAAGGGTTGTCGTCGTTATTTAGAATAGATATCATGCTGGAACGGCCAGGGTCCATATCTTGGTATTTCTTTTCTTTCTTTCTTTCTTTCTTTCTTTCTTTCTTTCTTTCTTTCTTTCTTTCTTTCGTGCCGCAGTCTCTTGGTTATATACAACCAATATATACTCTTCACTCAATGGAACAGTATCTAGATCGACATATTAGAAACCCAGACAAGAACAAAAAGTACGAGAAGAAAACCCCCCAGATAAAAACAAAAGTAATCCACGTACCAGCTATATAAAGTCGGTATGTGTCTTTGCCCTGTGTAACTTGTCCCCGTGGGGGACGATGTACAGAACTTGTTGTTCGTCCGCCAGGTTGTATGGCACGAATTCTGGCTTGATAGTGAGGCCGCGGGAAGTATGTTCCCTCCGATAATTGACGAAATGTCCCGTGAGAAAGGGGTAACGTAACGTGTGGCGCAAACGGCTAAGTAATGAAAAAGCTATCCCGCGCCAAGGGACTTTGGATCCCGATATATGGGAAATCTAGGAAAACGGGAGGAGGGAGGAGGGAGGAGGGAGGAGGATAGTTGACAATGGCGTCGCTTTCCGAACGATATGATACACCACCAGAGCAGCCAGTTACGATAATTGAACAAGGGCCGAGACTATCAAAGGGATGGGGAAAGGGGCAGAGGGCGGTACAATGCTGGACACAAAAATTGAAAACCAGGCCTGATGGAGCTGCAACACAGGGTGGCAGAGGGGTTCGTGCACAGTGAGGTCAAACGTTCAATCACCAAGAAAATAGAATATAGATCAATAGGAGGCCATGCAGAGGCAAGTGACAGGACGGGAAAACGAGTCGGTTTGAGAAAAGGATGGTTATTGTATGCAGGCGCAAGGCAATGCTAAATAAATCCCACCAACCAGACAAAAAAAAAAAATGACAAGTTTTATTCCTTTTTTTTTTTTTTTTCCCTTTCCTTTCCTTTCCTTTTCTTTTCTTTTCTGACTTTTTGAAAAATAACCAATAAATAATAATAAAAAAAGAAGAAGAGCCGAGGGAAAGGCGGGGAGGCTAAGAGCTCATATAGGAACCAGAAATTATCGGAGACGTGGAAGGGGGAAGGGGGAAGGAGTACGGAGTAGTAAGAGGGTACATTACAACATACGATAACTTACTCCGTACTCTGTTTTGGACGGGGGATGATGCTGCCAGGGATGAAACAAGAAAGGTCGAAGATCCAAGAGGCGTCTTTCAAGCAAGAGTTACGACAACACGGCGGCGGCGGCCGTTGCCAGACTCCATAGCAGAGGAGCAACAGGGAACCGAGCGGATTAGCGTTTATTAGTGCTTGGAGCAAAAGCGCAATAAAGCGCAACTGGCAACCTAACCTAGAAAACAAAAGAACTCTCTCTGCAACGTTCTAGATAGAGACTTTTAGTTGGCCAGCTGGAAGCGCGCCAGGGGAAGAAGACCACCAGGAGGGGGCTTGCAGGCTCCAAACCTTCTCACTAATTATTATTATTATTATTATTATTATTATTACTCCTCCTCCCCATCCATAATTCATATCATATCCCAGAGTCCAAGATGAATGCGAGGGAGGAAAAGCAATATAACGTTGGTGAGGCGCAAAAAAGAAAGGCTTCCAAAAGCTGTCCCCCGCATCGTCATCATTCATCAACGTCGAACCGAGATCTCGATACTTGCCATGCCATACCCAATAATTAATCAACAGCGGCAAAAAATAGCATTAAGGTAGAGAGAGAGAGGATGATCGGATTCCTCCTAGTAGTAATTTTAAGAATTCAATTCCCAATTGCCCAACATCTTGTCTGTCTCAATATTGCGAAGGCATGAATACAGGCGCAATATTATGTGTAATTATTATTATCATCATTATTATATTATTATTATTATTATTATTATTATTATTATTATTATTATATTATTATTATTATATTATTATTATTATTATTATTATTACTATTACTATCATCATTATTATTACTATTATAGCACACCGCAACGTTCACCCGCTCGATACAGGGAGCTTCAAGGAAAAATGGCCAGCTAACTAGTGAGCAGCCAGACACATGGCAATTTCATGGCTCCCATCCTCACAATGACCTCAGGCCAAGGCGCCTTTTTTCTTTTCCCAAGGGTCCCGTTCAAACCCCTTCGAATACTTTCCGCCATCGGAATGATTGGCATCATGACTAGAATTTTGGGTCTGGGTTGCGCCTGTCAGACAGCCACTGCTACGGACTGGACTGGAAGGGAATGGGGGAGAAAAAAAAGAAAAAAAAAATTTGGGGAACAATTCCTGTCAAGTCACTGTTGACTTGACGCCGCGATGACGACGTTGGTTCTGCTTTAACTCAGCTACTCCCCCTTAGCTTAGCGGGATTTGGGATATCCAGTATGGGGGGGTTAACGGAAAAACTTCGTGAAAGGAAAAAACCTTGAAAGAAAAAAGGGTTTCGTGTTTGGCAATCTTAAAGCGGGTTTCGGGGGTGAGTGAGTGGGGGGGGGAGGGGGGGGGGATTAGAATTTAGGGGCGAGGGAGGTGACTTTTGGCTACTTCCTAGGCGCGCCTCCTGCCTTGGTCCCTGAAAGGGGAACGATGAGGTTACGAAAGAAAAGGTTCGGGATGAGCAAATCATCAATGTTCATCTGTCTGCCAAGGGTCCGTTAATAATAATAAAGCTCAGGTCTAAGGTGGAGAGTCCGCAGTCCGCAGTCCGCAGTCCGCAGTCCACAGTCCACAGTCCGGACATGTGGATGTTGGATGTGGATGTGGATGTGGATGTGGATGTGGATGTGCGTGTATGGAAAGTGCCCACGTTGCTGCTCTTCTTTGTGTGATTAAATATCGACTCGTATTATCATCATTATTATCATTATTATTATTTGTTATTCCCACTCCCACATACATGTTTTGCCCTTGCAGCAACAACGCAAGGAGTTTGAAATCCGGCACGCCGCCCGCCACGAGCTATACAGCTGACCGTACTTCCGCCTCTGAAATTTATTTTTTTTTTTTTTTTTAAAAAAAAAAGAGAGTGTTGGTTTGGCCCACTCCCGCGTGCTTATTAGGTTCTTCTGCCCTTGGGACCCTCCAACTGGGCGATCCCGAGGACCCTCGACGGCACAACCTCGACCGTCGAACCCGTCGACGACAAGACAAGGGTCCATAACCCTCTCGGAAAAAGGTCGCTTTCTAAGCTCCGAGAATCTGGAGACTTTCTCTAGTCTTGGATCCCATTCCCATACATACCATACCATGCAGAATAATCATGGTTTTGGTTTTGGTTTTGTCCTGAAAAAAAAAAAAAAAAAAAAAAAAAAAAAAAAAAAAAAATTCCGACCAATCGACCTTTATAACGTATGTTCCATTTTCCAATGAATAAAAGAAAAAATTTCGGCTCAGACCGGTACGTTTACGTATACGTTATTGTAGCAGGAAGCACATATGGGTTTCGGGCCAGCGAAAATAGGAACTACATCGAATTATCGTCACCCGAGCCACCACGGTTAAAGCGACAGTAGTTTTCGTGTTCCAAAGTCAAAGAAGAGCCGGCGCCCTGTACTGTACTCCGTAATGTCTTTCATTCTTCCTTGGATACGCATTCGTACATATAAATAGATCCAGGAGTCAATGTGTGGTTACACAGTTTTCTCTCTCTCCTCTCTCTGCATTTGAAGGATCGGGCCTGACATGCGCAGCAAAACCCTCGAATCTGCGATAGATAGTATAGTGACTAGGATCACAATGCAGGACAAAAGAGTTCACCCGTATTGTATCTCTGTTGGTGCCACTAACCATGCCTTTTTCTCCTGCATCATTCATCATCATCACCATCATCATCATCTTCTTCATCATCTTCTTCATCTCTCGTCGCGGTGTGGACTCACAGGCTGCAGGTGCCATAAGGGTATCCGAGCCCCATCCAGAGTTGCTGGCTGGATCGCGTGATATCCTATCCCTCTGTGATTCGGGATTGCACCCAATAATGTATTCCATTATCCCTTTGTGTGTGCTGCACGCACATGAATAGCCGACTTCAATTGATTGACGCGGTAGCTCACTGTTTAACTGTCTTGTTCTGCTGCCACGTTTCTTCTTCTTCTTCTTCTTCTTCTTCTTCTTCGGAGGAGGAGGAGGAGGAGGACATGATCAGTGGTTTGCAGAACGCATGAGCCTCAGATACCAAGGCCTGGTGGGAATATCCGACTTGTGTGATTCGACACCAAGCTCGAGTCTCCCCGCTGATGTATTTGCCTTCCTTTCCAAGGTTCTTTATTTGTTTATTATTTTCCCTTTATCATTTCCTTGTTTTCAAGATTCTGTAGTTTGGGTGGTAGGGTAGGGTAGGGTCCGGAAAACACGCGCTCATTTCATTCATCCATACCCCGAGGAAGCTTAGGCAATAATATTAATCAATTATTATGAAGTAAGTTAGTTACCCAACAGGTGCGGACCAATAATGAGGTGAGTGAGATGATTGCCTCAAGCAAAAATTCGTTTTCATGTTTTTCGTTGTTTGGTGCGCCACGCCCAGCCACCCCACCCTGGGGCGCTCGGAGGAGGGCAAGAAGATCTGATGTATGGTATTGGCATGCATGTAGTTACCCTTTATTATTACTTTCATCAATAATAACACTCATAGAAATCAGAAATCAGAAATCAGAAATCAACAATACAAATTTTCATGGCTTGGCTGCCTGTTGTTGAGTCGAGAAATGCCGATCTCATCCATTCATCATTCGTAATACATCCCAAGGTCATTTCTATCACTCACTCCGCATACCAGCTTAAAGCCCACGAGTCCCAAAGCTGTATCTATTATTCACGAATTCAACTGGTGGCCAACCGAGAAAAAGAAAAAGAACTCGAATGTCTCGGTTCCTGAGGCTATATTTGTTCAAAATTCCATTACATTATTACTTTGATGTTTCATTCATACACCACACCACACCGGTTATCACAATAATAATAATAATGACCATTAATCGAGCTTCAAAATCCACCCGTTGAAAAACTACTCGGATCTTCCAGGGTCCCGCTAGACTAGACTCCACAAACGAAGGGCTGGCTATGCGCGGGCCCTTCATACAACCGATCGCGCGGGAAGATAGAACCACCACAAGTCGTTTGGCCGAATGTAACACAAAGGTACCAAGTGATTCTGCAACTCCGCATTATTATTATGTTCCTCTCCATGTTTCTTGACATTTGACACTTGACACGTTACACGTGGGAGCTAAAGAAAAACACTCCACATCACGAACGGGCGCGCAAGGGAGAAGAAAAAGAAAAAAGAAAAAAGAAAAAAAAAAGAAAAAAAAGAAAAAAACAGACAAGGCCAAAGCAAATTCCCAAATCGGCTAATCCACTGTCTTGGTAGCCCGCTCTCTGCTGTAGTTAGCGCTGATAGTAGCCCCAAATGCTCGGTTAAGAGCAAGGGTCCTCGACATGGGGCTGGTGTAGCAAACAAAATGGAAATAAAAAAAGCAAAAATGAAAAACGGACGGATATAATCCTTGTACGGAGTAAAGAGCTGTGTGGTTCATGAACGTACGTGGTTGGTAAAATACGATGGTGAAGTCGCTTTTTTTGATGATATAACCCTGAAGATGTAGGAGCAACAACGCAACGTTTCTTTTCTCCACACCGATCACAAACACCCAGTAATTCTTATTATTCCTGTCAATATGAAAACTAGCGCGGCCTGCACGAGATTATGAGCAACACACACCGAACTTTCCCATGAGATGTGCCTCTGGCTTCCGTTGAGCTCCACTCTCCAGCGCTTGGAAGCGCTAAACACGGAGGCTGATATCTATCCCCAGCCACGAGTTCCTGTCACTGACCGACCTGTACTCTGTACTCCGTAGTTCCTGTTGTGTACAGCAGGAGACCCCACGCCAACATTCGCCAGCAAGGACGCCATGCCATCACGATCAAAAACCCGTCACAGATTGCGATCCATGACCCTGAAGAACCTCCATCATTTCTCTATCCTCGTATGTACAGAATAGTTACTAACATTCACAACGCATCCCAGCGTCATTTTCGGGGTAATATGGATTCCCATAACACCGCCGTCTTCTTAATATTTATGCCACCAGAGATTTGAAAGGCACAAGGGCGTCATAAATAGCTAGCTCAAATTAAGAGCATCAACATGGCCAGAATCCCATCGCGGCCCTGAATCCGTCCCCAACTAAATTCCCAATTAAAAGCCCCGCGGGCAAAGGAGACAATCCCCACTGCGGTGCATAGGCACATTTGCTTCAGGGGTGATTGCCAGTTCCAAGAAGCAACTCCGCCAAGGAACTCCAGTTCTCCCCATATCATATGTTGCGCGGCGATGGCTCTGCCTCTCCAATTCTCTCCCCTCACAGTGTCACCGTTTCCTTCGCTTCAAGGCCTAGCTTGTGTACAAAGGAGGAGTGAAACAAGCTAAAAGGGCATCAGGCTGCAGCCAGAATCCACGACAGCTGTACCTCTGAAACGCTGAGACCACCTTGCATCTCTTGGTGTCCGGCGGGTTTTTAGCCCATCGGGATTTGATATGAGCCCCATGAAGGTCTCCCCGCCCCATCCATCCCGCACTTGATTTTCCGGGGCAAACCCCAGACAGCAACCCTTATTATTAAGGAAGAAGGAGATGAAGAAGAAAGAGCCCGGAAACCGGAGCAGGTCTCCGGTTTTTTTTTTTTTTTTTTTTTTTTTTTTTTTTTTTTTTTTGATTGTGCTTGGCCACGCATAATCGCCTCATAGGGCCTAATTGATGAAAAACGTGCCGCCGTTCTATAGCTTGCGCTGATTGTCTACATCCACCAATTAAGATCATGGATACTCTATTCTTTTCTCTTCTTATTGATTCTTCAAGTGTTCGCGTCGATATGATCCTTCACACGCACGGAGCGGTTTCAAGATAACACCCTAGAGACAGCCTTTGCAACGAGATACATCAAAGTCCCTCCTCCTCCGTAGATGCTGGATCCTCTTTGAGTCCTCAAGCAAAATTGAAAAGCCTTGCGGTATATGACTCTTATTCCATTAATATTGCCAGGGATCTCAATGCAACCACATCAGAGCAATAACAGACATATTCCTTTTCTTTCACAAAACAAGGGGAAAAAAAAGAATAGGCTCCCAATTATTAGGTCGATATTCATTCATGCGCACACACCAATTTCTTTATCTTATTAGCGACTGATCTAGGTCCACGACAACATATCCAGCCACATGGGGTTTCAGGATCTTGGAAGTACTGGGATTAATATGCACTCTACGTTCATTCCTTTTCCGTAAACTTACTGAATAAACAGCGGTTTGTCTCGTATTTCCTCAAACGTGCTAGGGTGATTAATGTACACAAACATTCAACCACCAGCTGCCGATGTAGCTATGACTCCATCCGTCTCTCTCCTGACGTTCCATCTCTTTCACGCAAGTGTACCTATAAGGTTTGGAAAATTGGCGCGGCAGGGTGGGGCGGAAGCACGCCGCCTAAGGAGAAACGAAGGACGGAATTCGGCCAGATACGATCGGCCCCCAGCGAAATAATAATAACAACAACAGCCTTGTTGATCATTATTATTACGCCAGATCCACGGCAAATCTTTCAGAATCCTGTGGCTTTGTCTTGCGCTCTCTGTCTCTTTTGACAAAGCGGAATTGTTTGTCAAATGTGAGGGACAGCCCGGAAACTCGGCTCTGGCGACCAAGGGTTTTTTTTTTTTTTTTTTTCTTTTCCTAGCATATCAACCCGCCTCACATTAAGACTGATTTTCCACGGCCAACCATTATTTGAGTCAATTGCCTCCAGCAATTGTCTCTCAGCCCTGTAGTAGATGCCTGGTAATCCTAAACTTTTCTTCAACCTCCCTGAACCCGCAGCAAAGGAGACTGTTCCGAGACGGGAAGTAGGGTGCTACGCTACTGCCTTTGTTTTGGGCAGTACTCCGTAGTGTTTGTACGGTGTAAGGTCCACAGCTTGCCCCGCCTCGGCGGCTATAATAAGTCTCAGGGAAGGGCACCACTCATCACTTGGTATTTTTGCTCTCGTTCGTCCCTCCACAACCCCCCCATCAAGTTCCCGGTAAGTGTGGAAGTTGGCGGGTGTCTGGCGCTTTCTTGAGCGTCGAGGCCAGATAATAATGAAGACTGCGCGATTGGCCTGATTGGACGGCGGTCCGTACGGCCGGAAACTAAGAAGAACAAGACGCCAATTTGGCAGTGATGATGATGCATCTATGTGACGCTATGTCCTCTGGCGCCTTCGAGCAATCGCTGACTATATTAGTTCTCCAAACTTTAACTAACACAGCGAGCTACGAATGGCTAATATCTGAGCTTGTGGGGAAACTCATTGTTGTAATAAATTATTGCTTGCCAACAAAACCTCATAAGTTGTCAATTGGTGGGAGACTCATCCGTGGTGAGCCAAAGATGGTCTGTTTTCTTTCTTTCTTTCCTTCTTTCTTCCCCCCCCATTTCTGTGTGGACAACTTGAATTTTTGCAACTGGAGATGATGTTCACTACTCCCAAGCTTGCCGATAATGTTATGAACATGGGAGCTTACGCATCTCGTGCCTCTTCCCTCAGACTGAATGTCTTCTATCTTCCTTTCCACAGCTTTAGAATCCACTTTGCAGGGCCCAAAATTGATCCTGGACAAGTCTGGACGCAGCGGAGTGGATCTCTACGACTCCCTTGGGTGTTCCAACGCTTGCCATTCAAAAAAAAAATATGCAGGCGTAAATGTACTCCATTATTGGCCCTCCAGTGCGTGAAGGTCCGTAGATCAACAAACATAGGCCGATACTTTCAATTGCCAGCGCGACTCTAAATTCCAGGGTCGAGCAAGGGTTGAAGTCATTTTGACCAATGATGCGCTTCGAATGACCACCCTATGATGTGCCAGTTACATGTGGGGCTCTTCAGGCGGAAGTCTAATTTAACTTTAACGCTAAATTTGTTAATGTTGAACCTTCTTCTAAGGTTCTGCACCTTCTAGAAGAAACCTGTTTAACCAATTTCTGTCGCAAGCTCCACCCAGCCTCAACCTGCAGGCTGCAGGCAAGTCCTCTTCACGCATCAAAATGAGTTCGTTGCTTGAGTTTGGGGTTTTCTGGACCGCTGGCGGCTACATCCCTTACTGATGAATAGCCTAATCTTGGTTGTGTTGCCATAGTGACAGCGCATTTTGCAACTCGAAATCACGTGGGGATCAGCATAACCCTTGAGATATCAACACAAAGCCAAGGTAGGGTAGTGTTTCAAACACTTGGCGGTTGCATCTCTAGGTTGGAGAGGCTGAAGGGGTGCAGAATGATGTTATGTTCATAATTTCAGTCCGGACATGGCAAAATTTCCAGAAGAGCACTGGCAACTTACTAGCTTGTGCCTCCTGCCCGGGTCTGGTAAAATACCCAAATGAATATGAAGAACCGGGGGGTGTCTTGATAAGCTAGCAACTTGAGGAAGTCAATAAAGTTACACCTTTTCTATGCATTCCCACTGCTAACACTCTCCATGCATAGCCGAAAAGAGAGAACTCGTGGCGCAGCTTTGGGAAATTAGCTTGATGGAAGAATGGCACATACATTCAATTCTGGCCCAGGCATTCCTTATTCGAACTATTATTATTGTCTTTGGCGTTCAGGAGCTGATATGTATGACCGCCGTTTCATGAGCAGACTAGCGTCATCGGCGGATACGACAGGGATGGGTTTTCGACCCTCGCGGTTTGCTCTTCTTGACGACGGATCCCCTACAAGGGCCCAAAGATGATTCGAACTACATACAATGTTGCCTTTTTTCTGCCCTAACTCATATCCTAATATGCCGGGCCTTCTCTCGACAGAACTAGGGAGGTGATACCCAAGGAGTCGATGAAGGACTCGCGCAGACTTTGTTGAGTGAGGAATTCTGACAACTCTCCTTTGTTCTATGGAGTAATGGAGTAGTACTATCAGAGTCTCCTCTTGGTTTTACCTGAAATGTACTTCTGTGGCGCAAGCGTAATTTCTCTTACGTCACTGGGAGCACCCTTGGCTTCCAATCACGAGTAATCTGACACGCTTGCGAGTTTATCAGATGATGTCTTCGTAAAGCAGGATAAGGTTCAAGCCGGGAAACATTCCAAGGACACTAGCTGCATCGCCTAGTCAAGCCACTTGTAAGCTACAAAGAAGCGACAAGGGTATCATCTGTATCGACAGAGGGACGATCGCCAAGGAAGCAACAACCCATTTTTTCATATGCAGCCAGAAGTGAAACGGCGTGAGACAGCTTTAACATTACAAAGGCTCGAAGCTCGGAGCCCTGCTCCTTTCAGCTCTCCTCCAAAACCCATCTCACCGCACTTTGCGTCCTGGCTAACTGTCGGGCTCGTCGATAGAGCCGTTGTGTCTTGATCTATCTGATGTGCTTTTATTTTCAGTTCATTTGCTTATCATTTCTCTAGACCAGAAATGCTTCCAGACCCTGCACTAGCGCAGCTAAATTCTTACAGCTTGACAATCCACTCTGACCCGTGAGAAAGGAACAGCGCGTGGCCATTCAGCGGATCGGTTTGTGGTACCTCAAACATGACGGTTAACGTTACCAGCTTGCCTCCAACCATGTGTAGGAACGAATCGGCATAACAACGGCCGCAGGTTCTCACCTCTAGCCAAACTCTTAGATGTCTAGTCGGCTACATTTCGCCTCGCATTCATGAATGCACTAATAAGAAACTGGCACAATATACTGCCTCACTTAGAAGTATATGTACTCCGTACAGCACATACCCATGGCGATTTGCGAAGATGGCTGAAAAGTTGGCTGCGATGATTCGTTCGGAAGAAAGTTCAAGTCGCTTGCGGCCACACCAAACTTGCATGGAGAAACTACTATGCAGTGGATTTCATTTCTAACTGGCGTAAGGAATGGGGATAACCCGTTTCTGCATTTTCTCACCGAATGGCCGGTTATCAAAGATCTGCACAAGTATGCCGTTCGGCGGCGGGATATGGGGAAGGGTTTGTAGCAAGATACCACGTCGCCTGTAGCCTGTAGGGCGAAGTTGAAGTTCGCTTAATGATCGGCGCGAAATCTAACCTGGAGAGATAGGTACTCGCATAGGCTTGCCATTGGACGGCTGCGGAGGATGGATGGGCGCGGCAGTTCTGCCGACAGGATATGTCGGTTGATCTGGCGAGCTGCTTTGCCAGCCACTCCTGCAGAGCTAAAACGAGACTTAGTTCACGAAGCGAGAGTGGAAGCTACCTAATAATAAATAGCAATTTTCTTGCTCTTTATCCCCCGACGTCGCCAACGATTGCGCCATCGCTCAAGAAATAGCGGCTGGAGGCGCAAAGAAAGAAACTCGGCACGATGCTCTGTGAACTCTGCTCGCCAGATACATGCCGGCGACCCATCATACCATTCTTGTTTCGCGAATGTTTTAATATTAAAATGAATGGATGATATCTAGGTTGATCGCGTATGAAGGAACGTCCCCAAGTGCTGCGTGCTGGACCGTCTTTCGTTCCATTGATGAATCCCTGAACTAAATCACACATCCCCCACCCGCCTTGCAACGGCTGTAGTTAGATTGACTCGACGAATGAAGTTCCGGCCAAGAGAAAAAGTTCAGAGCTTCAAAGTACAGTGAACTGTTGAATTACAAAGCCAAGATCCTACCTACCCCCTCCCCCAGCCAGACCGACCAATCGTATGATTTCCACCGAGTTGGGAATTAAGAAAGTCTCTGAAACGCAGCGGCGCCCAATCCACGTTTTCCCATTCCCTCCCTTCTCGATTTTGGTGATGGGATGGGGAGACGTTAGTGCTAGGGGAGTATGGCAGGGTCATCCATGCCCTACATGCACTAACTAACCCAGCACCGTTACATTTACTGCCGTCGCCTATCAGGCGCGCATGAAATCACTTCGAATTACCTCAACGCTAAATGATTATTATTGAATTGCTGACCATTGACGTTCGCGCTTTATTCCCTTTCCCAATTCCGTAATTCGTCTGCCATCTTGGATTGGTCCATAATCCATAATCTTGGTCTTATTATAGACAGGCTTTCCAACCTTTCTTCCCTGTTTGTAGTCCATAAGGCTCCCTTGTTGACCTACTACCCTACCTACCTACTGTCTACGTGGAGACGGCTCTGCTGTCATCATCAGAAAGCTTTTCCAATAAGATGGCCCCAGCCCAGACTGTTGACCCCTGTCTCTGGACCCTCAAAAAACGTTAACGCCTCCACCCCGATCCAGACGGCGGTCCTTGCCTTTCATAGTCCTCCCAGAAGGGTGTCTCCGAGCAGTATACGGAGTACTCCGTACAATATCAGAGATAATTAAGCCGGGAGGCCCAGCAAAACACGCTCTATTTTATGAAACCCTAATCCATACCGAGATAACCCGGAAAGTCCTATGGAAGTCAGATGCAGTCATCGTGGCAGCTGATACAACTGATCCTGTGCTTGGCCCCGCGATCAATTCTTAATACGGCTTCAGAATACAAATCAAGAATACCTCTGGATGTCTAGAGCGGGAGGCGGGAAAAAAAAAAAAAAAAAAAAAAAAAAAAAAAAAAAAAAAAAAAAAAAAGAAAAAGAAAAGGGCCAACACCTATTGCCTATGTGCACAGAGGTAAAGAATCCGGACTTGGCAGACTCGGAGACATTGATTCCTGTGACCTGCGGCACGTTTCGGGGACCCGAGTGGGAAAAGGAGACTTAAGTTTCGACTTGTAGATTCTTACGAATAGTGGATCTATCTTGACGAATGCATATGCATAACTACTTCCCTGGTGGCTGATATGCATTTACAGAAGGGAGAAGCGAAACATGCAACCCACCCACACCCACACAACCTTCATGATTCCACAACTTCCCCTTCCCAGGTCGTCTAATTTAGATGAAGGTAGAATGAGAGAGGCTGCGAAACGACGTTGATACTACAGTCTCCGTTTAGACGAGCAAGCAGGTGGTGCTGCTAAGCCCCAGCCAGAGCCATCGGTCGAAAAAGGACAGAGCTTGGGAAATTTTCACAGTGGATATATATCAAGAATATGTACGACACATTAGCAGGCCTGTGGTGAAGAAGAATGAATGCTCAGAGGAAAACTAAAAAAAAACTGCTAGGCCCATAGGATGTAATTCTGCAAATATTATGAGATCTCAAGATATCAGTTCATCAGCAAACAGATGTTGATGTGGAGTAAAATGAGGTGAAGTGGCTTCTAGAATACTTCATTGGCTACAAACAGTATAGTTAATTGATTGATATGATTTATCTCTCATGAAATTTGTAGACATATATATATATAATATATATGTGTATGTATGGCAACTTCAGAAAGCTTCTTCATATGCATCACATACTCCTTCCTATCACTGAATGTTGCTTTCTTTATTGAAAGAAATTGCCAGTCATACTAAAAAAAAAAAAAGGTATACATATCTTATTACATCCCTTCAAGACGACCAAAGAACATTGCTCTAGAGATAAATAAAAGAGCTCATACAATCCTGCTCAAGCATTTAAACCACCATCTACATCTGATTGTAATGTGTATATCTCAGAAGGCTTGCAGGAAGATAGAAAGAATTAAAAAAGAAACCATTCAACTCGGAGGGTAAACAACCATATAGAAGAGGGCAAGCTCCCATATCAGACAATAGATTCAATCATTGTACCGTACCGAAATGAATCCTTTCCTGTGTAAGGGGAAAAAAAAAAAAAAAAAAGAAAAAAAAACCCTTGTTCAACCCCCCTTCTTCGTTCCTCCTCTCTTTCTCTCCCCTCCCGCAAAAGAAAATTCCCCTTCCCCTCCACACAACCACATAAAAGACTTAGTTCGATTAGCCAAAACAGGCCGCACACGGGGAGGGAGAGCGAGAGGGAGAGGGAGAGGGGGGAGAAAGAGGGGCTAGGTACATAGGTAGCTCCCGTGACGAGAACTATCTATCCCGCTAGGCTGAAGGTCAAAAATATATATGGAGTTCCGCAAGGAAATTAACGGAGGGTAGTTTGATGAAGAAGTGAAAAAAAAAGGGGGGGGGGAAAGGGAAAAAAACTTTGAGAACAAGAGGGACAAATAACAGAAAAAGGGATTTATGGAGAGGTGTATAATGAAAGGTGGTATAAGGAGGAAGGAGAAACTTTATTTTTGTTATTTTGAGGGGGTGCCCACTTTTTATCATCATTGTACATGTACATGAAAGAACAGCAACAGTCCTGCTTGATTCTTCTTGGCGGCGTTTCTTTTCTGTTTTATTTTTTTTTGTTCAAGTGTGGGGAAGCAAAAAAGAGAAGACGAAAAGATACTTTGTTGAATCGCGAGTAGGAGTAGTAGTAGTAATAGTGAAATGCCTGAGTGATAACTCTATATATTTGTAGAATACTGACTGATGCTGGCTGGCTGGCTGCTAGGGCCCTGACGGGTAGAAGTGTAAAAGTAGCACGAGAAAGGGGACCAAAAAAATAGTGATTTAAGATATAAAAAAAAAAGAAAGAAGGAAAGAAAAGAAGAAGGAAAAAAGGTAGGGGGGAAAGAAGAATAGTAGAAAAGGAAAAAAGGAAAAAACGGGTCAAGTAAATGGATGGGTATTAATGATACAAAGAAGTGAAAACTAAATGAGCTGAGAAAAGAAGAAAATCAAGCTTCAAAAATGAATTTGTCTCTGCCGGGTGACGGGTGGTGGTTTAGGGTAAATGAAAAGTACAACACGATAAAATATACGAAAAAGGGGGGTAAATGATAGGAACGAAATGAGGGCATACAACGAATAAAGTCAGGGAGGTGCCAGTAGTAAGGGTACCAGATGGGTATGTCAGATCCATACACATGGTCGATGGGATGCTATCGGAGAAATGGGACGGTTAAATACATCAAATGTTGCATCAAGCATACGGATGGATGGGAGAATTATCGGTATCGGGATAGGTTTATGAGAGATCGGACCAACAGGTGTACCAGCCAGGTGTAAGGTTAAAACAGGACAAAAGGGAGAAGGTTTAGAGGTATTAAGGAAGGCGGAAATAGGAAAAGTGACATTCAAGGCAAGCGGGATGGATTTTGCGTGTTGGTACGAGTTTAAATTCTGATTAACGCGTGCCCTTCAGATTCAACCAGCTCATATCAGAGTTCGCGCTCTTATCTGGTTTAGAGAGGTCCTGCGTGCTCGACGACTCCGGTGCGTTCGAAGGCCATAGGGTGACCGGGCGTTCTGATTTTGCTTGATTGATAAAGGGCAACTGAAACAAGCTGCCAGAATAATTGCTACTTGCGACACGCTCGCCCGGGAAATGATGTCCTCCTGTGGCAGACCAGCCTGTGTTTTCGTGAATAGTTGCTGGCTCTGCAGATGAATATCTATCATCCTCATAGTCGTCAGACGCTATGCTAATGGAATCCGCGCTGGAAATTTTCGCCGTTAATCCCTGTTGCATGACAATGGAATCGCCTAGCCTTGGTGGATGTTCCGTGCTGGGGCTGCCAGAAAGGACCCGGCCGATAGGTTGGGCGTTGTTCAATTGGTTAATTTTTAGAGGTGCGACGTTAGTCGAAATCGTAGGCCAATCACTATTCCTGTAGTCTGACTTTGTCATCTGGGAAGAAGCCGCCGACGACCTGGCAGATGTGTCCCCAGCCAGCTTTCTCTCATTGTCGCCCTGGAAATACTTGCTCCATCCCTCATCGGTACGTCGATCGCCTCGAGTAGCATCTTCATCGCCCGGAAGGGATATCGTATTCTCGCCTGGAAGGTCAGTTGTTTGGATTTGACGAAGAGGGCTCTTGCCGCCCATCTCCTTTTCTACCGCTCCCAGAGCAGGGCTGGGGCGCATGGGAATACTAGATTTCGGCGGTCTATCATCAACTTGACCCGATACTATAGCCCAAGAATTTGTCGAGGGTACAGGCCCTCTTGCCATTGGCTCTATAGAGCGGGTTAGAGGTTCCATTCCTTGGTCCTGGAAGCTGAGTCGATCTTTATCCTCCTGGTAGCCATCTTTGCCCCTGTTCATGTACCGATTTCGTCGTTTTCTCCAGCCGATGAAGAGAAGGATAAGGATCAGCAGTGCGGCAACGCCCAAGATTGCTCCCAGGGTGGCGCCTACGATAGTCAACGTCCGCTTGTTGCTGGCGCCAGGCACCAATCCAGCGACACTGGTAGAAGAAGGCGTGGGCTCAATAGATGCACTTGAAGATGGGAAAGAAGTCGACGAAGACGTGGTGGGGATACTGGTGCTGGTGCTCGAGGTAATTTTTGCGTTGTCTCCGAGGAGCAATTGTTTTGTATCAACCCAACTATTTTTAGACTGGTCGAAAATCCTCACTGGGTAGTCATCATCCCGTCCGGAAATGACCACCAATCCATTCCCATCTTGAGCAAGCGAGAAATCATTGAGAGTCGTGCTCGGGGCGTTTTCATTATCGTATTTGGGGAAATCCGCCAAAGTCACATCGCGCCTTTGTCTCTTCGTTGGTCGGGAGGCACTGCCACCAATTTGCTCACCAGGGCGGGCGGGAACACCACCGGCACGCAACATCACATATCGCGATACTGAATTAGGCGATTTACTCACATCAAAGAGTTCGAGAACTCTACTACCGTCTGCACCGCTTAGCATCGCGCACTGAACTTTGGATTTTTCTGGCAAGGGCTGAACCAGGGGAACTCCGGTGTCCCGCCATCCTTCAGCTTTACTGAAAGTATATGTTTTTGTATTAGTAGGGCCACCTCCGACCATAAAAGCAGAGTCTTCACGCCACGGTAACAGGAATGGATCCACGGCAGAGTCAACTGGAGCCATAAAGGACTCAACTGCATGTGGAGGAGCGGCGGGGATCAAAAACGTTTGTGTGGACGGGTGGATGTTTCCACCCTGGCTGCCTGCAAAGACCAAGAGTGACGAGGAAGCAGTCAGGTAGATAGCGTCATGATGGATGCGGTTTTTGATGTCCTTGTTGTTATCTCGCAGCTCCAAGGTTCTCCATTTCTTTGCCTTCAACGAATAAAGCTGAATGCCACTGTAGTCAGGAGAATCAGACTTTCCTCCAACCACGTAAATACCTGGGTCATTCGGGTTACCGTCCACTCCTCCCAATGTGCAGGCTGCATTTGAAACCGGCACTCCCATGGGAAGCTTTGACCATTCTCCGTCGAGCTTCAATGGCAGCGATATAAAGGCATTGCGGGTATAGATATAAAGAACGTTGTCATGGACCACAGAACAATGACCCCTGAGTTCAACTGGGGGTTTAGGGAGAGACATCTTCGTGGAAGAGAGAGTGAGAGGTTATAAACGCCTCTCGACTGTGAAAAGGAGGATATGTAAAGTGAGCGTTCGTCCCCGGGGGGGGGGGGGATTATTCAACGGCTTTGGAGAGGTGAGGTAGCCTAAGAAAATATGACGCCGCAATACCTATCTCATGGTGCAATGTTCCGATTCACTAAAAAAGGGGGTCGTAAGTCGTTGATGGAAGTTTTGCGGGACGATGGATTCCCAAGCCGAGGCCACACAGAACCAGAGGAAGAAGAAAAAAAACGCCTTATCTCATGCACCAGATAACCGTGATTCCGATGAAAGAAATAACCACGATCCGATCCGAAGACGCAGTGAGATGAGGCTGAGTCGATACCTTCTAGGTCAACAGTGGTAGTCCTTCATTCCCAACCACAAAGAAACAATGATATATATGTATCAGTCGAGTGGAATCTAACCCAATGCGAGCGAAATTACTTTTTTTTTTCTTTATTTCTTTTTTTCAGATTTATTCGATTTCTTTAAACCAACCAACCAATAATACCACCAACGACGATCGATCCACGGTGTCAATGGTCCGTTTTTGTCGAAAATACGGGGGGTTGAATAGGAAATCTAACTCTCGACCAAAGGAGAGGATATGAATTGAGAATGCGCTAAAGGGAGGTAGAAGTGGGACAAGCGCGTTGAGTGTTGTTGTTGTTGTCGTTGCTGGTAGAGGTGAGGTCAGGGGGGAGAAAGGGGGAGAGGGGGGAGGGAAGACAGTTGAAGAACAGGTATAGCAAGTATCCAGACTGGGTGTATCTCAAACCAGCGAGAGGAGAAGCACAGCAAGCACAACAATGGAGAGAGCGAATGGAAGCAAGCAAAAGCGCAAGGAGAGAGAGAGAGAGAGAGAGAGAGTGTGTGTGTGTGTGTGTGTGTGTGTATAAGGAATGGAAGAGCCGTAAAGAAGGGCAAACAAGGCGCCAGAAACAGAGGAGAGGAGAGGAGAGGAGAGGTGATGTGTGTGTGTGAGAGAGAGGGAGAGAGGGTGAGAGGGTGAGGGATGGTGAGGGATGGGGTGAAGAAGAAAGAAAAGGAGGAAGAAGAATGAATGAATGTTTACAGCGTTACGTACGTTATGTTACAGCATACAGCAAGCATAAGGCAGTTTATTAGTTGTACGAGCGTCTTGAAACAGCCGGGCTGGTATTTCTGCGGTATTTTCGAGGTAATTTTGGTTCTCCCAACGGCCCAAGAGCCAAGAGAAGGCTGGCTGTATCTTTGGCCAGGGGCTTAACCTTGGTAAGTTGGTATTACGCTGCGTACGATGTGTACGGAGTAGTGTACGATGTAATTCTCGAGTTGGCTGACGGCGGCCCCACGCTGGGAACGTCAATCTTACTCGGGACAACCCCCATCCATCCATATAATATCCATTATCCATTGCAGTTCAAGACATAAAATGCCCAGTTGAATATATCCCGGATATTCCATTATGTTCCCTTCATTAATACTCCTCCCAACAATTCATCAATAAATAATTCACCGTGTCTAGACACCAAACACTGCTAGCACGAAATCGAATCCTTGTCTGAACTCAATCGCAGCGAGAGGGGAGCGCCAAGAAGTTACAGTACGATCCAAGCATAACGGACTCCGTTTAGCGCAGGGCGGTGCCCAGGTACAGTACCTGTGACAAGAGAATGTGGGGTACTTTCGCTGACGGCGGATGTATCTGATACATTGCCCCGCAGGGCTTGGCGGAGACAAGGACCACCGCAATACAGGTTCATTACCAGGCACCCCCGTACTGTTTTGTTAGCAGGTAACTTACGGAGTACCGTCACAGAAATTGGCGGCTGAACGCTGTCACCAGAGCATTGTGGCGTGGTATTTATTGAAACAAAACATTCTTTCTCCCTTCCCCTGGGTTATTTATTCTTGTTCTATCTATCACGACAACTTTTATTATTATTATCATCATTATTATTACACTCCGCACGCATGGTCAAGCAAAACTCGAGTTCTGCTACTCTGTATATATGAATGTATATCCGGATGTGATTTATGTGCATGCGCAAAAATACCCTCAAGAGCTCGCATTGGCATCCCCAAACTATGGAAGCAAAGGTCAAGAATTCCAGGGGTACGATTGCTTTGCGTAGGGAACGCCTTGCATACGCAGTAGATATGCCCACCAAATCTTGAAGACCTGCGATTGATCATCCCCTCCCACAAAAGAGAAAAATTAGAGACACCGAAATCCAGGACGCAAAAAAAAAAAAAAAAAAAAAAAAAAAAAAAAGTCCCCGTCAATGTTATGCATCGACCTGGTTCTGTATCCACCAGCTGCAAACGGGTTACACAATCACAAAATCACGCCTCGTCCTTCCCCCCTTCTTCTCTGCTCCCTCCCTGCCCGCCGCTGAGAAGAAAAATCATAGCTTGAAAAAAAAAAAAAAAAAAAAAAAAAAAAAAAAAAAAGTAAAGGAATAAAGAAATAATAAAGGGATAAGATAATTTCACTCGGCGGAAATGCAATGCTGTTTGTTGCAACTGGATCGCTCGTACGCATTTGCCATTCCTGTTTGGCGCAACCATTGGCTCCATGGAAATAATGATGGGAGAGACCGCTCCTCCTCTATACTTTTCCTTCTCATCAGAGGGAGGATGTAAGTAACAATAATATAATAATAAAAGAGACATTAGCATGTTTTGTGTGAGCGCCTAACCAAAGAAACCTGTTGGATGAATGACGACATCAACATCGAAACGCAACCGCCGCTGTGTGGTTGGAGCACGGGTTGGCCCGAGTCATCTATCCAGAAACTTTACTGCGTAATCAGGAAGGAAAATAATGCAAGTCAGGAAAAAAATAATAATAAGAAGAAGAATAATAATAATAAAGCCCAGATCAAAACGTACAAAAGATTCTTTGATAGTCCTTTCTTGCTTTTGATTCTTTATGCTTGATGATCAGTTGACTCTCTTATCAGCTGGGTTTATTCAGATCATTTCTTGTTAACTGCTTAAATACAGGAGAAGACAACCAAATTGTGAATGGAAAGCCGCAAATCATGGCAGCCCTAGCAAACACAAGCGTAAAGAGAAACGGGTAAGACATGCATTATTATTGGCAATATTGGTGTTTTCTTATTTCTTCTCACACATTCCATCAGGTAGTTAACTCACAATTTCGATAAAGTTGCCATGTAGTTATATCCGTAAACAAATTTCGGAAAAACAAAGAGAGAAGGCATATTCCCTCCCCATGAGTATGTATGTATTACATGCCAGCCATCAAAGGAGCCCATCCGTATGTATGTACGGAGTAGTAGGCCTGAGGAATGGACGCCCTTGCAAGCAAGGGAGCAAAGAGAGGAAGCAAGAGAGATGAAAACAAGGGCAAGAAATCGGATATCCAAGAAAGAGAAGAGAATAATAAAAAAAAACCCCTCTGCTTCCTTGCTCTCGCTCCCTCTCATTCGTCACTGCTGGACAGAACAAACAAAGGGAACCTCTGATCCGGCTGATCATCTTCGCAAGGCCCAACCAGGAGGAGGCAAAAGGAAAACGCACACCCCTAACTAACTCTCTAAGCTGAGCCCAGAAAATCGAATACCTGCCAGGGCCGCCCAAGCAGTAGTGACCGCTTGACGGGCGATAGGGAAAAACTTAGGTAAAAGAAAAAAAGTGCCTAGTTTAGCCAACCAACAACATACATAATTCGCTTGTGTGTTGTGTGGTCGTTAAATAATAATAATAATGCAATCCCATCCCGCATTTATTATTCGCGCAGTGAGGCAGACCATTGCCACCGCCATTTATCACCAAAGAGCCAACCAACCAATGCTTAAACTCTGCTTCTCCTTCTCCCTTCCCGTTGCACAGCTCCTTGATTATTATTATTATTGAGAGCTGAAAGAAAGGACGTTGAAGCGTTCAGACAACTCCAGGTTTAATTGTTTTTGCGTGTTTCTTTTGCCCCCCCCCCCGGGCTAACTCCGAGAGTAAATAATTGGGGCAAAACCAGCCTGCCTGCTTGTTCACCTTTCAGCGACTGATTTTTGATAAAGGAAGCTGAAAAAAGACTCGAAGGCCGGACACACATACCCGTATTTATGCGAACGTAACCTTTTCACCCATCATGGTACAGTAGTAGTACATATATATTATATATGTACAGTACAGTGCATTCAAAATACCTCGCGACTTCGCGTGGAGGACTGTACGTACATGTACTATGCCCTTGCCTTGCCTTGCCTTGCCTTGCCTTGCCTTGCCTATACTTACTTCTCTGTTGCCGAGTGCATAATATCTAAGAGAAAGTATCGGCAAATGCACAGCACAGGCCCAGTGCGTTGATCAAGAGGGGCGAAAAGAGCATACAAGTGTACCGTACCGTACCTGCGGCATCGTCACCGCGCATTATTAGTTACATACAGCATGCAAAATATCTCTTTTTGAAAACCTCGTCAAACCAGCCAGACAACTAACATCTGTGCCTGAATGTCTCCCCCCCCCCCCCCCCCCAACCCAACCACTAGGCTCAAGTTCGTGATTTCCTTCTTTGGGACTAGTCGTTTCGTTTCGTTTCGTTTCGTTTCGTTTCGTTTCGTTGGGTTGGGTGGGGTGGGGTGGGTGGTGTGAGTGTGTTAAGTGCTAGTGAGTGGTTTTAAGTCACACGTCCATAGAATAGCCGGGCGCCTCCTCCTCCTGAGCACTCAACCTCCAACCGGTGTTTGATGAAGCGACGGATTACTGGCGTCATTGGCAGGATTGCGGGGGACGGGGTAATTTCTTTTACGACAAATGTTGCAGTGAAGGATGAGCTTCAAGAAACGTTGGTTGGGATGGGATGGGGCATTTGTAGTTGGTTGTACTGTACATATGTTGAGAAAAGGAGTTTTTATAGATGGACGGAATTGATGAATTTTCGAAAGGTCTGAGATGATGGGTGGCAGATGGATGATGATTACTCTGTAGACTGATGTGAGTAGTGATGTGATGGAGGAACATAACATTGACATATTGTCCTTTACTTTTCGGAATAAAAAGAACTCAACAACACAGGCTACATACGCCTTGAGGTTACCCATAAAGAACGGCCCGCTAAACAATTTTGAATAATAGAAACAAAACACGTCCATCCAACTAAAACTCTTCCCGCCAAATGTGCCTTCATGCCTCTCCTTTGCCCATACTGCTCGCCTGCTGTTTCTTCCATTGGTGTGCTCTCTGCAGAATCTGCGACAACTTGGCCGACGACTCGTCGTCTGCGGGGAACATGTAATCCATGTATTCTTCATAGCGATCATCATCCAGCTTGCGTCGCTTCTTAACCTTGCTGGGCATCTGTCGCTCGATCTTGGTGATGTCATCCGGTGACCCGTGCGTCTGCTCGAAGGACTTCCATGCATTAAGCAGAGCGACTCGCTATAATGTTGGGGAACGTATGGTTAGCTTTCGTCATAATTTGACCCGTGATTTTGAAAAAAATGGCGGGGACAAAAAAAATAAAAAAAAAATTGAAAACACGCATAGACATACCTCTTCTTTCATCTCCTTCTCCTTAAATACGTTATGCGCCCGCTCAAAGACCTTCCGAGCACGGCGCTTAGCCTCTTCGCTAACCGGTTTCTCTTCCTCTTCCTCTTCCTCCTCTTCTTCTCCTTCAGGTATATTGATTTCGAATCGCGCGTAATTTATCCAGACCTTGACGTGGTCTGTCTTCTCAAGGAGGCGTTCGTACAACATCCTAGTTCTATCGTACTCTCCCTCGTACTCTTCGAAATCGATATACGACTTCCATAGAAGCTCAGGCATGTCTAGGACTGGTTGGGAAATGCCTAACTCATATATAGCGCGTGCTCGGTCAATATCATCTAGCCCCCGCTCCAGTTCTGCAAATTTTATCCATGCTTGACAATTTGCAGGATTCCATTCGATTTGCTTCTCGAATAGTTTCCTACATCGAACAAACTCGAAAAGCTGTCGTTCTAGATCGATATAGCCCTTGAATAGCTTGTCCTTTGGGCAGGCACCAATCGCATGGCCCAGGGTCTTTCTCGCCGCCTGAAGGTCCATCTGCCGGATTTCGAATTGGGCCTTCATCAGCCAGATCTTCGCGAATGTGAATTTTTTGTGGGGGATCAGTTTTATGCATTCTTGGTAAATTTGACGAGCGCGTTCCATGTCCTTGGTTTCAAGTTCTTCCCAGAGAGCGTAAAATATCCACAAGTAAATGTACCGACGCCAGTGTCGCTTCTCTTGTGATGGGGGAATCTGTGCAATCGCGCGCTCATAGACATCCCGCACGCGGTCCACATCACCAGATGTCTCCTCCAATCTAACAAAGTCAAACCATATATCGTAGTTTTTCGGATTTTCTTTGATCTGTTCTTCGTATTGGACTCTCCGTTTCGCAAGAATGACATCTTCAACTCCATCTCGATCACCAAACTGTTTCTCGAAGGTGGTGTAGGCTTTATGTAAAGCCATGGATTTCGACCGTGGTAATCTGTCCAGAGCATATTTATAGATCGCCCTGGCCCGCTCAAACTCCTTCAGTTTAGCTTCATATCGAGCATAGGCGATAAAAAGCTTCTCATCCATGAAGTCTTCACCCAGAGTCTCGATAGCCAGGCCGTAAACCTCCCTCACCAAGTCACTTGTTCCATACTCTTCCTCAAACCGTGCCCATTTAATCCAATTTTTCGGCTCCGGGTGAACAACAGTAAAGCGCTCGAAAATCGCGCGCACCCGATCGAATTCATTATATCGTTTTTCAAGCTTAATATAAGCGCCCCAGGCGCCTTCATCGGGCTCCCATGACATCCAGCGCTCAAACACTTGACGTGTTCCCGCGATGTTACCCAACATCTCTTCCATATAAACATATTTATACCAAAGTTTATCCACCCGGGGAAGAATAGTCACAGCGCGGTCAAGCAGGTTCCGTGCATGATTGATATTCCTCGTCTTCATCTCAGCTTCAATGTAACGAATCCATAATACCACAGCTGTCGGGTCAACGTCCAAGGCCCGCTCGAACACCGACCTCGCACGGCGGAATTCTTTCTGTTCCAATTCCCATTGTGCATATCGCATCCAGTTGTTCATGCTAATGCGATTCCGCCGCACATAGTCCTCGAACTCTTTGCGTTTCCGACCTTGGTATTCATGGAGCTCTTCTAGATCGGCGAACCGCTGCGTAGGAGCTTGGAGGGCGGGTTCTTGTCGGTCGACAGCTTCTCGAAGGAGCTGTTCAGCAGATATCTGCTGTGGCGCCGGGGCCTTGTTTTTGACCCTCGGAGGGCCTCTTGATGCCTCCATTTTGGGTAGAGGAGATTGAAGGTAGCGGATGGTACCGTACCGGGGCCACGCGGGTTGAGCTTTTTGAGGAGAGAGGAAAGGGTCGTAAAAATCACGATGGCAATAAAAATATCTATCTCCCTACAAGCTGCTCCAATACAAGGAGAAGGAGAATCCAGAGGGTGGACAGCTCGGTGTCGTCGAATTTGGATGTCGCGGCGAAAAGCGAGCAAGCCGAGCGAGGTGGAAAGAAACATTTGCGCTATTGGTATGAAAAGGTCACCGGACTTTATTGCTCCCAAGCTACTTTTAAACAACCAGCAAGCTCAACTCTCGACACTTTTTGAAGAGGCACCACACCTACTCTCAGTTCAGGTTGTTTTGTTGAATTTCTATACTCGATCTAGCTCAAAGTCACCATGGTGACTCTAGCAGACGAACTATTGAACGATTTTGAGGAGTCTGGCTCTGAGGATGAGGGCAAGGTGGCCAACACTCTGTTCCCCGATAGTGTTGGGGAACCCGATTTGGATACTTCTGCGAAAGCTCGAGGCGAAGGGATGGAGCTGGACGGAGACGAAGAGGAAGGTAATGATGATGAGGCGGATGTGGATGTTGCCATAGACCCAACTGGGAAATTAGCCAAAGAAATGGGGGAAGCTGAGGCGACCAAGGCGAAGGTCGAGAAAATGCGACTCGGAGCCGTGAGCGATGTACGAAGCGTGGCAAGTTTAATGAAGACACTCCAACCGATTCTAGATGTAAGTTCAACTTCTCACAAACCACATATGTTCTGTCTTCTGCGATATCTGTGTTTACATTGGATGTTCTGGACAAATAGACCTGACCTTTCGCTTTGCCCCTCGACAGAAAGTATCCTATTACCAATCGCTTCCACCCGACAAAAGAACGACGGCTATCGGTTCGATCGAGGATAATCCAGAGTATCATCTACTTACTGAGGCCAACTCCCTTTCAACTTCGATCGATAATGAGATGATTCTAGTCCACAAGTTCATTCGGGATCACTACTCTACTAGATTTCCAGAGCTAGAAACTCTCATCACAAACCCGTTAGACTACGCGAAGACCGTGGCAATTTTACAAAATGGCCCGCTCGACGATATCAAATCCTTGTCAACCTCAACGGATAATCTAGTTGGCGCGACTCTGAGATCCGTTCTCGATGGACCTTCCTTGATGATCGTCGCAGTGGAGGGAACTACAACCCGTGGCCGAGAGTTGTCCCAAACGGAACTCGAGACTGTTTTAGACGCATGCAAAATGATGCTATCGCTTGATAGAGCTAAGGGGATCCTAACCGACTATGTTCAATCGCGAATGAATGTCTTTGCTCCGAATCTAACGGTCCTCATTGGATCCCTCACTGCTGCACAGCTTCTAAATTATGCTGGAGGTCTTACAGGGCTTGCGAAGACGCCTTCCTGTAATATTCCGCCTTTGGGATCAAAAAAACAAACAGGGACTGGCTTTGCAACTAATGTTGGGGTGAGACACCAAGGGTTTCTGTACCACTCACCGATCATCCAGGAAATCCCGAACGACCTGAAGCGGCAAGCGATGCGTATCGTATCCGCCAAAGTGGTTTTGGCCGCTAGAGTCGACCGAGTGCATAGTAGCCCCGATGGATCCACAGGAGAAGAACTGAAGCAAGCGTGTTTGGATCGGCTTGAGAAATTAACCGAGCCCCCTCCAAACAAGGGTCCACGTGCCCTACCTGCACCTGATGATAAACCGTCTAGAAAACGTGGCGGACGAAGAGCACGAAAGGCGAAGGAAGCGACCGCGATGACAGAGATCCGCAAAGCACAGAATCGTATGGCGTTTGGGAAAGAAGAAAAGGAAATCGGATATGGTACTGGAGAGGGTACGAAAGGCTTGGGTATGCTTGGTCAGGAGGATCATGGCCGGATACGTGCAAGCCAAATCGACCAACGAACCAAGGCTAAGCTCAGTAAATCCAATAAGGGATGGGGGGCTGCGACTCCTATCGGGGGAACTGCTTCTTCACTGCGAGGCTTTGGACAAGGCGCCGGAAATGCAACAGTATTACGAGCACAGGGACTCCGTACTGCTGGCGTTGGGCCGTCTCTTGGTGCCGGTGCCGGAATAGCCAGCTCGATCGCCTTTACCCCAGTCCAAGGTTTAGAGCTGGTCGATCCTAAGGCTCAAGCTGAGCTTAATAGGAAGCGGAAGGCGGAGGAGGATAGATGGTTTAAGAGCGGGACATTTACACAAGTTGGGAACCAAAACAATGGAGGTAACTCTAGTGGAGGATTTAAAGTTCCGGAATTGCCGCGGAAACGGGTTGATACTGGTGATACTAAGATGCCGCCGCCGCCCCCTCCGACAAACAAATAACCTTAGCTCATTATGACCTCTCTCCTGACTTTTGTGTATCATTACTTAGTTGCTTGTTCTTCCTTCACGGTTGCTCTGGGAATATAAGGTGGGGATGGCGCATTATTCATGTCACTGTTTGGGATGCACAGTGTGATACCAGGCGTTATTCTTGTCAAAAAAAATATTATGTTTATACAGAAAGAGTTTGATGTACTGTATACGAAACTTCCTGAGAGGGAAAAAAAAAAACATAATTTTTTTCAATCTGAAATTGGATGTGTGCGCTTGAAGTCGCCAGAAAAAAAAGCCCAAAAGCAATAAAAAAGCCTGGAGGTTTTAAGATGGCGCATCCAGGTGCTGCTCTACTCCAATACATGGGTGTTTATATGTGTAGCAAGGATGACGAGGTCAAGCACAGCGAGCGACACATCCCGTCACTGTCCCTCTCTCCATTCCTAGATAGGTATCATTTCCCAGGTTCGAATGTCGACTGACTTGATTTACAGACCCTCCGCCCCCCCTTCGGAGGTCAAAAACTGGGATCCCAATGCATGTGGCGTCCATTGTGCGACTGTTTGAAGGCCTGACTTTGCCGCTACCAGCGTGCCATGTGCAAGTTTGATGCAAAATTGCGACTTTGTCTGCGGGAACATGAGCCCTCCCTTTAAGTGATAGAAAAGCCCTGAGAGGCCAAATTAGTGAATGCACGGAGTAGTTACTGTTGCACCATATATCTTAATTATGAGCCAATTTTTCTTTTTGTCCGCGCCAAGGGAACAACAACAACAACAAATGCATTGCTGTTGGGTCGAGGGAGATTTTCATCTTCCGGCCATCAAATTGAGAAGTGCGATGTGAGTCCTGATGCCGTGCGTCTTGTCAAGACTTCCTCGGGTTTGTTTTCAACTCCACTCCCAGGCTAAGCTCCGTGTGTGCTTTCTTTGCTTTCTTTGTCTTTTTTTCTTTTCCTTTTTCTTTCTTTCTTTCTTTCTTTTCTTTTTTTTTTTTTTTTCTCTTCTTTCTTTTCTTCATCGTTTTGCTTCTCGCTGGTATTTTCAAGCTGCAATTTCGGTGGAAGTTTCTTGCCTTAGCGGTCAGTGCTGAGTATTGGTGGATTCGGAGACCAAATATCTATTCCAAGCATCATTATTCTGTGCTCCTCTTGTTGTCGTCGTCATTGCAAACGCAGCTATGGGATCGTTTCACTATGGCGCGAAACCTATCTACCCCCTAAAAGTCCCTGTCTTTCACCACAGTCTTGTAACAGATGACTCTGACGCGCTCAAATTCAAAGCCGCCTCGTTCCTCCAACTGCAGCAGGGGATCAAGTATCAAGAAGCCGCTTCCTCAAACTCGTATCTCATCACTTCCCCTTATAACCAGGAGGGCCACCATCTTGATCTCCATACGCTTGAGCCTTCCAGTCAACTTCTCGCTAAGGCGCTGACGGTTCTCAAACCCATTCGATCTGATTATGCAACAGCGGAATATGTCGAGTCCTTCAACTGGCAGCTTGTGATGGATGTGCTGAGGGATCTGGCCGCTGCAGAAGGGTATGAGTGGAAGGAACAGTCGTTCCACGTCGTGACGTTTCGATCCGTTCTTCTTCCAACGGCAGATCCGGGCAGGCTCACCGAGCTCGATTCACATTCACACGAGGAAGCCACTGCCAGCGGTGGACTGTTGAAATATTGGTTTGGGACCAAGGATGAGAAATTGAGGAATTTGGCGACCTGTAAGTGGAAGTTGATTTTTATATTTCCGTCCTTTCGGGTCTTTCTTATATATCTCTGCGAAGGACATTGTGTCAATGGAGTATTCTATTCCGTTTATTTGGGTTTGGGCATCCACTCATTCTCCCACGTTAGGTATTTGGCGAAGCAGAGAGGACGCGAGACGTGGCGGATTAGGACCCTGGCACGGAAAGGCGATAGCAGCCGCGCGAGAATTGTACCAAAAGATTGAATTTAAAACTTTGAAGTTGGTTATTGCCGACGGGGTTGAGCGGTGGGATATTGTGGATGAGAAGAATGCAGCTTGAGTAAATGCTTGGCTATGAGGAGGGTAAGTTAAAATCTTCATTAGGCTAACCTGCCTGTTTCTGTCAGCGACTTTCGTGTCTCTCATTGTCGGTATTATTCCCCTTTAGCAGTCCACATTCATTGCATGTTGGAATTGGATCATGGAGTATACTTGTAGAATTTAAGCTTTCTCGTTTATGCTTCCCAACTGAATGCTCTCTACTCTTTTCATCCCCCATAGGTTAGCTCTGGGAAGGTTAATAATCATTGCGGTTACAGTAAACCATGCTCACTACGAAATTATAGGAACTTAATAGTACGCGTTTAGTTTTGTAGGTTGTGTAAGATCGTAGCTCTGATCGTAGCTCTGATCGTAGCTTTGATCGTAACTTTGATCGTAGCTCTTCCTAGCTACATCATCCCTTAGTGTTAGAAGCACAGACAGGTTGCATGTGCTGCTCACACATTTTTGCAGTAGTTAAGTCTGGCGCTGGGAAAGAGCCCAAAGCTCCATCTGTATATTTGCCAGGAAGATTTGAAGCCAACATCAAGCTCTAATGCTTCAATCTCATCAGTCCTTATAGGCTCACAATCAGTTTTTTTTAACTCTAACAATTGGAAAAGAGTGGAGTTATCCTGGGTTTCGGCGCGCCAGCCAGTGTGCTACAAATTCCTCAGCAGTTGGGCAAACAAGAGGAAGAGAGTTTTATAGGCGCGCTTGCCACAATAATAATGGTTGACAAGCACAGCACAGCCCCAGACAGCCACATGAATTTAACTTAACCTTAATTGAGCCTCACCATCAACATCCAACCAATCGCAACAACGGGATCCCAGAGGCCCAACAGCGTAGAGCCTACAGACTACACTCAAACCAGACAGCGTCACCAGCATATGGCCAGTAATCCAAGGACCCTCTACAGCATCGCACGAATGGCACAACGGCGTTGACATGTAGGTGCGTTAGCTTGGATCATTGCATCCTTACTGTACTCCGTACTCCGTACAGTCCCAGCACAGCCAGAATTGCGGGGGTTCCTTCGCGCGAATAATCAGGCTGCTTTGATCATGGGGGGCATCGCATGTATAGCCTGTTGCCTGATGGCCTGGAAGGACTTCTTAAATGCCCGTCTCCTTCTCTTAAATCAATCAGCATGTTGCTGCTTGGGGCAAGTATTCTTTTGCTGGTTTACCAAAAACCCTTTTCCGTAATAGAAGCATTTTGGACTTGTCTATACCGTTCTGAACCTTTTTTCCCTTAACCCTTGAAAAGAGACATTCAACTACGGTAACATGGATCCTGCTCAGTCAGTGGCATCTACTGAAGATGATTTCGAAATCATTGATGACCAAATTCCAATCCGCTCCCGCCCGAGCACAGGTACCAATATTGCCGGAGAACGGAATCCCAATGAAGTGGCGGTTCAACTGCATCCCCTGCCAGACACCAACTCTATGATACTCTCCGTTCACCCTCCACTGCATCCTGAAAAGGAACTCCGTCATGTTCCGTGTGACATTGTCCTTTGCATTGATATCTCCTACAGCATGTCGTCGAGCGCTCCCCTGCCTACGACTGACGACTCAGGAAAACCCGAAGACACCGGGTTGAGTGTCTTGGACTTAACCAAGCATGCTGCCAGGACAATAATTGAAACACTCAACGACAACGACCGCCTCGGCGTTGTGGCTTTTTCAACTGATGCTGAGGTAATTTCGAGTTGGTCATGGCCGGTTTAGCCTTTAACAAGCGTTATTAATAGTTTGGTGTAGGTCGTCTACAAGATATCCAATATGAACGAAGACAACAAGAAAGCAGCGTTGAAAGCGGTGGAAGCTCTGTGGCCATTATCTTCAACGAACTTATGGCATGGATTAAAATTGAGCCTGGAGGCGCTTGAGGAGGTAACGCCCATACCGCAGAATGTTCAAGCTCTTTATATCTTAACCGATGGTATGTACAGGATTGTGCGGAGTAGGGTACCTCACGCTAATGCATCTAAATTCAGGCATGCCAAATCATATGTGTCCAAGGCAGGGGTATGTACCGAAATTACGTTCCATTCTGCAGCAGAAGGATCGCCTGCCAATGATACATACATTCGGGTTTGGCTACTACATTCGCTCAGGTTTGTTGCAGGCGATTTCAGAGGTCGGCGGCGGAACTTATTCCTTTATCCCGGATGCAGGAATGATAGGTACGGTCTCTCCACACCTGTCGTTAGCATGCACCTTCTTATATTCGAACAGGTACCGTCTTTGTCCATGCTATTGCGAATCTTTACACGACTTTCGCGACTCAAGCAATGATATCGATTCGGACCTCGGGTTCGGTAGAGATAGCGCAAGACGAAGGTAGCAAAACGGGTCTCGGACTGTATGAGGAGTCAACAGAGGACGGCGCTCTCGCAGTGACCGTTGGCAGCTTGCAATACGGCCAGTCTCGCGACGTAATTATCCGGATGAAAAATGCAACAAGTAAACCGTCGACGGCCCAAGCAACATTAACATATAATTTCCAGGGGAATGCTAAATCAGTCGCTTCTAGCGAGCAGATACTCTCTCAGCGCACATCTCTTCCAGCTCATGTTTCCGGCTATCATTTGTCTCGTGCGCGTATCTGTGGCTTTTTGAGGACTCTCTTCCCTCTCCGGCCAGATAAACAGTATGCCAGTCTTACTAAAGACCAGCTTGAGAATGCAAAGCAAGAGCTGGATTCCATAATCAAAGAAATAAAACAGCTTGGATATACCGACGAAGGGAATGGTAGCCTAGTAAGGGATCTCGCCGGTGAAGAACCGGAAGGCCAAATTAGCCTTTCCATCTCGACTCAAGCCAACTATGAGAAATGGGGCAAACACTACCGTGAGTACCTCCTCCTTGTTTTTGCTATACCAATCCGTTTATGGGCTGTATTGACTGTATCTTCAACCAGTGCTTTCTCTTCTCAATGCGCACATCCGTCAGATATGCAATAGTTTCAAGGATCCCGGACCTCTTGAATATGGCAAGAACTCCCCCTTCTTCTGCCGGTGCCGTGAGGAGCTTGATACCTGTTTTGATAATCTTCCCCCACCGAAGCCATCGATCATCCAGAAGACGCGTGATGGGACAGTTGTACCCCGCGCGTCTTACGCAATGTCTCGATACAACTGCAGGAACAATCCTTGCTTTGCCGGCCATTGCAACATCCGCCTTTCCGAAGGGAACGATAGCGTACCGATCGAGAATCTTCGCGCAGGGACCAAGGTGTGGACTCCGTGCGGCCCGCGTCGCGTTAGGGCCATTTTGGCTACAGCTGTCAAGGACACTGTCGTCTGCAATATCGGCTCTTTAATCATTACTCCATGGCACCCAATCCAGGTAGCAGGAGACTGGATGTTCCCCTCAGATGTATCAGAACGGAACACCCCATTCTCGGGCAAAGTCTACTCCATATTGCTTGACTCTAGCCCCGACTCGGATGCCCATGCGATCATGGTAGAAGGGCATGTCTGCGTCTCACTTGGTCACGGCGTCCGGAGTGGTAACGATGTTCGTGCACATGCCTTCTTTGGCAGCTACCCCAGTGTTGCTAGGAGCCTGGCATCGCTTCCCCGTGACGTCAACGGGGTCTTGAGATGTTCAGGGGTGAAACGAAACCCATTAACAGAGTTAGCTTGTGGATTTATTGGTGAGGGAAGATCCCGAGTAACAATAAACAAAAATTCCTTCAGGAGATCCGTAAAAACGGGGCTTCACTATCGCTTTCGCGCTCCGATGACGTCGGCCTCAAGCCGACGAACCGCTTGTCTGGTTTTTTAAAGCTTGAGGAGCAAATCTATGCTGAACGGGATTATTTGTTCCGCCGAGGAATGCGGTGCCGGGAAGGGCAGGTATTTCAATTATGATTTATAATAATTTTGTCGAGCATGGAATATCCTGTTATATCAGGACCAAACGCTGGTCTAAAAAGATGTGTGGTGTCATAGGATTCGCCACACTGGCAGATTTCGCAGTGAGGTTCCCGTCCTTTTGATATGAATTATGTTGGATTCAAGTTTTAATTCAAACGTGCTACCTACCCTACCCATTATTGTTTCTAATGTAACCCATATCTGTCTGTAGTGTGTTTCTGAACCCTATCTCACTGAGCCTTCACTATCCGCAGGATATTCGATGACCAACAGATATTTTTGGAAAAAACTCAGCGGTTAGATCGTTATTTTTCTGGATCTAGGACATAAATTCAATGAAGTAAGTCCAGCCACCTTCATGATCTCTCTCGTACATACCTAAGACTCCATGGGCCTGTATGAGGTGGCCTTTGCCTTGAGGCTGCCTACAGTCAAATTACCCAATTAGATTTTTGTGGAGATAGATAGTTACAAGGCAAAATCAGATCACCAGTTCACTCTTCTGATACTCTTCCAAGGTGGGCTCTGTTGAACATGTTGTGTAGCACTAATCCTATAAATTCTCAGTCCTGGTCCATTATCCATATGGCATTTAGCTTTCTGCACTGCTACTTAGCGCGCCCCGCCGCCAAGCAACTCAACCTCCATAGCTTCATCCTAGGGCTACTACTGGGTGGACCACACTCTACCATACCATACCACTAGAGATTCAAGGTCCTTTTTCTAGCTCGAGTGTCGGAGAGGTGGGAAATGATTTGATAGGTGCTAAAATTAGCAATCAGTGCGTCCCATATTTCTCTCGGATAAAGGGGACTGTTGCAGATGAATGGCTAACCCTGAGGCAGTCCCTCTCCCACACATCGAGAGCCAGCCCTGACAGATGTTATCTGACATGTCTAAGATTTGTATCTGCGCTGCCCCATATGCAGCCTTACGTGTCTGGGTTAGGGGCTTTTCCGGGATTACTGGAATGGAACCGCAGACATGCTAGGATCCCGATCGAATGATACTTCATGACTTGGATCCTATGAATTCCGCGAATCTAATGGTGATGTTTTCCGTTGGTCTTCAGAGCTACTGGTTCACAGCAGCTTTTCTTACTTTGAAGGTGGAAAGAGGGTTGGCGAGGAGAAAATATGGTTCAAAATATGGATGAACTCTCTAAATATACATCAAGTAAGGAAAGGACAGAATAGGAAAATGATTCCGAAAAGAGAATATGCTAACTCCCTCTCGCTACCGATGGTTTCAATGGACAATGTCCAAACAATTCGAGTAACACATCTTAACCAAAGCAATCCGAGAACTTCCATGATTCGCAAATATCAAATTTTAAACAAAACGCAAACGAAAATGAATCGCATCCCTACTTTCCCACTTCCTTCCAAAAGAAATAAAAACATGAAAAGAATCCTCCTCAACCGGCCATTCCCTTACTCCTTTCCGCATGTAATGACAGTGCCGCGCATGTCACGGGGTTTGGCCTCGTCTCTGTCGTCGTCCAAGTCTTCAAAAGTGTCGCGATAGTTAATATCCGCAATAAGAGCGTCATGTTGATCTTTAATCGTGCAGTAACCGCCTCGAGCAATCTTTGTCAGCTGGACGCTGGAGGCGAGAAGATGGCCATGAGAGACGACGTGGGTGTCCCCGAAGAGCTCGACAACGTCTCTGGGTTTGTTATCAAGCGGGATCATCTTTGAGCCCGAGCGCCCGGTTAGGTCGTTTGTTAGCTGGACTCTGACACTGTGGCTTCTCTGGGTGCTGCGACGTGTGGGAGTGGCAGAGATGGAAGTGGCAAGGAGGCCAAGGACAACGGCGAAGGAGATCTGCATTTTGAAGATTGAGGTATATGTGTTTCTTGTCTGATGAATATGTAGTGTTTGGAAGGAGGCGTGGACGGTTGAGAATTCTAGGAGCAGAGAAGCTTATAATATTGCTGGAAGAGGATTTTTTTTTTTTGGATTTCTTTGATGCTGCTGCGATTGGAGTTCTGGTTCTGTGATGATTATTTCTGATTCTAAAGCAGATGCACGATGTCCTTTATATCTTTCTCTTCGGCAGCTCCATGTTATTAAAGGATCCATACTTTGCGCAGCCGGTCAGATTCCAGTGAGGTAGGATTCTCATCAATAATGCGCCCACGTATTTTTGGCGATCTTTACCCAAGATTTAGCCCATTGTACAGCCTTCGCTCCTAATTGATAGACTCGCTGTCAAGCGGGGTGTGCAAGACCTTCCCCCCCTTTAGTAACATTAGAGGCTAAATCTACGCTAGATCAACGCTCCCTAAGAGAAATACAGCGGCTGGTAATCTGATCGTTCAGCTCAAACATGGGTGCGATGTGACAAGAAGTGCAAACGGGGATTTGCGATTCCCATTCAACCTTGGCGTATCCCTTTAGGAGGTTCGTTAATTCAGCCGTGCAGCCAGTCCGCGCCTCGTCGAAAAGCCGCGGAACTCAGCTCACGGTGATTTCAATTGGTTCTGCGATGTCATAGCCACGCTCCCCACTAGAGGAGATTTATCCTCTCTAAGTCGGACCTACGCTGAAAGTGGAATTGGACGGTCATCAGCACTCTGAACCAGAAGCCAAACTTTTGGTAACTACGGGGTAGTTTTGCTGGAGTCAGGCCAGTTCCATTACTGTTCTATTTTCTCATTCCGTGCAGCTTACTATGATAGAGATTCGGGACTTGGCTCGCAAACATATCATCATCAACAATCCAGCTTAGCCGTATTGGATGTAAGTTATCAGGACACTAAGATATACAATTATTGGCCAGCAATGCAACGGATCGATTTACTAACTTCTATATCAGCGAAGATCTGAGGAATTCGTAATGAAATATCTATTTTGAACATCCAGCTGTACAAAATTGAGATAGGGACCGTTCGAGCTCATAATCTCCTACAACCCGAGGAGGGAGCCGATATGGAGCTAGATTACAGCGTACCCGATCAAACAGATAGAACCTTCCATGCTGCTGTTAGTGATGTTATTGTGGTCAGGGTTCCTCATTGTAATGCTTTAATAATTTAATTATTCATGCTTAACTATCTATGAATGTAAAGTATGGTTTTGTTTAACAACTTGATATTTATTTTTAGAAGGATTTCACTCCATTCATGTGCTGCTGCGAAGTCCCGGCTTCAATTCATTGGACGCCTTCTATTACTCCATTAACTTATCTACTAACCCTCGACTTTCTGGAGTTGATGTCATTTGTCCTCTGATAATTGTAGCTAAACAATTTCTAATCTCCACCTAATCTCTAGCGCATCGCCGGACGCTCAGCCTTGCCATCTGACCTCTTGGACAAATGGAGGAGGAAATGCGCTCTAAACCTATCTCGACTTAGTCGGCGAATTTTGGATCTATTTTTGGTAGCTGATTGTGATCTCCATCTCGAAGGATTTACATTAGGATTCAAAATCCCGCTTGTGGAGAGGCGGGCTGACGGATGGCTTCGTTCAAAGTCATATTCCATTGTATGCTGGAGGATTCTGCATAGCCAGCATTCAAAGAAGAGCTGTCAGGTAGAGAGCTCTTTACTATGGTTCATGTACGTAGTTCTATTCCTGGTTCACGACGGGAGCTTGCTGTAAAATGTTTAGATGTTAAGACCGAAGGTAGGAAGGACTGGATGCGGGGCGGGTGCATTTAGTTATCAGTTCGTCCCATAGATCAATGAGCGCCGTCTGCCTATTGTCCTCTGAGACTCAATTAAACGAGATACTGCCAATTCATGTCATCAAAAGCAAATTGTCTTCGTATTGCTATTTACCATTCAGCCGTTAGAAGATACGGTCCGGAGCGCCTGAAAGATTGATCCCATTAGCCGAAGTGAGGTTCCGACATCAATGCTATATACAGCTGGTGCTTCATAGCTGACCTGAGGAAAAGAGGTTTAAGGGCCCGAGCATCACCAAGCCTCCCGCGCCCGCGCCCTCCAGGGGCTTGAAATATTGAAACAGTTAACATCAGAAAGAGACTACTCAGTTGACCGATGTCGCTTGAGGTAATCAAGCGCCAGAATGTTGGAAGATCATAGCTTCGAATTTACTGAACAGCGAGACCGCTTCAGCATCATAATAGCCAGCGAGCTGGGTTGCGGAGAGTCCGCACGTTCCACGTTCGCGATCAATCCACTAGAAGGGAAGTGATGATCCAACGTTAGCATTGGAATAATTGTGTTATGGGATGGATTCGTTTGTTTGCATTCTAGGATTTCCCCCCCCCCCCCCGAAAGCAAGACTTACCCAATAAGTATTATCAAGTCCATGCCAGTTAATTGCCCCCTTCAAACGCCTATTTGGTATGTCTTCTGTCGCCAGGACACCACCTAGCGAATGGTTCCAAGTTCTATTCCCTGGCACACCATTTGTCATAGCCACCTCAGTCCTGCTCGAGTGCATGTATTGGATGAGATGACTATTGTCGTGGAGCTGGGGCTCAAAAAGGATCGAAAGTGTTGCAGACGATAGCAGTTTGCCATCGTCTTTTAGGACGGAGGTTAGGAGTTTGATGTACTCTGCTGCAGTGGACCAGAGTCCATGGCCGCCAAATTCATCAGCAGGTTTGAAAATCGGCTGGGTTTCTACCGGTGTAGGTATAAGTTCGCCTGTCGGAGCTCGGGCTGTTGACTCAGCCTTAGTCGCAGGAATATGACTGCTCTGGGAAGGTCTGAGTGTGGTGTGTTCCATTCCAAGTGGCTCGAATATATGCGCTCTGAAGTAGTTTTCTAATCTAATCCCTCCATGCAAGCGTTCGACAGCTTTTCCCGCCCAATCGATTCCTGCGCCATAGATCCACCCCTCTCCAGGTTCAAACAGCAACGGGTAGACAAGTTTTTCCTACTCAGTTAGTCTTTTCTTGATATCAATCGTCCCAGACGTATGTTTAACAGAGGATGATAGTCTTGGGAGTTCTGGAACTCAACTCACAACTGGAGCCAGCCCCGTTACTGGCTTTGTCTTCGTTGCCTCCCTCCACTTTACCAATGGTGGATGCCAGGAGTCATAGCCAAGCCCGGATGTATGGGAAAGGAGATGGCGATAAGTTATCTTCTTCTCTGCCTTCTTTATAAGAGGCTCTCGTGTCCCTTCATCGAAGCCGCACAAAATATCTGGATCCGCTAGTTCAGGAAGGATACGCCCGACATTTTCATCTAAACCGATGAGCCCCTTTTCAAAGCATTGCAAAAGCGCGATTGAAGTCACGAGCTTTGTGCATGATGCAAACCAAATTGGAGTATCGACAGTGAACGGTCCTTTATCGGTAAAGCCAAAACTTTCGGAGTACAAAGTGTCCCCTTTTTTGGTAGCGGTCAGTACTTGATCTTCCTATATTGAACGGTTATGGGAAAGTTGAGAGAAGCTCACCGTTTTTATCAGCTGCGACCAAAGCAACCCCAGGCAGAACACGATCCGGTCCGTTTGCAGTCAAACACCGGGCGATTCTGTTGAAAGCTTCCATATTTAAACTAATCCTTGTCTAGTTTCCTGTTCAGAATTTTTTCCTCACTCAACCTTCAAATCTCGAGTCGAAAATTTATAAATCAAATCAAATCAAAATATAAACGATAAAGTAAAAAAGAAGACAAGGAATCTGAAGGGGTTAATATCTGGAACGGAATTGGTCTTAAATATATGTATTTCCAATGCTGCAGTGGGATCGCGCGAAGGATGAGCCTATTTGGTATGCTTAGAAATAGAACCGTTCAGCCCCCACCACGACGCCGGAATCTTTTATTTATGAGCATCTACCAACGATTGGGAATCCAGAAATCAAGACATCCCGCAGGGCGTGCGTGGTGAGATTCGGACGCTCCCTGCTGGCCGGCGAGTTTGCATACCAGTGTGGATGGTGCTTACTGCAAACTCGCCGATGTTGATGTCGGAATGAATTTTTCGCAGCCACACATCGACGACTCAGTTTTAAATGCGAAATAGTTTAAATCGCGGGGTGTCCATGACTAGTGTCATGAGAAAGATGACATCGCAAAGAGTGAGACGACCAGTATAACTAACTTAGCCGCAAATGCCCAAAGATAACTATCAGGAGTTTCGCAGACAAGGCCAATTGTCCGTGAGCTAGAACTGTATCCAGCCCGGTTCAGTTTATGTGCAAATTTCCCCTGGGCGGTCTATGGAGTGAGGTTCGCAAAACGGGATCCTAGAACAGGGGAGCCGATTCTCCTGGAGGCTGTTGGCTCTCTGTGCTAGTATGCCGTAGTTGAGGGCGTGTATTCCTTGTGATCCAATGAATGCTCTGCTCCCTGTGAATACGCGGGTCTGAAATTCCCTTCTGATGACACAGATATGGGTCTGGCATTTGGTCACCAAAGAATATTGGGGCGAGGATGCGGGGCTCCATTGAAACCCATGGAGGGGAAGAAGATGCAACAATGTTAAAAAACGGTTCGTGAAGTAATGAAACACAAGGCTTCTCATATCAATCCCACGTTGGTCATAACGATAGGGCAGGAAACCCCCCTTGGATTGAGAAAGGTAACCTGAGGTTTTGGCCCTCCAACCTCATTGCGTCTAGTGTCATGAATTGTTGGTGGCTGGAACCTGGTGAGTCTCATAGATATGTCCGAGCTGATGTATTTTCATGGCAGATTCGGTCGCTCCGTCCCACTGCGCCAATTTAGTCTCAGAGTTTATTTCAATCCCAGACAATTCAAACAAAACAAGGTATGTTAGCTTCCTGTGGTGGTGGCCCGCTGGTGGGATAATAAATAAAGCCTGCGAGATCATCGTGTGTAAGTCTTGCTGAAAAATATACGTGAGATGATTAAAACTAGATAACACTAAATAAATAACCAGAAATCTTGAACATCAAACCAAATTTTTTTCCGTTCCCATTGTGCAAGCAAGAATTCCAACTTGAGAAAAAGGTGGGTTTGGACAAGGATGCCCTTCCTTCGTTGACGCGGCTCCCACTAATAAACATGTCATTTTTGCTTAAATTCAAATTCCCGGGATTAAAGTCAAATCGAAGCATAAGTGCTGACCTTCACCGAATACCCTTATTATTATCATGCCTTTCATCCTTAGGATTCATATGCCTCAGCTCCCCCGGACAGATCGCGGACTTTCATTTTCCCTTTCTGCGACGCGATGGTGCCTCCGCAGAACAGTGCCATCGGGATCGCGGAGGCGAAGCAGATCAAACCAAGCGCCAAGTTCATGCCCGCCCACCCGACGCTGGTGATGACAAAGCCCCCAATTATCGGACCAAGAAGCTGCCCAGCAGCAAAAGCCATATTATATAGTGCATAGCCCTGGCCCATGGCACTGGGCCCTGAAAACAAGACGGGATCTCTTTCCTCTAGCTCATCGACCGCGTGCGAAATTTCTGTCATCGTGATTACCTGAACGACCGTAATTGCGAGACCAACGAGGACGAGCAATGCGCCGAGAAGTACCTGTTGTCCCGTTGTGTTGTGCTGCACGAGCCGGAGAAGGATGAGTGGGCCACCTGCAAGAGTGAAGCCAGACGTCCCGAATATGCGCGATCCCCAACGGTCCGCACCCTTCCCGATAACGACGCCAAAAAGGCAAGGAAGGGAGAAAATGAGAAATAGAATTCCGGTCCCGCTTGGAGTCCAGTTGAATTTATCCATCACGAATAAGGGAAGTGTCTATATATGGCCAGATATCTTTAGCCAAAAAAAAAAAGCATCATGACTTGGGTATTATATTCTACTTCAACTGAGGGTACTCAACAGAGGGTAGATGTCGCAAAACTTACCGTTTCGAATGCGGTCCATACAATTGACTGAATCACAGTTGCAAACAAATTAACCAATATCCGGGAATCCTTGAGCAGGTGGTATATTATGAGTGTTTTCGTGGTATTAGGCTGCGAATTGCCGTTGGTTGCTCGTTGGATGAGTGGGGATTGTTCGTCAATGGTATCTTCTGAATCAGAACCTAGAGATTGAGTTCGACTCGACGAGCCCGGCGGGGATGGGTGATCGCATGTCTCTGTGTGATTTCTAGCTCCTAACCTTTCCCGCAACAACCTGCTTGCAACTATAGTCCTCCAGATTTAGCCTCCGATATTGTACACGGGTGATTTTGTACGCGGGTGATTATGTAGAGGCTAAGCATACCCTTTTTCTCGATCATAAGAAGCCGCAGCACGATATCGATGCATAATAACGCTATCGGTACCGCAAATGCTGCATAATAGCCTGCCTTGGTAAACCTACCGCAAGACTTTGGTTAGATGGGTTTTCCGCTAGGGGCCAAGAGGGGACAAGGACAAAGCGAAGATAGGATTAAGGCACATACATAACCCCTCCTACAATCGGCCCGAACAGCACGCCCCAAGTCAATGCGAGAGAGACATATCCCATTGCTTGCCCAATTCTTTCCTTGGGGACGCTATCAACGGCCAACGCCATGCCGACCGCACCAACTGCACCACCCGAAAGCCCCTGCATAGCTCTTGCAACTATGAACAAACCTAGAGACCGTCCGACGAGGAATAGCGAGGTAGCCAATATCATGGCAACCAATCCAATAACGAATGGTAGTTGCCGACTCCTACTACGATCCGCGAAGTAGCCGAAGAGCGCTGATCAAAAGACAGAGAGCATCAGACTGTTAGCATATTTGTAAACTTCCAATTTATGCTACAGTCAATCATAGTCAGTTGCAAATGAAGTTATCATCCACTCACGAGATCCGACGAGGAACGTTGCGCCATATGTTGCTAAAAGAATCGAGACCCATTTCTGCACTGTAGGTCATTGTCTGTTAGCAAGATATTTCCACTTGGGTCTTGACGAGCGTAAAATCACAATTTTGGCTCGATTTCTACCAACCTTCTTCATGCGGAACACCTGCGCGGTCTGTAAGTGCCAGCGGCACAATTGGGACAATCTGGGGTAGCAGAGTCAGGAGTGCCGTCCGTTATGGAGAGAGAATAAAATACTGGAATACTAACCACTCCATATACAAGAGTATCCTGTCCATCTGCGTTAGTCACACAGTTTCCGTACATCAAAAAAAGGCTATTGAGGATTAGGGGTGCGGAAAACTTACAGTGAATAATGCCGCAGAGACAACGAGCAAAATAAACCCTTCCGAAGATCGAAACGAAAGGCCCCAGGGCAATTTACTTCCGTGTGCCATGATCGTCCTCCGTACCGGCCAATTCCTGTATAGCTAGCTACCTGGGTCCTGGTGTACGCTGGTGATAGAAGTTTATCGAAGGAATGACAGCATTAAGAACTAAACAGCTTCACTTAAAAAGGCATAACGATATCAATCTAACATATCAAAGAATTTCTCACACTCTCATAACTCGATGGGGTAGACTGAAATGTCAAGATGTCTGAGGCGAGAACTGTTTATCAAGAAAGAAAAAGAGAATGAATTCGCAAACGGACGGATTTCACCCCGCTCTGCCTTGCTCCCTTTCTTGTGTAGCTGCACTCCCAATCTGGTTACGTATCTCACACATTGAGCTTCAGCTTGTGTGGCGCTGGAATCCTGTCATGAAGAATGATTTTCATTGGAGCATTGCCCTCAGCGAGGCCGAGGATGTTGCTTATAACGGGAGCAACATTGAGCGGCATCTTTCCTACGCTGCGTACGGAGTAGATCTATTGCAGAGCGAACTAAAGTACTCCGTACAGCTGCGTATATACGCTATATACAAAGATCGATCGGCCACAGTCCGATTTGCAGTCCACCAATGGTGTGCACCAACACGACCAGGGCCACCGCGGTCGTCCACTAAAACACCAATAGTGAGCTAGGCTCGAAATATCGCTGCATGCTACTCAATTTTGGTTCTTCTTTAGCTCTGCAGGCATGAAAAAAGCAATATTGGCTGGAAATGTACGCAGTATGTACTCAGCGGGTAAACCAGCCAATTATTTTCTCGCTTCACAAGAGAAGTTTTGTGAAACAAGAATCGGCAGGCAAAGATCCGTAGTTAACTTAGGCCCGGATGAAATTCTCGAGCTCGAGTAGAGGAAGGCTTATCAGATTCTCGTGTTGTGGCGTCGCAAAAATGATTCAATCCCTGGCTGAGCGTCTGTTATTAAAATGTTACACAGTTTGGGAGCTGAACTCGAACAAGAATATCCAGATATTATTTTTTTGCCATCCATGCCCGCCAATTACGACAGCCTGAGCATTTAGTACTGGTTGCTGATGGCATGAAGATTGTATGAAGATTGTGTGAAGAATGTGTCAGGACTGGATCTGTCTGTATTGTTGGAATTTCTCGTCCTATATACTTCTCGGCTGCAGAAGGCAAACAGAATGCAGCATACAAGTAGCTGCAGATATCCGCGAGAGAGATGTGTTGTATGTACTTGATGATGGAGATTTCGAGTATTTTCGCTTCATACTTTTCATTTAGGAGGCTGAACGAAAGATTATGAACTTCTTGAGCATTCATGGGGCTTTTCCCGTGATATTTGACAACCAAAGTCCCTACTTGTTTTCAATCGACAAACGCAAAAGTTGCGGGTTACAAGATACAAGTTGCTATGTTGAAATCTTGAAATTTATTTTTAGAGGGGGAATCTTATTAATGACCCTCCAGGATTTCCTTGGAGCCCCGGGGGGGTTTAGAAGGAAACGTGGCTCCGAGAATATAGAATAGCGTTGATGCTTTCTAGAACGTCTGAGTTGCCCTTGTTGAAAACCATCAACTGACACAAATAAGAAGGGGACAAAATAAACAACACAAGTCAAAAACACCAACGAAAAATAGAATAAGTTAAAAAGAGTATTATTTACCCGACGCGCAAAAATATGAACCAAACTGAAGGAAGTGAAAAGAAAAAAGAAAACAGTAACCCCATATTATGCGAATTTGACAAGTTTTGCCGTTGAAGGACAAGTGCTTTTAATATTTCCTGGGTCCCGGGTCTAAATGATGGACTAATAGTAGCCCTGCGATTTATTCATAACATCGTAGCCTCATGTTGAAATGTCTATGTGTCATGCATGCACACCCCAGCATATTGCGCAGTTGTATATGCACCGAAAAATAAAAGAGAATAGATTTAGTAACGGTAGCTGTCGAGGAAAGGAGTCAGTCAGCATATGTTTCTTCAGTAGTATAAAAGCAAGGCAAAGTTCTTTTGGGGGGGTTAGCTCACATCTCAGCCTTGAAAGGACCATCGATCTCCAAGCCCAGATATTCTGCTTGCTTGGGCGTGAGCTTGGACAGCTTGGCATTGACGTGCTCAAGGTGCAGAAGAGCAACCTGCTCATCGAGAACCTTGGGGAGGACGTAGACACCGATATCTCGCTTGCCGCTGGTGATGCCGAACTCGACGTACTTCTTGCCAAATTCTTCATCTTGAGACTTGTAGAGCAAGATCTGGGCAAGGACTTGATTGGAGAAGGAGCAAGACATGACAAAGGAGGAGTGGCCAGTGGCACAGCCAAGGTTGACCAATCGGCCCTCGGCAAGGAGGATGATGTGGCGGCCGTTTGGCATTAGGAAGCGGTCGACCTGGGGCTTGATGTTCTGGACAGATTTGGCGTTGGCCTTGAGCCAAGCAACATCAATCTCAATGTCGAAGTGACCAATGTCTATGTTCGTGTTAGCAGAGCTGACCAAAATAATAGCCTTGCCCAAGGATTACTTACTGCAAACAATAGCGTCATTCTTCATGACGGAGAAGTGCTCGCCCGTCAAAATATCACGGCACCCAGTGGTGGTAACGAAGATTTGACCAACTGGGGCAGCCTCCTCCATGGTGGTGACCTGGAAACCAGACACAGCAGCCTGAAGGGCATTGATAGGGTCGATCTCGGTCACAATGACACGGGCACCCATGCTGTGCAGGGCCTGGGCACATCCCTTTCCAACGTCGCCGAACCCAGCAACAACAGCAACCTTCCCAGCAATCATGACATCAGTGGCACGTTTGATTCCGTCAATGAGAGATTCTCTGCACCCATAAAGGTTGTCGAACTTGGACTTGGTGACCGAGTCGTTAACATTGACAGCGGGAACAAGAAGCTCTTTGTTCTTCAACATTCTGTACAGATGGTGAACACCAGTGGTAGTCTCCTCTGATAGTCCGTAGCAGTCCTTAAGCATCTCAGGGTACTTCTTGTGCACAAGACCAGTCAAGTCACCACCGTCGTCAAGAATGAGGTTGAGGTGCTTTCCATCTTTGAATGCAACCAGCTGTTGTTCAAGACACCAGTCGTACTCCTCCTCGGTCTCACCCTTCCAGGCGAATCTGCACGCATAACATGTAAGAGCCCATCCCATGGAATAAAACAGATAAAAACGGGGAAGCTGGGAAAGTAATAAACTTACACAGGGGTTCCTGAGGCAGCAATGGCAGCCGCAGCGTGATCTTGAGTGGAGAAAATGTTGCAGCTGGTCCAAGTGACTTCAGCACCAAGGGCCTTGAGCGTCTCGATCAAAACGGCGGTTTGGATGGCTAACGGCCAAACATCAGTTAACAGGTGGTCAAATTAATAGATGCAAGAGAAGTGGACGTACTCATATGAAGACATCCGGCAATGCGAGCACCCGCCAATGGCTGGGATTCGGCGTATTTGGCACGAATGGCCATGAGGCCAGGCATCTCCCCTTCGGCGAGTTCAATCTCCCGGCGGCCGAAGGCGGCCAATGACTAAAAAATAAAGTGGTGAGTCCAATCGATCAATTGCCCATGTCATTAGTAGAGCAGATTACTTACGATGTCAGCAACCTTGAACTTGTGGGCTGGGGCGGTCATGATGGCTGTGTTTGGGTTTGGTAACGGAAGGGGAAGCGGGGTAGTTTTCTGTAAGCGATCAGTCAGTTGGGGAAGCTTGAAACCCAATTGAAGAATTTATATATGTAGCCAAGTTAGAGGTAGGTAGTAACGAGAGTGGGAGACGTACCTGAGGAGATAATAAACTAAGGATATGGAAGAAAGAGGAGGTATATCGAGAAAGGAGACGTTAGGGATGAGGTTGTTGAGGTTGATGCCATTTTTTTTACCTGAATTATCCCGCTTTGCTGCCAAGCATTCGGGCCGTCGATGTTCCGGGCTAGACCACGTGTGTTTGTTGAGCATTCGGTTTTCAACGCAATTTCATTACAGAACTGCAAATATCTACGAGGGAATGCTATATTTCCCCCCGTATCTCTCCCTTATGCGCCATGAAAATGTCAAGTTATGGTCTGTTCTCCTGGATTCATTGGGAAACAAGGTATGAGCCGCCTAAGATGGTGAATATATTAACTAAACCGAAAATGCCCTCCCGGAAAAGAGAATTATAGGGAAGAAAAAAAAAAAAAAAAAAAAAAGTATTAGAGCTGAAATTGGAAGGAAACACTAGCACCGTGAAGGCATTACAACATCCCTCATTTACTTCAGACTAATATTAGGATTGCGCCCGAATCAGTGAGACCAAGGACTCAGCTAGCAACACAGCAAATTCTCCATTGTTGATGTCTCTTTCATTCTTTAACACTTTGATACCGCTTGATTCTAGCCCGGACTCCAACGCGTCCAAAAGAGCTTTATCAGCGCTGGGATCATCGAACGGACCGTGAGGGGTCGACAGGAGGCTAAGGCCCCCAGTGGGCAGAATGACCTCGACGAGTTTTGGATTGACAACGTGGTTGCGAAGTTGTGTCGCAATAAATTCTCCAATCTGAGCGCATTCGGTTTCGCTAGTCCTGGCTAAGGTGACTGTAGGGTTGTGCTCGTGGAGTTTGCGAGTAGCGAACTTTTCGGGAACTGTGTTTCTCGGCCCAAAATTGATGACATCGCAGGCGCCTACGCTGACCACCTGCGGGATTCCAGCCTCGGCGGCTGCGCGCAGACGGTCACGGCCAGCGGAAAGAATGCCGCCAAATAACTCGTCTGCGATTTCCGTCGTAGTCGCATCGACAACGGCATCGATTTTCCCTTCTCGAATGAGCCGCTCCATGGCCCTGCCACCGGCGCCTGTAGCATGGAAGACATAGACCTCGTAGTTATATTTACTCTCCAGGTGAAGCCGGATTAGGTCGACGCATGGAGTTGTAACTCCGAACATTGTCACGCCAATCCGTTTCGTGCTAGCTGCAACCGGTTTGTCTATGTACGCCCTGTGGGATGTGACCATGCCGTCGATGGCTCCGGCAGCATTTGCAAGTATATGGTTCAATATCGAGTTGGTGCCTGCTATATCAACGACGCTATACATCATCGTGATATCCGTCTCCTCTATGAAAGGCTTCACATCTCCGCTCGCCATCGTTGAAACTATCAACTTGGGGAACCCAACTGGTAACGCATTTCGCATCGCACCAGATGCAAGAGAAGTTCCGCAAGAACCGCCAATTGAGACGGCTCCGTGAATCGTCCCGCGAGAATACAGGCCTTGGATATAGGAGCTGGCACATTTTATCATGTACTTGATATACTCCGTTCTGGAGAGCGGTAGAATGTCTGTCCCTCTACCTCCCTGTGAAGATGGTGTGGCAGCATTAATAAGGTCGGTATTCTTCACATCGATTGATTCATGCTGACACGGGTTTCGTCCCACGTCAATCAGTAATGTTTTGCACTGATTGCGTTCCAATATCCGATCACGAAGGAATAGCAGTTCATCAAGCTTCGAATCGCAGGTCCCAATTATGGCGATAGTACTAGCAAGGGGCTGGCGGTCTGCCATTTTCACGGATGTGCACCTCGCGAGATAAGATAGGCTGGCGCTCCTCAGGATGCAGTTGGGCGTCCAGGAGTAGCAGGGGGTTTGAAATTTTAATGGAAGAATTCGAAAGGTGCCCAATTTATAATTTAAGCAGTAGGCCACTAGACCTCTCCTTTCATTAAATCTGGAATTATCGTCAGCGAGTGTTGCACGGCATCCGTTTGCTGTATATGTATACTTACCACGAACTGCCCTACTCCATATAGGAAAGCATCATACGCCGTGCAGACAAAGCAAGCATAGATAGATACAAGTAAATCTGTCTTACCCACGTAAAGGTGTTCTTCCGAAATATAAACGCTGTTGTTGCACAGTTTGTACTATGCTTCAACCCGCAGAGCGACGCGAGTTACAAAGTTCGTCGTCGATGGAAAATGACTTGAGTGACTTGACTTGCGGGGTTGAGGGGAAGAAATCTGCTTAATAATAATTGTGCAACATGATTGTATGTATGTTGGTTGAGCATAAAGCTCTATTCTCCATGGCACTTGCAATTATCCGCTGCAGTCTCCCTGGAAAACATCTCATCAATCTATTGTCAGCCGTTCTGTGTCCGTTTGTTCGCTAATCAACTAGACAGCGGTCTCTGTTTGCGTTGAGATTTCACGGCCCCGCCTTAGCATTATTTAGAAGATCCTGTCGCAGCAGCTAGCTAGCTATGCCTCGCCCAACAACACGAGCGGAGGTCCTTCAAAGACTCAGGGATACAATTTCTAGGGATGAAATAATTGTTGGCGCTGGAGCCGGTGAGTACTATGTCTGTGTCTATCTTACTTGTAAACAGCGAGTGTTGGTATGTACAGTACATATACCCCTTCCAACATGTCTAATGAACTTTCAGGCATTGGGCTCTCCGCCAAAAGTGTTGAAAAAGGAGGCTGTGATCTTATCCTCGTGTACAATTCCGGGCGTTTTCGCATGGCCGGGCGTGGCTCATTAGCTGGACTCATGCCATACGGAGATGCGAATCAGATTGTTGTCGAAATGGTGAGTCGTAATAGAAACTATATCCCAACAAACAAATGGGAGACAGCTGGTGATATTGAATGAATCCAGGCAGATGAAGTCCTCCCAGTTGTGGAACATACCCCCGTGCTAGCTGGCGTGTGCGGCACAGACCCGTTTAGGTCCATGCCACAGTTCCTTGCCCGGCTTAAAGAGATCGGATTCTGCGGGGTTCAAAACTTCCCGACTGTCGGACTCATCGATGGCAAATTCCGTCAAAATCTTGAGGAGACCGGTATGGGCTACGACAAGGAAGTCGAGATGATCAAATTGGCCCATGAGCTCGATTTGGTTACCACTCCTTATGTGTTTACCCCAGAAGATGGAGAAAAGATGGCACGAGCAGGTGCAGATGTTATTGTATGCCATGTCGGGCTGACTACTTCTGGAGCCATCGGGGCGACCACCGCACTATCCTTAGATGAATCTATGAATATCATCCAGAAGATTCGTGATGCTACTATTAAAGTTAACCCGGACATTATTGTGCTCTGCCATGGCGGTCCAATTGCTGAACCGCAAGACGCCAAATACGTTCTGACGCGCACCAAGGGTGTTCACGGTTTCTACGGTGCAAGCAGCATGGAACGTTTACCCGTTGAGATTGCGATTAGGCAGAATGCAGAGTCATTCAAGAAATTGAAAATAAACAGATAATTAGGACGCGGCCAGAACAAGGGAAATCGTGAAAAGCAACTGATATTTGTGTGGTTATTTATTTCGTTTGAGCTCGTAAAAAGCCCGGGCCATTCTGTTTGCATTGGGGTTTAAAACTCAACCTTCTTCTGGGTTTTTCGACTTCGTTTTTTCCTGTAAATGGGCATGAATCAATACCATTTTTAACCCGAAAACGGTGAACCCTGCTCACTTTCAATGTTTATTGCTAGGTTTCTTTTCCGCTCTATTCATGAATGTGCGAAGCGTTGTACAGTGTTTCTGGGCCAAAGAAAAGGGACGCTCATCCTGGCTAGTTTGATAACTATGCTACGCTGAACGGCCAAGCTGTCAACGGCAGGGCGTTGCAAGGGTACTAGATTTAGTACGGAATCCAGGCATCTGAGAAGTTAAGCTGACTCGCGACGATGAAACCTTGACCCGTTCTCCGGGATGGTATCAAAATTGACACGGTCATCTCTGGTTTTCTACGACCTCATTACCCCTCCAACAATAATACGGTGTACTCATCTGTGGACAGCCAAATCACTTTCTATCTCCAGCAACCAGCCATTTTTTATTTTATTTTTTGTTGGTATATACCTCAAAGATCCAACAAAGGAGGACCCATTATAACTACCTTTTGGTTTCTACCATGGACCTCCCTTCCGAATTTGAAGCCATGCTCCTTGACGCGAAGCAATTCGCCGCATACCCGCATCTCGAAGCTCTCCTATCCATGGTGAACGAGGCGTTCGACATTCGCCATAGGGAATCGTTTGCGACGCATGAACAGGGGAGATTTGAAAGTTTAGAAGAGTTAGTCGAAAGCTTAGACGCCGTGGGAAGATGTTGCATCATCACGCAAACACAAAAAAATCAGGCCCCGAGGATAGTTGCCTGTAGCATATTAAAGGCATATTTCGAATGGGACCCTGCCTCGGACCCAGCGTTGAAGAAAGAAGATGCTCGAGATATTTCCACTCAGAATGGGGTGAACGGGACAAGCGAGCCACGCGAACCTCCAGGCTCCGAAACAAACTTGACACTTGCCGCCCTAAATGCAAAAAATGAGGACCCTGATATGGATTTCAGGTCCGTCACGGACTGGGAACTCGGGGTTGTGGTCGTCCGTCAAGATCCCCAATTGAGCAAGCTTGGTCTCGCTGTCCGATGTGCCGCGCTGCTGGAACAAGATCTCCTGGAGCGGTTAGAACGGGCCGAGAAGGAGGATGCTAACGGCGCGATCACTCCGGTGGATCAACAGAAGCCGTTGACGTTCTGGGTAAAAACAGCGGCGATAGTCAATGGGTCGTATTGGCACAGGCGCGGGTATGAGACTATTCGCACGAGGATATTTCCCGAGGGGTACTGGGGGGCATATAGAGAATTTGAAGTCGCATGGATGAACAAGTGTATTCCACGTCGGGCGGTTTCTGGTTCGTCATGATGGATTGGGAATAACATTGAAGTATTCTCCGAATTTCTGTTAGATCGAAGATGTCCATGCATATGGTGAAGGCATAGATTTGGAAGCTCGTGGTTCGTTTAGATCTATCTACACCTGTTAATGATGTAACTATTGTCAATTTCAGAAATGGTGATATCTCGGACAATAGCCAATCACTCTAATTTAAATATGAGAGACATTGAGAGGTGGCTCTGCTATAGCATTCGGAGAAACACTCTTTTGAGTATATCTTACATTGTTACTTAAGCACTGTAAAAACGTCCATTAAATTTACTAAGGAGCCTACATATAGCTGCCAATTAGTTCTGAAGCCCGAGGCCATCTTTCTATTCTGGTAGCCCTACATCTCGAGGCTGAGGATAGATCACATCATTGTTCTAGCTAGACTGATATCCCGTGAAGAAGCTCCAACATAACGGCTGAAAGAAGGCGGATAGCATATTTTTCGCGTAATCATAGGTGCAACGCTCAACAGTAAAGCTTACCATGGCCAATGTTCCGATGTTGAAGCCACGGTCAACGCAACGCAAGCGTTTGAGCCCTGCGGGTTAGGGAACGCATCTGAACCGATGGCTGTTAGGCTGGCAGGCATAACCATATCACCATTCAACTTATCCTGGGGTATGTACACAACCACTAGACAGAATGCTAACATAAACAAGGCTATATGACTATTCAAGCAGCGGTTTTCGTAAACTTGGTTATTCCCTACTTTTAATAATAGGGTCTGGCCCCACAGGAAATAGCCGTCTCCCATACCATCGCCCGGCATAGCCCTGTCCAATCCGGCATTTGCGCTCTTTTCGGTGAAGTGCTGAGCCCCACAGGCACTTATATATACCTCTGGCATAGTCAATGATGTTAGCATTTTTGACACGATAATCAATACATACCCCGAAGTTCAGCTCCTCTTTCATCAAACAATACATATTTACATCGTTTTCGCAAGTGTATCGACCATCCACCCGGTTATAGGAGCACGTAGCTGATGCTACACTCGCCCTTCAGAGTCCGTAAGGGGCCAAAGGGCAGGATAGCCAAACCCTCCGATATTCCCGCAGGAGATATCCGCAAATACCTAACGAGATTCCAGGACGATGCTTCAAGCGCAAACCATGAATTTGTTGATAGGGTTATATCGTTTGCCCGGAGAAAGAAAACAACCCCTGCTCAGGTCGTATTGATTTGGATAGGGCCATCAGCAAAGCCCACGATTACTCCGATACCATGAGCCAAATCGAAATAACGGGTGTCAGGGCTTGCAACCCTACCACTATTTTCTGCTGAAGAAATGAAGGGGATCGATGAGACGATCAAAGCAAGCAATATCATTGGGGCAAGATATCCGTCGTTTTAAGAGGGAGCAGAAGCGAGTTCCCGGTCTTAGGAAGCTTCATTGTGAGTATGGGAGTAGGATCATACAGAACGTGTTGCTAGAGAACGTGGTCTACTATGAAAATGAGTTTCAGTTGAAGGCATTGTTCTAGAGAAGTTAATCAGTCTTTGGCTCTCTTCAGTTGGAAATGATATACGGCACAATACGATTATTTTGGGGGGGTCAGATCAAGTGTAGGAATTTGTGTCAACAGCCAATTTCACATAACAAGATGGAAATTGTCGGTATTGCAGAATTCTCTTATTCATCCTTTGATAATCATGACATGTAGAACGAATAAACGGAATTTCTTACCTGAATGAAAGTCCATGGAATGCAGTAATGTTCCTAGAATCCACGATTTTTTTTTTTTTTTTTTTTTTTTTGAGCCATCGAACCCAAAGTCGGAAGTGTCAGGTAATCAGGTAAACTCAAACAGCAGCTATTGACAATGGCGAGTATTCCTTGCTTAAGTAGCATAATAGAATGTAACATAACATGTATGGAAAGACGCAGTTTCACCAAGTGAAGAATCCTTATTGAAGCAAGGAAAGTTGAGGTTGAATATTTTGTTGATGTTCGCGATTTTATCTTTCAGTGTGCGGCCACGTGATTCCCAAAGTTCAGGGAGCCGCATCCAGCTTGAATGTTCATTGTTCAACACCGGTTGAGAAAACAGATTGCAGTGGTGCTTCCATCCAGATAATTTCTATTCACTTCCTTTGACAGGTTGATTAACACATCACAGCCCCCACTCTCACAATGGCTGACTCCCCCGGCTCCCCTCTCTCTTCTCTTGCTTCTGAGGAGTTCGCGGAGGACATGAAGTTTGAGGACCACCCTCACTCTCCCACCGTTTCAACCCCCCAGATGCCACCTTCAAAGCGCCGTCGGACTGGGATCTCATCCTGGGATCGTCATACTCCTATCTCATCGGTTCACGAAGATATACCTCCGGCATCCCCTTCTGCCTCGATCTCTTCCGATAGCTCGGGGGAGCTACCAAACTCTCCCCTAACGCTTGCGCTCATCGGTGGCGGCATTGAGGACGACTATAGCGGACAAGGGCGGGATCAAGTTACCGTTTGCCAATGGGAAGGATGCGATGCGAATGATCTAGGAAACATGGATGCGCTTGTCAAACACATACACGAAGATCACATCGGGTCTCGACAAAAGAAATACCTATGCGAATGGAGCGATTGCGGCCGGAAAGGCCAGACTCATGCCAGCGGATACGCATTGCGAGCGCACGTAAGGAGCCATACGAAGGAGAAGCCCTTCTATTGTACTTTACCAGGTGAGCCCATCTCCTGTGACCTTAGAGAATATATACATTTGTCGCGGTTTTTCAAGTTTAAACATGGCTGACATCTCTCCCAATGACAGAATGCGATCGTAGCTTCACACGCTCGGATGCACTTACAAAACACATGCGAACGGTTCATGAAACGGATGCACTTCGCCCTACAGATGCGACTGCAAAAGGAGCCAGCGGAACTGCTACGGGCACAACTAGAACACCCAGAATCAAATTAAAGCTCTCACAGCCCGCTAAGGAAGGTAGCAACGATGGAGATAAAAGCGATGTAACGAAGGATTCCGACCAGGCAACAATACCGTATCTGAGCCCGGAATTGGGTTTTGACGAACATGAACTTTCCCTCCCCCCAGAGCAACTATGCTATCTTCTACGTCGCCAGCTCCACTGGGCTGGTCAAGAAGCCGCCCAGCTGAAGCAGGACTGGGAAATAATCGAGCCAATGCGAAAAGAGTCATGGAGAGACAAGGAGTTAATTTTCGAGGACGTTATACATGCTGAACTTCGAGTGTTCAAATCTGCTATATCAGCAGAGGACATAGCTATTGCTCCAGGGACGAATGGAGCCATGCCCTTAAACGAAGCGTCGTTGTCAGTTATTGCGAGCAAACGGCCCGAGGTATCAAGATCGAATGAGCGTCCTGAGTCACCTAGGCTCGATACATGACATCCCCTGGAGAGGGAGGGGACCAGCCGACGTTTTGATCATTTAGTAGCGAATTCACATGCCTAATTCCTTTTTTTTTTCGGTTTCCCACTCCTTGCTTTTCATGATAGTGGAATATTTCGTTAACGAGCATTCATGTTAAGAGACTTTGGGCGAACAGACTATTTTGATTTTGATATTTCATGGGAAGGGCGGCGGCTTTTCCTTTCATTATTATTACTGTATTATTTTAGCATCTAGCACCGATTTACAGCGTCAAATATCCCCAGGTTGGGCTTGTTTCTTTCTTGTAAACTTTGATAACTTAACAATCAATTGCCATATCTCAGAATACGTCATGTATATTTCCTCTATCCCTACCCACTTGACAACGCGTCGACTGAAATAACCGGAACGGCCATTGACTTCGCCTAGAGAGCTCACCCCGAATAGCACGAACACTGGGCAACCAAAAAATTGATATTAATCAACAGGCGGAAGATCCCTTTAGTTTCTGTGGAAACGAACAGGGGATAATTTACCATACTGCAAAAAAATGCCACGACCCTCTTACAAAAATAGTTGGGCATACTTTGCCGTTCTTGCTCCTTGACCAGAAAGTTGAAACCCAATAGATGTCTGATATCCCTGACAAAACCCGCGGGTTTCAACAACGAAAATCCTCTTTCTGTTGTCCTTGGCAGACTAACGCCGGTATCGACCAATGATTGATTGCCTTGAATACGTTTCCCTGTACTGTTTGTTGGAAACTGATTGACCGAGATTGCCAAATGGAGGATAGCATTTTAGTCGAGGCGCTGTCGATTTGGTTGGGAGCCGTTGGGTAATTAATCTTTCAACAGTGATCGTGTCGTCTATTGACCTCCATGGCCCTCAGGATAGTTTATTTTCGAGTGATAGAGGGATGCCAAAACGGTGCAGTTAAGAGATTATGACGGAAGAATGAGCTCAATAGAGGCAGGTTACCGTAGGCTGTCTTGATATATATGTATGCAGCTTATCCTGATAGCCTGAAAACTCAACCATACCAAGAAACATTATTCATAGTTACTTAGATCCCACCCTACCTGTATTCGGATACGTCGAATATATGTTTCACAAAGAATATTGAATACAAGAAATAGCATCCTCCTGTAGACGTATTATTATTTTTCACTTTTGTCAAGAAATAAGATATACGCAAGACCAAAATTCAAGAATGACTTGGTAGAACTCCCCCCGTGGGACATTTCTTTTGTTAATCCGTTCCAGCCTCAAGGAGAAAAGAGAACAAACTCCGCAACCTCCAACGCACGAGCCAGCCAGCCAGCCAGCCAGGAATGACATGATAATGTATTTGGAGAGAAAAAGAAAAGATTATATATCGGAAAAGAAGACACATATGAGCACAGAAAACAGGTGAAGAGCACCATGTTATAATAGAAAGAATATCTAGCAAGATAATCTGCCCTGTAAAAAGTAGAGGGTTTTTTAGGAAACTGCGTTAAATCAACAAAGATTGAACTCGTCGTCTCACTCACTCATACACCCACTTAAAAAAAGAGATCTGATACACAAAAGTCCCACCGCTCTGAAGGTTGGCGAATAGCGTAGAATAAAAACACCGTCGCTATGCAGCAAATAAGAGAGAGCTAAACATCGACATGAAGAGAGAAAGAAAGAACAGAGAAAACATGATGATAGATAGTGAATATAAAGATAAGATAACGATCCGCCACCCATCATGCTGGGGAAGTCTAGAATGTTAAAAGCGACAGGTGAGAAAGTAATGCAGATGGGCAATGTCATGTAGTTTTAAGTAAATATAACACCCCCTCCATAAAAACTCCAAGCTCAAAAAGCTCAAATATATGCTGGGCAAATGCACCCAAAATGCGGAGGGAGGAAAGAAAGGAAGCCTACGCCTCCCGACGCTCGGCGAGATGGCGCGTTAACAAGAGGTAAAAAACATGAACTGAGATAAAAAAAATATAAAAAAAAATTAAAGGCCAAATCTGAAAGGGTCTCGTAAGACAACGGTAGCCAGCACAAAGATATGAAAAGGGTCCTTGTGTATTATCGTTGTTGGGTCGATTCGGCCTTCTCAACCTCCATAAGGCGATCGAACATGTTATGCAGCGCAGCTGCTGGCGTGGCTTTGTTGGGCCAATATGTCGCAGCGTATCCCCTGATAAGAGCGGAGTTAGTAAATGAAATCAAAAGAATTATTTTCATTTTAGAAAACACGGATGGCGAAGCTCTGTATGTAAGGGAAGCACTTACCACAACCGGTCCTCTAGCGAAGCTCGTGCTTCGTTCCCGTCCAAAGTGCTTCGAATAAACCGGCCAATCAGGAGAAGTAACCGGCGCAACTCTCCCGCTCGATCTTGCTTGCTTGGGATGTTCTCCTTGGTGACTTGAGATACCTTCCTAAGATGTTCTTGGACGGGCTTGAAGATAACTTTGAGTATTGCGTCGTTACTGTTGTTGTCGACACAGGTTCCACCGCTGTCATTGCTATGGCGATAACGATCCTTCTCTTCCCCACGAGCCTTCATGCGGGCTTTGCCGGAACGATCGCGATCGTTCTCGTCTCGCCGGTGGTCCTTCAAACGTCGATGCTTGCTAGAGCCGTGGCCAGGCCTGTTGTCACCTGTGGGGGTGTTCGAAAGATCGGCGCTATCTCGAGACTTGTGGACACGAGATCGGGATTTGTCTGAGTCTCGGGCTTTGCGAGAGAGGGAAGGTGAAGGGGAGGCTGAGACACTACCGCTTGCATTGCCTCTAGAATGTATAGCATTTTTCTTGTTATTGCGATGATGGTTATCCACAGCCCTCTTCGCAATGACACTAGCACCATTGCTTATCTTGTCCTTCAGAACCGACAAAAGATAGTCTGCGCGACGGACCAGATGGACAGCTCCAGGGGACTTTGTCGTGCCCTTTCCGCCGCCATTCATACGCTCCGCTTTCCGGTCAACCCGATGTTCCTCAAGGAAGAGCTTGTCGGCAAGAGCAAGATCAGGGTCGTCGCGGATCTGTGTCCAGGCGCCATAGCCATGGCGAGCTATTCCAACGCAGAGCATGCCATCTTCACGTGCGCCCCAAGCGCAGGTATAGTCAGCACCTTTCGTAGCTTCAGGAACGCGAAAGTTTTGAGGGTCAGCTACATCGGCCGTAGCATTCCTCAGAATTCGCATCTCATTTGGTCTCTCAACGATTGTCTCTGCATTAAGCCGCTTAACACCTTGATGGTCAAAGAGTATTGCTTTCCGTTCCTTCTTAGTGAAGCTTTTGCCTTCACGCTCGAGGGCATCGAGGCGGTTATTTTCCTCCTTTAATAGAGCATGGGCCTTCTCGATTACCTCGGCCAATGCAGCTTTCACAACATCGATATCCCGGTCACTGAGCCTTGCTTCTCTGATTAAATCGTCTTGCCGATCATTTATGTCGCCATATCGAAGGTACGCGCGGATGAGATGTCTATATTCCTTCTCACTAAGAGGCCTGCTCGGATCAGGCGGCGGTGGTGCATCTGATACGTCATCAGCGTCGATATTGACTTGTTGCCGGGCTCGTCGTTTCGCTTGACGCTCCTGTCGCCCATCGAATGGCTCTTTCCGTTTGCGCGGCTGACTTCGCTCAATCTCTTGCGCCAGGAATTGCTCGTGCGCTCTACGTTCTTCTTCTGCTTTGATTTGTTCGAGTTCCTCCCTCGGAATGATGTCGTCCCATGTGAGTTCATCCACTTTAACGTCGACAAACTCAAAGGCCTTTAGAAACTCCTCTCCACCGTCTACCTCCATGCCTTCGGGTTGTTCAGTTCTATGCTCTTCAGCATTCGCCAGGACAGAATCAATATCTAATTCCTCTAACTTCTTCTGGTTGCCAGATTGCTCGAACATGCGCTGGCCGCGTCGCTTGAGAATGCGGGATATATCGTCAGAAGAGGTCGGTTCACTGATTTGGTGGCCAGCACGTGTCATCTTGTCTTTAAGTTCAGTTGCTTCCTTGTCAGTAACTCCTCGCTGGATAGTAATAAATTCGAGGAGCAATTTATTTCTTGCTCTTTCGAGAACCTCTTCTTCAACAGTATCCTTAGAAACGAGGCGATAAACGCTCACAGGGCGAGTCTGGCCAATTCGATGTGCACGTGCCATTGCTTGAAGGTCAGCCTGAGGGTTCCAGTCAGAATCGAAGAGGACGACGGTATCAGCAGTCATGAGGTTAATCCCCAAGCCTCCTGCACGAGTGGAGAGAAGAAACGCAAAATCATTGCTCTCTGGGGCATTAAAATGCTCGATAGAAAGGCGTCGAGGACCGGCGGCGATTGTTCCATCTAGCCGTTGATAGGCGTAGCCACGAACATCCATATAGTCAGCCAAGATGTCAAGCATGCGGACCATTTGGCTGAAAATCAAGACACGGTGACCGTCCTTTTTCAGTTTGGCCAAGAGTTGATCCAGTAACATCATCTTTCCGCTGCTCGTGATGAGGGCACGCATCATTTCTTCACGGCCAGTTTTGCCCTCTAGAATGCGAGATTCTGCGTTGGGAAACATGAAGGGGTGGTTGCTAGCTTTTTTGAGCTCCATCATGATATTAAGAAGGGATTGTTTCTGTCCTTTACTTCCTTGGTTGAGGGCAGCATAGTTTTTCGTCAGTATGTTTTTGTAGTACTCCAGTTGTATGTCGGACAATTCGACTCGAATGATCTTCTCCGACTTGGGAGGTAAATCTGACTCGACCTTCGATTTAGTCCGACGAAGCATGTAAGGCTGGATAGATTTAGTTAGCTCCGCCAATTTAACACTGGCTGCTTCACAACCTAGATCCATATCCTCATCAATCTGGATCAGCCCAGGATTGAGGAAATCCATCAGAGCAGAGAGCTCGCCTAGGTTATTCTGCACCGGGGTTCCAGTAATCAGCAGTCGACTAGGCGACTTGAATTCAAAGAGCTTAGCATAAAGTTGCGACTCGCGATTTTTCAACCGATGAGCTTCGTCAACGGCCATGAATTGCCATTTGATTTGGCTAAGAAAGGTCGCGTCCACGAGAACGTATTCGTAAGTAGTCAGGAGGACATGGAACTTAGGTCGTCTAACATTTCCATCAATCAATAATTCATATTCCTTTATAATATTTCGGGCAGCTTCGTTGCCGTTGTAAACCACATAGTTCAAGTCAGGAGTCCAATTGTCGAAAGTTTCTGCCCAAGAGGGCATTGTGGAGAGCGGCACAACAACAATGAAGGGGCCTTGTTGATTCCTGACATGCCGCAGCCAATTGATAAAGGCCACAGTTTGAACGGTCTTTCCTAAACCCATCTCATCCGCAAGAACCACATTCCGGCCACGAACCCAGTTATATGCCATGAAGTTAACCCCTTTTACTTGGAATTCCTTGAGCTCACCGTTCTGAACAAAGCTCGGGGTCCCGTGAATAGGCTCAAAGTGGGCTCGGGTTAAGGGGTTTGATTCCGATTTGCTAGAAATGGGTGGGTGAGAGGTGCGGTCGAGATAGCGGTCGATCTCCCGCTGAGCGATCTCGCTGACTAGGGACGCGGGTTCCCATGTACAGTAGTCATAGAAGAGTCGTTTCCATTTGACGTAGTATTCAGTTTCACCGTCTATCTCACGAGAGCCGATGACACGCTCTGCTTTTTTATAATCTTCTATAGCATCCACATCACGTTCCCGGTCAAGGTTCCATTTTTCTTTCTCCTCAGGAATGATTTCGGGGTCTCTTGCGTACTGTATCTCTAGGGTCAGGATCTTGCGAATGTAATTGTCTAATCGGCGCACGCTCCTACAGCTCGCAAGGGATGCCACGGTCTCCCATGTTGCATGGTAGTGGGATTTCCCTTGCCATTTGATGTAGAACTCAAAGTCATCTCGACTAAGATCATCTCGGGAAAGATCAATGCCTTCCTTAAACCTGTGATTTAGTACTACATCAATGGCTGGGGTTGTATCATCGACCGCAGTCACCCAGTCTCCCGGTGTCATCATTTCCGATTCATCTTCAAAGTCATCATCGTCATCATCTTCGTTATAATTTGATACTCTATTCGCACGTCTAGTTGAAAAGCGAATTTCGGCATGTGCAGGTATTAGGTTATCGGAGGATTGCGCCATCCGTCGACGTTTTGCTTTTGAGGTTCTACTACGCGAACCCTGATATTCATCACTATCAGAATCAGACACGGAATCAATGGACTGAGAGCGAGAGAGTTGTTTGGATGGGCGATTTGGTGTACGGCGTCTCCGCTTTGAAGGAGGTGCGACGGCTTCAGAGTCGGAATCGGAGGTAGTCTGGACATTTTGACGAATGGATCTTGAGCGGCCACTTCGACGTAAGCCGTAGAGGCTTGGATTGTTTCTTATAAAGTCATCGTCGATTATGGGAGATTTTCGTTTTGTGCCCTTCTTTTGGTTATGGGTCGATGAGTTGCCAGAGAACGAGGCGGCTTGCGCGTCGGAAACGTCTTCAGTGGCGGAATCGCTTTCATCCTCAGCAATATGGTGTTGAGCAGCTGGAGAAGCTTGACCATCGAGATCATCCTCATTGTCTGAGGAGTCCGAACTCATCTCCGGATTAAACTCCTCTGCGGCATCCGACTCCGCATCCCCGCTCTGGTCATGATCTGCATCTTCGTCGGAAGCATCTTGCTCGTCGGGACTTGTTTCAGACAAGTCGGACAGATTATCGAAGGTTGGTATCGATGGATTCTCATCTATAACCTGGACATCATTTGCGACGGGGGACTGGTGACCGTTTGCCAGGGTAGACGTCATCGAGGCGGATGGGAGCACCATGCTACTAGCTATCAAAGAACAGGTCAGCATTGAAGAGCAATAATGGGCGAAAACTCAGTTCGAAGCATAGGAGGAGCTACAGGGCACGTATGCGACTCGAGATATGACTTGCAGAAGCTCTATAGATGGTATAATAAGGTAGTATAAGAAGATTTGATGGAATGTATGGTTTTTATTGACAGTTTGATGAAAAGAGGATGAAGAAGTTGATACAGAACAGTGGATGCAGAATAACGAGACATGGAGACAATAAACAGATGCTATGGCAATCACCACATCGATTCCATCAATGTAGCAAGCGGCAGAAGACACTCATCATCAAAACGAAGAGTGTCCAAGCGTAGGAGGGTGTGGGTCGAGGATCAATGGAGAGGTACACAAGCGAGGCGCGGGAGACGTATTTTGCAGATGGGTAAAGGGACAGATAAAAACTTACGATCCATAGCTTGGTGGCCCCGAGGCAGAAGCACGTAGCAAGCAACAATATGAAGGCATAAAAGAGTGTTTGTGGTTGTGGGGGGAGGGCGGGAAGGGGATGTGCTGCGGGAGAATGAGAGGCACGGGTTTGGCGGAGGGAGAGTTTTGGAGGAAGGGAGAAAGAAGAGCGAGCGAAGAGTCGGAAGTTGGATGGTTGGAGATTGCGAGCCGCCGCCAAGCGCCTTGTCCAAAGAGAGTTTAGTGTGACAGGGTGTGTAAAGGGTCTAAGCTGAATAGAACTTAGCGTGGGCAGTTAAGCGACTCATCACACCGGCGGCTGTAGAACGCGTTCTGATTGGCCAACTGCCGCACATTGCGAATTGCCGTGTGATATTTCGCCCATCTGGGTTAGCCGCTGATAAATTACGGCACGAATACAGAAGTACAGAAGGTTATATTTCATAGATCTCATGCTGCTCAGAGTATATATAACCTTAGGAAATGGAAGAGGGATGCTGTTCAAGTACCGACATAACGCAGTCGTTAATGATATCAACGGAGCCATAAGAAACCAAGCCCTGTGGAATTCGTTGCTGTCGACCTGAGAAAGAGCTGTACCTAACTGGTACCTAGGTATCTACGGACTGTACGGAGTATACGGACTAAATACACTATGTTTCGGGTGCGCAGCCAGTGAAATCCACTGCATTTCCATCTGACTAATGCCAGACAGCTTGCACACGGATAACAGGCCCGTATCGCGGGGTGTACCGTACCGTCCCTGTCGTATTTTTCAGCGCCCTCCGCCAACTTCGCACATCTGAAGATTCCCAAAATCCCTTCTCCTTTCCAACAACACCACACGCTGCCCGATCCTCAGGGCCTTTCTCAGTTTCTTATTTGCTTTCCAGTGTACTGCTTTTTATTTCCTCGTATATATCCTCAATTTTGTTTTTCTTCTTCGTGAGGCTTAATTAGCCCATCTTGAACAGTTTTTGCGAGGCTTCTCTTCTGACGTCAAGCGGGCAACGAAATCACCACGTTTAAATATATATTCCTTGACCTCAACCCAAGTCATTGAAGAATTCACTTCCCGCCGTCATGTCGGACAAACTAACCAGGTGAGCATTTGACTGACTATTTTGCTGTTTGGGTGTTACTAACTGTTCTCCAGAATTGCCATTGTCAACGCGGACAAGGTGTGCAGATATACCCCGCCATTCCATACATACCCCTCAAAAATTTTTATTTTTTTGGCCCTGGTGAGCTAATGGGCTACATATCACGACACAATGGGCTAATCAATTATTTCTGTAACCTCTATAGTGCAAACCCAAGGTAGATCTATGCTCCCCTGTCCTTTTCTAGGCTTATGTGTACATTCCCGAGACAAAGCTAATAAGTATCCTTTCAAGAAATGTCGTCAAGAATGCAAGAAGTCTTGCCCAGTCGTGCGCTCCGGCAAACTTTGTATCGAAGTCACCCCTGAATCGAAGATTGCTTTCATTTCGGAACGTCTCTGTATAGGATGCGGTATTTGTCCGAAAAAATGCCCCTTTGGAGCCATCCACATCATCAACTTGCCCACCAACCTAGAGACCCAGGTTACGCACCGATATTCGGCGAACAGCTTCAAACTTCACCGGCTGCCCATGCCTCGCCCTGGACAGGTCCTGGGTCTGGTGGGAACCAACGGTATTGGCAAGAGTACTGCTCTCAAAATCCTCAGTGGAAAATTGAAGCCAAATTTGGGCCGTTACGATAATCCGCCTGACTGGGAGGAAATCTTGAAGTATTTCCGTGGTTCTGAATTGCAAAGTGAGAAATACGTCCAAAGGCTTCCTTCCTCCCCCTTTTGGCTTCAAGCACACCAAATTCTAACCCGCCTCTAGACTACTTCACCAAAGTGCTCGAAGATGATTTGAAGGCCGTTGTGAAGCCGCAGTACGTCGACCAAATTCCCCGAGCGGTCAAGGGCCCGGTCAAGGAGGTAGAGCCCCTTATCAAAGCACGCTCCCAAATGGACAATATGGAACATATCATGAAAGAGCTTGGTTTGTAGCCCCTTTCTTTCACCCTTGTGACCTGTTACCACTACTAACAGGTTACTTTATAGAGCTCAACCAAGTTAAGGATAGAGAAATTGGGCTGCTCTCTGGAGGAGAACTTCAGCGCTTTGCCATTGCGCTTGTTTGCGTTCAGCAGGCTGATGTGTATGTCCCATCTCTTCTTTTATTGGCGTATTTTCAACAGGAAGCTAACGTCAACTAGATACATGTTCGACGAGCCATCATCCTACCTTGATGTCAAGCAGCGTCTCAGCGCGGCACGTATTATCAGAGGACTCCTTCGACCTGATGATTATGTCATTGTAGTTGAGCACGACTTGTCTGTCCTGGATTACCTCTCCGACTTCATTTGCGTACTCTATGGTCGCCCTGCTGTATACGGTGTCGTCACTCTGCCTTCTTCGGTTCGTGAAGGTATCAATATTTTCTTGGATGGTCATATCCCCACAGAGAACTTGCGATTCCGCGAAGAATCCCTCACCTTCCGTATCGCAGAAGCTGGAGATGATTTCATAGCCGACAAGGGAAGAGCGTTCAGTTACCCAAAAATGGAAAAGACCTTGGGTGGCTTCCACCTCTCCGTCGAGCCCGGGAGATTCACTGATTCCGAAATTATTGTCATGATGGGAGAGAACGGAACTGGAAAGACGACATTCTGTAAACTGCTTGCTGGAGCGGAGAAGCCAGATGGCCGCACATCTGTGCCTCCCATGAACATCAGCATGAAGCCACAAAAAATCACTCCCAAGTTCCAGGGTACTGTTCGACAGCTGTTTTTCAAGCGTATTAAGGCGGCATTTTTGTCGCCCCAGTTCCAGACTGACGTCTACAAGCCACTCAAGCTCGATGACTTCATCGACCAGGAAGTCCAGAATCTTTCCGGTGGTGAATTGCAACGTGTCGCTATTGTTCTTGCACTCGGTATTCCAGCTGATATCTATGTAATCGACGAGCCGAGCGCCTACTTGGACTCCGAGCAACGTATCGTTGCTGCGCGAGTCATCAAGCGCTTTATCATGCATACCAAGAAGACGGCTTTTATCGTCGAGCACGATTTCATCATGGCGACTTACCTTGCTGACCGCGTTATCGTCTTCGATGGTCAACCATCCGTAGATGCCAAAGCCAATACCCCAGAGTCTCTCCTCACGGGTTGCAACAAATTCTTGAAAAACCTGGACGTGACCTTCCGTCGTGATCCCAACAGCTACCGGCCACGAATTAACAAGCACCAGAGCCAGCTTGACCAGGAACAGAAATTGAATGGAAATTATGTAAGTCCCGCTTTTTGAGTTTGTTTGCAATTCCCCAATATCACCACCCCCTATTTCCCTCATGTTTTACTAACTCAATTACAAAAACAGTTCTTCCTGGAAGAAGAGAGTTGAAAAGGGCGTCCCACGAAATCATGACCGGGATGGTCACCACAGACGTCGACGTAAACGACGCTTTAGTAAAAACCGCGTTGATGTGTTAGCATTTTCCGGCGTTAGCAAAGGCGCTGGTGGCCGAAAGGGGAGACGCAACGTCACGGGTCTTCCTGACGAGGAGTCATCGGCTGACGAGGACGATGATAAAGACGACAATAGAGCATGCTGGGAACAGCAGTATTTCGTTCGGTTCTCTAGCCGGTTGTTGTTGTTGTTGTTCGAATCCTTCCCGAGTGGCGTGTTCTCGTCGTTCCCATACCCCTGCTGTTGAACATGCATTTGGAACCCTTCAGTGCCAGAGTGAATATTTACTTGGGCTAATCTATCTTACCCTGGTACCTTGGCATATCGTCGTTGGGGACGTTGGGGGCGTTTGCTCCTTGCTTCGATACAATATTGCGGCACTAGGGATGCAGAATGATGCTTTTACGAATCTATAAACACGAGAGAGCGGGAGCTGATGAACTTTTCTCCTTTATAACCCGGACTTGCTATATGCTAGGAGGTAATAAGGCTAATAGTCAATAAAAAACAGCGGACGAAGTTTACCTAACAAACTGCTGGATATATACCCACCCCATAGTGTTTTTTGTTACTTTATAACCATTTACGTGAGGGTGGTCTATTTAAATCGCACTTGTTACCTCTATCTGTCGCGCATAAAGGGCGTTTGCTTGATTCTTGACCCTATTTTTGTCTTTCATTTATTCCCATGTTTCAAGCTATTTAACGACTCTCGCCGGGTCTTTGTCTGACGTTATCCCCCCACCCTTCTCTCTTTCCCACGCATCCGTTTCAAAACAACAATTTCTAGTTTCGTTTGCGACTGCTCAAATGTAAGACGTGCCCGTCTTTCTGTCAAAGAAACCGAAAAGAGATATGCGGATGTCGTCGACCTGCGCCCTTCCCTATCTGGTCGACTCACACCATCCAGACGCCAATTCCACCGAAAAGGAATCGCCGTTTCGTGAGATGGAGGAGGGGTGGCAAGAAAATTGGCACTTTGGGGAAAGGGGGGTTTGAGGATAGTAAAGCAGATTTAAAACATAGTCAGATATGTAAATAGCCTGTGTCCGTTCCTTTGCTTTGCGTCCGTTTTACCTGGCGGACGCGAAATTTAAAAGAGTTAACTATCTCACCTCAAACCTTCTTTATCATTCATTCGTTTTACCTGTCCATGTTGCGAAGCTATGAAGGGTAAGAAAGGGAAAATGCAAGTCTCACGTTTTCTAACTTTTGGTCCAAGTCCCCGTTGGAAATTCTTGGCAGGGTGTAAAAAACTTTTTCTATATTCACAGCGAATTCTAAGATTGTCTGGGACGCTTAGAATTACTTAAATCTTGCTCAACCCTTCAATTACCAACATTAATATGGAAAGAAAAATAGAGAAGACAACATGGGATTTCTAACAAACCGCCAAAGCTCACCCTAGCCAGCCTCAGCTCCCGTGTGGTCCCAAAGAGAAGTAGAAGAGAATTAAATAGTAATCAATACATTCCCTACCCTATCTACCATAAACTAACTTTCCATCTTCACGTAAACTCTACCACCACCTCACAACTCCCCGAATCGTCACCCACATCGTCATACCCATCACTCCTCCTCAATCTCCCCCTCCTCACTCCCCGAATGCACTACCCTCTCCTCCTTCACCTCTTCCGGTGTCCGCTCCCTCTCCCGCTCCTTCCCCCGCTCCCGATCCCTATCCCTATCCCGCTCTCGCTCCTTATCCCTCCTCGACCCCCCATCCCTCCTATACCGCTTCGCACTCCGACTCCCAACGCTCTCCGTCTCACTATCCCTGCGCCGCCTGCGCTCACTAGTAACCGTACCCGTGGTACTACGCGCCGTGGAATCGGCCGCCGCCCCGTTGCCGCCACCGTAATCCAATTCATCGCGGCTGCTCCTCGGGTCCGCGCGCGAGCGATACAGGCGCTCCCGTTCATCCTCCTTCTCGCGCCGATCATAGTGGCTAAGCATAGAGCGGCTGCTGGGTCGATCCCGCTCGCGGTCCCGGTCACGATCCCTATCTCTATCCCGGCCACGGTCGCGATCACGATCACGATCACGGTCGCGCTCGCGTCCCGGCGGCGGTGGGGAGAGCCCGCTGACTTTCCGGTAGGATCTCTCGCGGTCGGCTTGTGCTTTGCGCCGATCCGCTTCGTAGGCGTCCGGCTCGGGCGTGCGGCTGAGGCGGCTAGGGGTTGCCCCTCTGCGTCGCTCGCTGCGGTATCCGTTGCGATCGCGATCACGGTCGCGATCACGGTCGCGATCACGGTCGCGGTCTGAACGGTCGTAATGGTCACGGCGGCTGCCGGCGCGATCACGGTCGCGCTCGGCGTCCTCTTCTTTTTCTTTGAGGCGGCGGATAACTTTATCAAAGGCAGTGCGACGTAGATCGTCCGTGTCCAGTGCACGGTATTCCTCTAGTTTCTCGACGCGGGGTTTCACTTGGTCCCAGGTATCGGAGGCGCGGACCGGTGGTTCGAGATGTTTGATGCGCGAGCGGAGGGCATCGATGGCTCGACGTTGGTGGCGGTCTGCGGCGTGCTTTTCGTCTTCGGTGCGTCGGAGGACTTTCTCTTTGATACGGTCGAAAATTAGCTGGAGAGTGTCGCGATCAATCCTTGCACTGCGCCTGTCGGTAGCCATGATCTCGTTGAACTCTTCGAAGGTGGTTTTTGGTGTAACTTCGTAGCGTACATCCTACCATGGTGTTAGAAATCAAAAAGTAGGCAAGGGATTCCTTAAAGAATAACTTACATCTAGAACATCCAAAACATCGTTTCTAGGGCCTCTCAGGGCTCTCTCCTCCTCTTCCACAATGTCCCAGAATAGATCTAGAGGAGTGGAGCCAGCCTGGCCTAACATGGCAACATACCGGGGGTCATCCTCGATTATCGGCAGAATATTCATCCACTTACTGCCCGCCTTGATCTTTCCACCCTTTCTCAGTTCCTGCAACAACTCCATATATTGATCTCTGTTCTTGCGCTCTCGTCTGGCTTTATTAGCCTTCTGCTGCTGGCGGGTATCATTGAACGTACGCTCAAGGGATTTGATATGGTTCTCAAATGCGGTTAGAATATCCGATTTAGTCAGGGCTTTGAACTTATCCTCATTCATCACCCTTTCGTTTGACTGGATAATCCCCTGCGCCTCGGCCCATCTGGTATATGGCTCCAGCTCCAAAGTTTTAAGAATATCCGCCAGGGCCTCCTTGGCCGCCTTTCGAGAAGCAAGTTCTTGTTCGGCATTCTCTTTCTTCAGCTCAATAATGTACTCCTCGAATAGCTGTCGCCTTTCATTCTCATCACTCGTAGACCTAAAAATCGTCTCCCGCTCGATGATAGGGCGGATAGTTTTCCATCGCGAGTAGTGCTTGATCTCCGGGTGGCTTCTCAGCATCGTACCGAAATCTGCACGGAGTTTAGCCAGTCTTTCTTTGGCGCGATCCTTTTCCTGCATGCGAACCTCAACGGCATATTTCTCAAAGGCGGCCTTGCGGTCCCTTGGATCCCTTATCGCGCGATAGTGTGGGTCCTTGATGATTGAACGCATTGCCTGTTCCCACGTCCACTCTGGCTGTACATTGCTGCGTCGTAGCAGCTTCATGAAAGCAGCTTCGGCCTCCTCGAAGCTAGCGTATTCCGGCTCAGTTTGCTGTGCGCCAACGGCGGATCCTGCAACAACGCCGTTCGTATCAGTAGGCCCGTAATCACCACGTCGGTCTGCTGCACTCCGGTCGTGCTCATCACGTTCGCGTTCACGTTCACGCTCCCGTTGTTGGGGGTAGGTGGGAAATGTGGAGATGCCTCCTGCAACGAAAGTTGGAGCACTAGAATTGGGGTTGAGATAGTTAGAGGAAGCGCAAGGAAAGAGAGGGGACAAGATGACGACCTACGCAGGAATGGGTCGTTGAGGAGGTTGCTGGGCAAGAGCAGTCTTGTAAACCTCAGGCATCTCCCATGAGCTCTGCTTGGTCTCTGTATTGTACCAGTACTTCCGCCCGCCCTCCGCGGTGTATTCTTTCCATGGTTGGTTTGACAAAGCACGCTGTCAAGTTTGAATATGTGTCAGTAAACTGGATGGAAGCGGTAAAACTGAGGTATCCAGCTCTGCTCACCTCTGCAGGAGTCATAAGCTCCAACGGCTTTGTCCACTGTGTGGCCTTCGTCTGGACATTGTAGTAGTAGACTCTGCCATCAGAATTTCTAGCTTCCTGCCAGAGCACAGGAGGCACTGGCATGCCGTTCATGACATTCATGGCTGAAATAAGGTAAGCAGTTTTATGTATGAGGGATAGCCTCGCACTTAAGTCTACTCCCCTCCTGGATCAATGAAGCGATAAATGAACGGTATGACAGCGCTTGACCATCTGTGAAATGGGTTGAAGCTGTGAAAAAAGAAGAGGCGGAGGCTTAGGGTTGGCTACAGAGACCACAGACGCAAGAATAGTCTCTAGAAAACCAGATCTACTCGTTGTTTGGACTATTTAGATATTTATTTTTTTAAATGGTTCTTGTTTATTAGTTAGTTAACAAAATTATTCAGCTACATCCTCCCCTTTCTAATAATGCTCTGATATATTGTTTGTGCAGGTGGTGATCACTGCCGGGCCATGGTTATGTCGGCGCTGTTGACCATCTGAACATTTGACAGTTATTATTTATTTACAAGATTTAATAGTCACATACATACAATGGCCCCTGAGGAATTCCTGCGCCGCGCAGTGTTGAATACAATAGTTCCCTATGCCACTCAAGTCAATCTTGAAGACGCCCTGAACTCCTCAATCCAGGAGAATGCCGAAGATGCCCCGTCCCTCCTACCTACAATCCGCCAACGCTCTCTTCTCTTCTTCGGTATGTTCTTCTACTCCGCAACCACCAGCACCTTGTTCACGCAATGCACTGTGCAAGGGTCTTACTCATTCTCAGATATTCTTGAATAGATGAAATCCTCCCTGTATATATTGTCCTACGCCTTACGAACTGCTCGGGGCATGCTTTGAAATCCCAACTCCCTCGCTTGACCGTCCAGCTAGAGGCCTACGCCGCGAATGGAGCTGATGGCGAGGACGGCGAGATCGAAGGTCCTCCTCAACAGCAACAACAAGCTAGAGACGTTATATTTTCTGGCACGGTGAGCGAAGACGAGGATCCGCTGGTGGTGGTCAACGAAGTTGAAGAAGCAGGGGATGTGGTAAACCATATCTATGTCATATGGAAATTGGATACTGTCCTCAGTCAGTGCAGCTTTGTGATCATTTCAGAGATCAGGAGAAGAGAGAAGTGTATGGAATTTAAGAATCCTGGTGTGCTAATAAGAGCTTATTGAAGATCGTCCACGAGTCCGGCTCCAGCATCCATATGTCACGTTCAGCGCCTCTGCAACCCTACGCCCCTTAAATATCTCGTCTGGAGACGACGAAGATGAGTATCTACCAAGTGGTATATCGGGGTCTGTCAATGTTTTCCAATCCCTAGTCGAAAATGTCCCTCAAGGACAGTCCAACCCACAACCGTTCCTCCCCGCATCGAGGCTGCTACGGGTGGTTCCAGCTGCGCAGGAGGAAGCATCATCGTACCGTGTGCGACAAATAAAACAACGGCCGTTCCGCATCATCCCCATTGCCAGTGCGCGAATCCGGTATTCCCGCCTAAATACCTATTCCAGCAAACCCACGACTATCGCCAGCCTCGACTTTGAGGTGACACCCTTTACGAATTTCGACGTCATCCTAGAGAAAACGGAACTGACCCTCCTCGACGGCCAGGTCGAAAGCCTAACAACTGACAACGGATATGCTCTTCCAGTAACCTGCCGTCCAGGGGATGACATGACGCTGGTATATAAACTCACCCCAGTGCCTGGAATGGAGGCCACCTCATCCACCACCGCGGTCGTTTACGTTTTAGATATCTCCCTGGGAGCAACGATATGCGTGTCGGATGAATGCCGACCCAGAATATCCATGAAATGGCGCACCAACGTCGACTTCTCCTTCCCTCTCAATCCAACCTTCGGTGGGCCCAGCCAAGTCCTCCAACGAAGCAACCGCCCCACCAGCCTTCCCATGACCCCAAGCCAGAGTGGCGGCGGTGGCGGCGGTACCACTCCAGCGGCAGCCTATGCAGCCAGCGCGGCAGCGCTAGCTACGAATAAACGCTCTACCTACATATCCACCACCGACATTGGCGTGACCATCTCCTTCTCGGGACCCAGTAGCGTCGAAGTCGGGAAGCCGTTCCACTGGGACGTATTCATCGTCAACCGGTCGGAGAAAGCGAAGAAATTTGCCATGGCAGCCGTGCCGCGGAGGAAGCGGGCGGATGTGCGTAGTAGTAGACATATTTCTCGGCCGTCGGCGTCGTCTGTGTCGTGTGGGCGCCGCGACGAGCAGATTGCGGAGGCCGTGACGGATGAGAATATTGTATATGCGATGCAGAAGAACGCAATTCCGTATGATACGGAGTTGATATGTTTAAGTACGGACATTAGAGTTGGGTGAGTGTTTTATATCCTTCTTTTTTTTTTTTTTTCTGTGTGTATGTGGCTGCATACACCCGATATTATATGAGTCGAAGTAGGCTAACAATAATACATTAGCCCTCTTTACCCCGGTACATGCCACTCGACAGAGCTGAAGCTGCTCCCGCTAGCGGCAGGCGTGCTGCATGTTGAAGCCGTCCGGCTGGTGGATTTGAACACCAACGAGGCACTGGATATAAGAGACTTGCCAGATATTGTATCGTTTGATAGACCGGCGAAGTAGCAATACTTTGTGTGACTTTCTTGCTCACCACCCGAATTTATGTAGATAGAAAGAACATATCACGTAACTATGCTGCACAGCCAAGTGTATATATACGAAGTTGAATGCGACCACTAACGACCAGGTATAAACTGATCTACTTTTTGGCCAAGGCATAGAAAATACAAGACATAATAAGGCCCTTTACATTGTTTGGAATATGATCGGCCTGGCGCTTAACTAGTCGTATTCTTCTGGGGTTTTGTACGTTACATATAGTACCTAGTAGGCGCGGCGCGGCGCGGGAACTGTGGGATACTTCACACCTCCGGAAATAGAAGAAGGATAGGCACTATGGAATTAATTATTAAAAAAATAAAATGAAGGCAAATACTTAAGAGAACATAAGAAAGAGCATTGAATATTTAAACCGTGAATACATTGTTGGTTGTTCGTTACTCAGTGTTGTCAATTGTCTCATTGTCTTGTGCTTCCTTTTCTCCGCCAACATCATCCTCATCACAACCATCAGTCCTTCATCTCCTCCTCCTCCTCCTCCTCCTACGTCCTCTCATCCTCTCATCCTACAATAACAGTGCTCATCGCCCGCCCACGGCTACCGGGAACTCAGATCGCTCCCTCTGTGTATATTATTCCCACCCGCCCAGGACCACTACGCTAGTTACACCACACCTTGCGTCATATACAAAAGCATAAATATTTATTCCGGTCTCGTTCGCGGTCCCACTCCGGCGTCATTCTTGGATGAGCTCGAAGATCTCCAACCATCGAACCCATCTCGCCCGTTGGACCCTCGTTTTTCTCCTTCTACAATAAAACCGTCCGCATCTCTGCTATTTAAGTCCTTCTCCTCTTTCCGCCATGCTCGACATAACCAGACGGAGAGTGCTCGATGGCTTGAATAGTCGGTATATATACGGCCGGTTGGTAAGTGACAACATACTTTGAACCTTGCTCCAAAGGACAGCATTCCATTTGTCCAGAAAAACTTAGCAGAGAACGCAATTTTTTTTTCTCCTCTTCGCAATCAACGTTGCTATGTAGCTCGAGCTATGGCTAATGATATCTCATCAAAAATAACTCAGCCGCTTCTACATACTATCATCTTCCTGGTTGAAATGGCCGTAACCATGAGGCTCGCGGCGAAATTCAACTCCTACTATGCGGAAAAGCCGGGTAAGTAACTATGTAACTGTATCTTTCCCATCCCCCCCTTATAAAACTCACCGGCGAGCGGATTGAAGAGCTATGTATGGGCTGACATACCTTTGATCACATCTCCAGTCTTGACTACGATGGTCACCAACGCCGTAAGCATCATCCCGAGCCATCGCCCCTCTGGTCCATTCTCTTCTGTTCCGCATATACACATATAAATATATACCATATCCTACTGCATTAGTTACCCTCCCCAACTAACCCGTTTCATCCAAAACGAAACAGGTCCTCGGCGGCATCGCAGACACAGTAGCCCAAACCATAACCGCCGTGCGGACACGCATGGCGGCCCGCCGCCGCTCCCGCACCTCCTCTAACGACCCCAATAATGATCCAATCTCTATCGAAATATACAACTTAGACAAAGAAAGGCCGTCCCCTATGGGCGACCTTTACAGCGGCAGCAGACACCTCGCACCAGCCTTTGACTTCGAGCGGCTGACCCGTTTCATGGCTTATGGCTTCTTCATGGCACCCATCCAGTTCCAGTGGTTTGGGTTCCTGGCGCGCTCGTTCCCGATTACCAAAACGCATGCGACGGTGCCGGCATTGAAGCGGGTGGCGATGGATCAGCTGATTTTTGCACCGATTGGTATGTAAAATGATAAGATATCCCGTACAAAAGATATACTCTTTTTTATCCCATTCATTATTATAGAAGAGACCGAAGGGAAAAAAAAAAAAAAAAAAAAAAAAAAAAAAAAAAAAAAAAGCCAATACTAACCATTTTCGACACCATAAATACAGGTCTCGTTTGCTTCTTTACATTCATGACAGTGGCAGAGGGTGGGGATCGACGAGCGATAGTACGCAAGTTCCAAGATGTGTATACACCGACGCTGAAGGCGAACTTTATGCTGTGGCCAGCGGTGCAAATACTCAATTTCCGCGTGATGCCTATCCAGTTTCAAATTGTGAGTAGCAGTATCTATCTGTCCTCGTTTACTGTAACCCAGACACGTCCAATTATGAGGAAGGTCTCCACAAATTCTCTAACCGTGTAAACTAAATAGCCATTCGTATCCGCCGTTGGGATTGCCTGGACGGCATATCTATCCCTAACCAACTCCGCTGAGGAAGAATAGAGAGCGGAAAATCCGCTGTTAGACGGTAGGCCAATGAAATTGGTCTATGGCTTTCTTGTTTTGCTTTCCTTAATCTTATATTGTATGTCCACATCTAGCCTTTCCTTTTTGGAACGATTATTGCTATTATCATGATTGCTCGCTTAGGGAAATGTTTTGACTCTGACCTGGGCTTTTCTGACCTGCGTCCGTCAGCTGTTTACTTTGTCATTTCGTTTTCTGTTTTGTTCAACCCGGGCGGTCGATTAGACCCGTATTTAATCTGCATCTGGAGTTCCTGGCTGGGGGTTTTGTGGAAACAGTTGCGTCTCATACATTGTGGGACAATTGTTCCGTATAACTTATTTCCGGAGTCACCGTTTCTTTCTTTTCTTTCTTATTATTTTTATTCTTATTCTTATTCTTATTTTTATTTTTATTTTTATTTTTATTTTTTGTTGTTGGAATTCCACCCTTGGCGTTGCAATGTCGATTTCAGCATGTCGATTGAGTAGTTAGGTAGTTTGCGAAGAGAACTGCGCTATATCTATCTACTTGGATATCTATCTAACATCCATTACTTCTCTCCTTTCTTCGATATCGTTCCGAAGTTCTATCTACCTACTCAATATCACATTTATTTATATCTCCCGTTAGCTTCCCATGTATAAAATTCCGAACCCGAAACCCCCTCTTCCCTCCCAGCTAACGAAAACAGCAGCCAACAATAATAAGTTAGTTACTTAATTAATTTCCCTGCATTCCGATTAATCCTGGGGCTGATATTCGTCCGACGAGGTCTCGGCGGTTCGATTACATCACTGTGAAACCCGCGTCAGTCCGACGCCGCCGCCGGCCGCCGCCAAACAAAACAAACCCCACCAAAAAAGGACTTTCCAACCTTCCAAGTTCCAACCCCTCCTATCCTATATAATATCAACAGTAAACCCGGATTTCTTGGACTTCTTGGGATAGAAACACCACTTGAAATTCGTTACAGAAGGTTCGTCTTCTCTGTTCTTCCTTTTTATATTTTCGCATTTTCAATTGACTGAATAATGTAGAAGCAGGACTATAGAACAACAAAACTATAAAAACAAATACAACCTCGCAGCCATGTCTCTCTCCAACAAGCTGTCTATTATCGATGTCGACCTCAAGGGCAAGAGGGTGCTGATCCGGGTATGAATGTGCCATATCTGTTCCTAGAGGAAATATATATTCAATGGCAAAACAGTCATACTAATAAACATTTTATCATAGGTCGACTTCAACGTCCCCCTCGACGAGAACAAGAAAGTCACAAACACCCAGCGCATCGTCGGCGCCCTGCCCACCATCAAGTACGCCATCGACCACGGCGCCAAAGCCGTCGTGCTCATGTCCCACCTGGGCCGGCCGAACGGCAAATCAAACCCCAAATTCAGCCTGAAGCCCGTCGTGCCCGAGCTGGAGAAGCTGCTTGGTGGTGGCCGCTCGGTGATTTTCACGGACGACTGTGTCGGTCCCCAAGTGGAGGAGACCGTTAACAAGGCGAGTGATGGGCAGGTGATTCTGTTGGAGAATCTGCGGTTCCATTCCGAGGAGGAGGGGAGTTATAAGGATGACCAGGGGAAGAAGGTTAAGGCGGAAGCGGGGAAGGTGGAGGAGTTCCGGAAGGGGTTGACTGCGTTGGGGGATATTTATATCAGTATGAAAGCAGCCCCCCACCTCCCAATAAAACGAAAAAAGATATATGGAATATGGATATACTAACAAAATCCTACTCACTGTAGACGACGCCTTCGGCACCGCCCACCGCGCCCACAGCTCAATGGTCGGCGTCAACCTCCCCCAAAAGGCCGCAGGCTTCCTCGTGAAAAAGGAACTAGAATACTTCGCCAAAGCCCTCGAGAACCCCACACGGCCCTTCCTCGCCATCCTCGGCGGCTCCAAAGTCTCCGACAAGATCCAGCTTATCGACAACCTGCTCGACAAAGTCAACACGCTCATCATCTGCGGCGCGATGGCGTTCACGTTTAAAAAGGTGCTCGACAACATCAACATCGGCAGTAGCCTGTTCGACGAGGCCGGTAGCAAGATCGTGCCGGACATCATGTCCAAGGCGAAGCGGAATAACGTCCGCATCGTCTTCCCCGTCGACCACGTGATTGCCGACAAGTTCGCGGCGGACGCGAACTCGCAGTACAAGACGGATGCGGAGGGGATTCCGGATGGGTGGTGGGGGCTGGACTTTGGGGAGAAGAGCGTGAAGCTGTTCGAGGAGGCGATTGGGGAGGCGCAGACGATTTTGTGGAATGGCCCGCCGGGCGTGTTTGAGTTTGAGAAGTTTGCTGGGTCGACGAAGGCGATGTTGAATGCGTGTATTGAGGCGGTGCAGGAGGGGAAGATTGTCATTATTGGCGGCGGGGACACGGCGACGGTTGCGGCCAAGTATCATGCTGAGGATAAGTTGAGCCATGTGTCGACTGGTGGCGGGGCTTCGTTGGAATTGTTGGAGGGGAAAGATTTGCCTGGTGTTAGTGCGCTGTCGAGTAAGTAAAGGGATGTTTCCTTTCTTCTGCTCCTGAGTACATTCCCTTCTTCTCTGTTTTACTTCATTCGCAAATTTAAACATGGAGGTATTTGGGTGTTCTGTGATCCGTTTGTAGTGATCGAACGCTAGTTTCCAGTCTGATGTAAATACTCCGTATATAAGGGGCTCTCAGCCCTAAAAAGGCCAAATATTACTTCCCAAGGTAAAACATCATCACTTCTTGATGATCCCTTTACACAACACACACCTCCATTATACCTACTCTGTATTCCTTCACGGTAAACTAGAGATAAAAGCCAGCAAATAGATACCACAACCCAAGCAATGCAAAGTACCATCTACACTCCCTATTCTCCCCCTATCTCCCCTTTCCCTCTTCCCCTCCCCCACCCGCTCCCCTCTCACACATTACCAGACGGCAAGCAGTCAGCATGTATGCCTCGGAACCCAGAATTGCCAGATAATTATATTCATGTAATGTAATGTGGTGTGGTGCGAGATCGCATTATAAACAGTGAGAAGGAAGGAAAAGTGGTCTCGCTAATACAAGTAAAGAGGGCGGAGTGGCCATGCAGGAACGAAAACAGACATGAAAGCCAACAAATCCCCTCTCATCCTCGAAACCCCGTAAAGAGAAAAAAAGGAAATTAAAATTATGTTCAGGGGTCCCATGAATAGATAGACACTCAAGTGTATGTCGGGATAGTTTGTTTTCATCAAGGATGGGAAACCAGTGGAGATTAAAAAACAACAAACCACTCATTAAATTATTAGTTAACTTACATATGCGCAACCATCTGCATACCTTTCGGCGCCAGCCGAATATCGTACTCCAACTCCAACTCAGCCGCAGGATCGCCCTCTAGCGGCCTAAAATCCACGACCAGATCATTTTTCACCGCAAACACCGAATCGCTACTTAGATACTGGTCATCGCGCGGGAAAATCTGCGTCGTGACCGTCTTGTACTCCGGGTGGCTGATCATTAGATGAATATGCGCTGGGCGGAAGGGGTGCCTATCCATGAGCTGGAGGAGGACGCCCGCGGGCCCGTCGGTGGGAAGTGAGTAGGGGGTCGGGTGGAGGATGTAGAGGTGGTAGTACCCGTCCTTGTCTGTGCGGAACTTGCCGCGCAGGTTATTGGGTTCCTGGTTCTCTGGGTCCTGGAAGTCGTATTTGCCGTTCGAGGAGGCTTGCCAGATGTCGAAGATAGCGTTGGGGATGCCCTGCTTTGTGACGATATCGGTGATCTGGCCGCGCATTAGAGCGACTTGGCCGTTGTGGGCGCTGCGGATGATGCTATCGCCCAGCTCGCGGAAGGGGGCGTGCGGGCTCCAGAAGGGGCCCAGGATGGAGGAGGAGGTGGGCGAGTCGTCGCCGGGTTCTAGGACGAGTTTGTTGGCGATTTCGTCGATGAGGCTGGTTTGGTTGTTAGTATCGGTTTTCTGGTGCGGCATGTTCTGTTCAAGAAGGGGAAAAAAAGAAAACACTCACGTTTCCAGCCCGATGACATCGCAAACGCGCTGTCCCTCGTTTCTTACGGGAGTGCTAATCTGGCCAATGCTGTTTATGAAGTTCACGCCCATGATCCATTCATCGTTGGTGAGGTCGACTTCACGGGCGAAGTCGTGGATGTGACGGATGAGGGAGCCCAGGACCTGTCTTGTTCTTGGGGTTGTTTTGGGGCCCATGAGGTCTATTACGGCGGGAGTGAAATCGGCATCATATTTGTGCGTGTGCGTGTGTGTGTCTGCACCGTTTGCCTTGACGCCGTTTGTGCTGGCGCCGTTCGTTTTGGTGGGCATGTTGGCCGGTTAAGCTGTGAGGGATGAAGTAAAGTACAGTACTAGAGGACTATAACTGAGTGCTTGGGGGGTTTGCTTGAGAGGAGTGTGTAATGTAATAGAAAGTTGGAAGAAGAAGAAGAAAATAAACGCCTGGTGTAATAGTGTGGCCATGGAAGGACCGGCTATGTTTAATGATTATATATATACTTTTTCTATACACATCGCGCGGAGGGATATCCTGAGTCGAGTCGGTAGTTATGCATCATCCGGCAGTTTGCTCGGCTGTTTGCAGGCGGAGCGGAGAGGAGGTGAATCGACGCAAACCCCTTTTGTGTGATGGTTTTGGTCTCAGGACTTTTCATAGACCTCGTGCCACTGCAAACTGGAATCTCCGCCAGCTTTTTTGCTTGAATATCCTGTCTTACTGTGTTCCATTCCCTCTTGAGTCGCCGGCTGTTGCTGCTTGTTTTGCTGCGATTTCCACTCGACTCCGGCAGTTTGGCACATGGCAGCGGCTGACTCAGCAGCAACTACCGAGCGCGGTTGCCGGCGGCGCAGTCAGCAGCAACAGTCAGCATAGACAGTGCTTGGGAGGGTTATTAGTAGTTAGCTACAAGCATGGATTTGTTGTGATAGAGTGCTTGGCCTATGCTAAAGCTCTTTTCTCTAATTTCTAATAATTGTTTTAAAATTCCGACTTTTGGTGGGGGGCCGGTGAAATCGTTGTTTTACCACTCCGGCAATCACAGCCCTTACTTACTCTTGCTATTATTCTTGTTAAGGAAGATATATGTTTACTCTCCAGGCTGATATTTTATACCCCGTCTGATTGCATTGCACATTCTACAACATGAAACATCATTTAATGATTGGCACCTGGACTCCTCCGGGAAATATATACACCGTTGAGTTCGACGATGAAGCCCTGACACTCAAGCTTGTCAAGAAGACCAGCATCCCTGAGGATGAACCTATCTCATGGATGACGTTTGATGTGAGACCTCCAAGGCTTCTTAAGAGATATATATATATATATATATGTAGCCTGCCACGTTGTTGACATCACGATATTTAGCACGTGAAAAGGAATATATACGGGGCGTCGATGAAGAAATGGTCATCGCACTCCGTCAAAAGTGCCTTGGATATTAGCCATAGCATCTCACACCCGTTAGCTGGTCAGCGTACGTAAAATCGTACCTGCACAGTAGGTGAAAGAAGGAAAAAAGAGAGGACAAAAAGAATAGATGCTCATTTTGACTTTCGTTTCCTATAGCTCTGGCTTCCAAAGCCGAAACAAACACGAGAGCCATCTTCGTTCTTGCAGCAAAGAAACCCCCCTACAACGTGTATGGGAATCCCTTTTACAGCTACGCAGGCTGTGGCAACGTCTTTTCCGTCACAACGGACGGCCAACTCGACAATAATATACAAAACTACGAATATGACCCGCACTCCGGCGTGCACGGCATGGTCTTTGATCCCACAGAGACCTACCTCTATTCCGCAGACATGGGCGCAAATAAAATATGGACTCATAAAAAGGATCCGGAAACCGGTATGCTTACTCTAGTCGATAGCATTGAGGCCCCGGGGCCCGGTGACCACCCGCGCTGGGTGGAGATACATCCCAGTGGGAAATATTTGTATGCGCTGATGGAGGCTGGGAACCGATTGGCAGAGTACGTGATTGATGAGAAGATGCATACACCTGTATTTACGCATAGGATATATCCCCTGATCCCGCCAGGTATGTGTAAATATATACAAACCATTATAAATATATATCTTCTACTTACACTAAACCCCCTCCCCTTTCTCTCCTAAAACCCACAGGTGTCGACCCATCCAAAAAATACCGCTCAGACATCGTTTTCACCAACCACAGCGGCTCCCACCTCTTCGCAACGGCACGCTCTAACCACTTCGACGTAACAGGCTACATCAGCGCATTCCGCCTGGGTCCTGCCGGCAATATTGAGAAGCAGCTCTTCATCAACCCGACGCCGACGAGCGGTGGCCACTCGAATGCAGTCAGCCCCTGCGATTTCAGCGATGAGTGGCTGGCGCTGACTGATGATCAGGAAGGGTGGGTGGAGATATACCGATGGCAGGGAGAGTTCCTGGCCCGTGTAGCGCATTTGGACATTCCGGAGCCGGGGTTTGGGATGAATGCGATTTGGTATGATTGATATGATTGATATGATTGATATGAGTGATATGAGTGATATGAGTGGTTGGTAATTACTGGGTAGGTTGTACAGTACCTAGGTATACCGTATCATGGGGAATTACCTTACATGGTTTAGCACTATCCTGATCAGGTTTAGTGAAACATCACTGCTTTCTGAACTATATAAACCCCCTTCTTCTGCTGCTTGAATATTCTCTCTTCATCATCTCTATTTTCTCTTTCTTTTCTCATAATTCTCTTGTCTCATGTGTGCTGTGCTCACTTCTTCTTTCTCTTGTCACTGCTAGTGTCACCTGGCCCAGCTGTGCTGCAGCTGAAATTGTTCTTGATATAGTAATTATATTTACTTTTCTTCTTCTCAATGCAATTTCATCTCACTTTATCACCAAGTTACTCTAAAATCATACAAGATTGAGATCTGCTACTGAGATATTTAGTCTATCTAAAACTATAACTAGCTGAGATTTTCTATTTACTTTGTTAGTTTCATTTTCTTATTATATATATAATTAATTAATACTTTATATTTTATATTTAATGTTTTAAAATTCTGCACATTTATTTTATTAATACTGTTAATTTCATTCTGTTTATGTTTTAATACTTATTGTTTTTAATTTTTGTTTTTTATAATTAATCAGTAAACTAGTAGTAGTATTAAATATCTAGTAATCTCAATCAGATAAGCTGTATAGAAGAAAATCTTACTCTTAATAAAGAGATTCTTTTAATAGAGAATAGATAGCTACAGACTACAGTAAGCTCTTAATTAAAAGAGAAAATATTACAAGTATAATAAAATAATGAGATTATTAAATTCTTTAAATTTATTATTAATACAGTTTTTTTCACTGATAAAGATATAGATTATATATAAGAAAATAATAACTTTTAAAACTGTTAAAAAGAATAAGTAAACTTATAAGAAGAATATTAAGTTGTAATATACTATTCTTAAGAGATATAAGAAGATAGATATTATAAAGAAGAGAATGAAGTAAGATATCATACTTTCAGCTGTGTCAAGACTCTGTTGCAGTTTTACACAGCTTATTACTTTTATACAGATGATTTCATTCATTCTGCAGACTGTTTAAACCAGTTTTCAATCACTCTATAATATTATTCAGATATATTATAGAAAGATCTGATTAATAAATATAAGAACTTTGCTTCTATATAAGATTAGCAGATTACTCTTTCTTAACAGTGAGATATCACTGAGATATTACTCTGACTATTCTCACTCATGAAATGAGAGAAGAGTATTCATTCATTATCTATATAAAATAACTAGATACTGACTTCTTATCAAAGAAGTCAGTAATTTATTTTTCTTCTACTGAAATATATACAAGAGTTACTGTATTTCTTATACAATCTTCTTAGTATACTAAGTATTATATCTGTGATATTCTCACAATAACTCTATAGTCTACAAGCTTGCTATTTAAGTAAGATAGTTAAGCTTATTATTATTATTATTATTATTATTCTTTCATTATACTTATATACAAGTGAAGCTTATGATGAGTTCTTGTATAATGTTAAATACAGATCAAGTGTTAATTATACAGAAGGAAATACAGATGTTAAGACCACGCCAAGATAACAAGAACATAGGAAAATACAAAGGAGTGACAATTAGATACATGCGATAATAACTTCCCAGCTCAGAAACATAGAGTGATTCATTGAAGTGATTTGTACACCTCTGTATTTATTAGAAATCTGAGGTGCTTGAGTTCTGGATTTAATGTATCCCCTGCGGGTTTCGAACTCACATGCCTTGATTTCTCACATCAAGGCGCTACCAGGTGGCCGCATTAATCATTCGGCCACCGGGGCTAGTTAAGCTTACTTATATAGCTTCTTAAACAACTACTTCTATATAATACTGCTGACTAGTCACTGCTTTAGTTTTATTATATTATAATTTAAATTGCTTAAACTGATTATAAGTTTGAATCAGTTAAGCTTTAATAGACTGATATAGTTTTATATATTTATACTGAGATAGATCTGATCTCACTCTCTGAAGAAAACTCTACATTATTCTCTAGAGTATATACATCTCTATTTCAGCAGAAATCTGAGATTTCTGAATCTGCTATATATTTTAATATAAGCTCTTCAACTGCTCTATCACTGTTACAGTCTTTATATATCTATATCTATTATAGAGATAGAGAGATTAAGATCAGAGATTCTCTAAGATATAAGAAAAACATATTATCTGAATTTCACAGCTTTATCTATACTCTTGAATAAAAATTTCATCTTAATTCAAGTCAGTATAATACTTATAAGATATAAGTAATATGTATTATTAATTTTCTTAAAGACATCTTTATAACTACTTGAGTTATTAAGAAGAGAGAGCTTGAGTATACTGATACTGTAATAACTTAAGAAGAATTCAAGAACTTTCTACTGAATTAAATCAAAGATTACTGTAATTACAGCTTCATAGTAGTATAGTGATTTAACTTATTATATTAATAAAATAATAAGAATTCTTTCAATTTCAATACAAGATTTGAAGAATATTAAGAGAAATTAACTGATAATTTAAATTAATTAAAGATACAGCTTTATCTTGCAAAGCTGACTTATAAGATATAGATAATAATATCACAGTATCAGAGTTCATTAATTAATTATACTAAGCTTATTAACTTAACTTCTCAGATCTATTTGAATAATTAATACTCTGAGAAAAAAATTAATAAGATCTCTTCTAAGTAATTAATAATGAGATTTAAACAGTACTGTGACAGCTTCAGTATGAGAAAAGTAAAGAAGAATTTTAAGTATTCTAATTCTTCACTTACTGTGAAGAAATATTAAAAAAGATTTGACAAAGATCTCTATTTTAACTGTGAAGCTGATAATTACTATACTAATAATTATAAGAAGCTAAAGAAGAGAAGAAACTGAGAAGATATTTTCTCAAAGTTAACTTCTCTTCTAATAAGTATATTTATAGAAGATAAAAAAGAGAAAGAAATGAAGAATTGATAATTCTTATATCTCTGAGTTTATATTATAATTACAATGAATACTCTGAATAAGAAGATATCAATAAGATGTCTACTTAACTTCAGAATAAATACTAACTTCATATTCTATTTCTTTTCTTTGATGAAGAATTGAAAGAAGATAGACTTATCAGATTATATGAAATTTATCAATGAAATGAAATATCACTGTTTTAATATAATTTAAGTGAAGTATGTAATCACAGATTCAGAAGAAATCTTTAAGAAGAGCAGTCTGCTTCTTCACACAGTTAATATTAGACTGGCTGCTGAAATCATGAATTTCATGTTTAGTCTTATTTGATCTGATCTCATACATTTCTTGATGTGAATCCCACTGGGACTAGTCATTAAAAAAACATGCAAAGTGACTATATATCAGATCTTAAAATGAAATCATGACTTGAAAAAAATGAGAAAGTGATTTCATTTGATTCTATTTAGTCTCATTCTTAGTATAAAGTTACTATTTTTAGACATTTTAAGGTTTTTTTTAGACTATTTTTAATTTTTTAAAAAGTAACACTTTTTGATAACACTCAAATGAGATTTAAAGTCATTTAAAGCAATAAAAATAATTTAAATTGAGAAGTGAAAATCATGGTCTCATTTGAAAAATGTGACAAGAGTAGACAGTAAGTCTCACTGAGACAGTATGAAACTACTATCTAATGTTAAAACTGTGTAATGGGATCAGTCGAATTGGTAATGAGACTATCAAAAAATCTGGTTCTGGTTTCAGACACGGTCACACGGTCAGTCTAGTTAATATCATAGATAAGAATATCATTCTAAATCTTCTGTAATTAAGAGAAAACAATTCTCTTATTAACTGAGTCACTCAGATGTAATGATACTGTCTCACTAATAAAGAGACAGTAATAGAGAAATCTGAAGAGTTTCATCAGAAGAATCTTGAGAAAAAGATAGAGTTAATATACTATATAGCAGATGACTGAGACTTGAGAATAGATGAAGAAGTCATCATTCTTACTGTAAGATTAGCAGCAGTATTCATTATTAAAGACAGATATATATAATATCTCTTTATAAATTATAAGAATATCTTTTTGAAAAGAAAAGCAGTAAAGTTTTCTGATATCAAGATATAATATAAGATTTATCTTGAAAATAGTGTAATAGTACTGTACAGATCTCTTTACAATCTATCTGTAAAGAAATTAAATGTTCTGTATAAATATCTTAAGAAAGTATAATTAAAAAACTGAATATATCTATTAAAGAGTCTGACAGAGATGTCTATACTCTTTATACTTAAGAAGAATGATAGACTATATCTATATATAGACTACAGAGGTCTTAATAAGATGATAGTTAAGAATTACTATTTATTACTATTAATTAATGAGATAATTGACTGATTATCTGAAGCAAAGATATTCTCAAAGATTGATATTCAGAATGTCTATCATAGAATCAGAGTTAATAAAGATGATATTTGAAAAATAACTTTTTATATCAAGTACAGTAATTTTGAATATCTTGTTTTATCTTTTAATCTTTATAATACTTCAGTCATCTTTCAGATCTATATAAATGAGATACTGCAGAGCCTTGTTGACATCTTCTATATAGTATATCTGAACAACATTCTAATCTTCTCAAAAATAGAGAAAGAACATAATACTCATATTTGAAAAGTATTAAGTTACTTAAAATAGTATTAACTCTATATAAATACTGAAAAATGCTCATTCTACACACAGAAAATTAATTTCTTAAATTATATTATTAAGATAAACAGCATTTTAATAAATAGAAGCTGAGTCTCTGTTATCAAGAACTAATCAGTACTGTAGATATACTGTAAGATACAGATATTTCTAGAATTTACAAACTTCTATAGATAATTCATCTATATATATTTATAAATTACTATCTCTCTTAGAGATCTGTTAAAGAGAAGTGTGAAAGACAGAAAAATAGAATTATTTAT